ATCCAGTTTCTTTGATGTCTCCAATCTGGTAATCTGAAGTCATTTCTGTTTGAACTCATCGCCAACCCTCAGGAGCTAATTCGGATCTGGGACAGATCAGGGATGAAGCACTGGACGACTACAATTTTGACATAAATTTTGAAAGAAATGCCAATATAATATACGTGGTTTTGTTCCAGTACATCTATGTACAACCAAACGGAACAAAGGAGGGGACAAGACTCACAAGACTGATCCACAAATATCTGGAAGTCTATTTATAACCAATATGCTGTGTATATATATATATACATATCTATATCAATCTTCTGAGGTGTTGGTCTAACAATTCTTATTGAATTCTCCTAAAGTCTTTAGGAATTCCTCCATGTTGTCGCAACAATTCTTGGGGTACTTTACCAGGGAGCCTAGAGGCGAAGCCTCAACAAAAGTGTCTGAAGATGGGGAAGGAAAACCCCGACATTTGTTGTGGCAGTTTCAGAGGGACATAAAAATTATTACCCTGGGATAAACTAACATAGATGTGGAAAATCAATGGTTTCCCTCGGAACATTATCCAAAAACATGTGGATGTTCCAAATCTATGTTGGTTTACGAGATGGTCTGGATTCGTTGTTGATTTTCCGATCTAAAAAAACAACAAACACACTGCAAACCCTAATTGGATTGTAAACCCAAGGATTGTAAATTTCCATTCGATTACTGTAACAAAGGAAATTCATTAGATTTCAAATATTATATATCATACATCACAATACAAATATAATAAAAATAAATATAACTGTATAACATAATCTAAATGTGTTGCAGATATACATATACATATTTCTGACAATATAAAATATATGTAATACACAATTCAATATGGAATAATATAATACACAATGATACACTAATATACATCTACACATACATTATCCCAAGATGTAGCATCCCATCTCATCCCATCCCAAGATGTAAAACACCGTTCCAGACATGTGTGATTGATCAATTCCTACAAATAAAACACATGCTTTAAGGAAGGGGTACAGTAACTTTCTGATCTGAACTCTGAAGCCACTTTCATGAAACATCCATAATCCGTTCACACTTGGATATCATGAAAAATCCTTAGTACTGACTTTAATACTAATATTAGGTGTATGTTCTTAACTTGCGTTTTTGCTCAAAAATATGTGTTTTTTTTCTTACAAGGTACGATCCCCAAAACCATAGGTTTCAATACAAAAATGATCTAATGACCTTGATGATTTGGGGGCACCCCCATTCCCCCCAGCTACTATCGTTAGTCTAAAAAAAAACATTAACTATCGTTCTATCCTCCGTAAACGCAAATGTTAACGAAGTTATAAATTAGGTTATAAAACACATTATATATAAATTATATTACATATATTATATATATCATATAATATATATATATATATATAAATATATTACTGTATATATATATATATCATATATTATATATTGTATATCATATATTATATGTTATTTAAAATTATATATATATATATTATAAATATATTATATTATATATGTATATGTATATAACACCCATTAATGATAGTTATATCCCCAAAAAAAAACATTAATTATACTTATATCATCCCATTTTAAGAAATCTCCATATAGAAACAATGTTGTTTGCGGATAGGTAACCTTTACAAACTGTGATTGCAGTAACGGAGAACAGTGAGGTCGTCAATTATATTTATCCGTGTTTGTCCAGATATATGTTTACGGGTCAAAACCCTGGTGCCCTGTGTACCTCAAATGTCCCTCAAATGGCTCATATAGCTGCATGATTATTCTCCCACATGGCAATTTCATAGGTAATCTTGACATGTTTTGACCCATACCCATATGCAATATGGAGAGATTTTCACCAACACAAATCTCAGTTAATGGATGTTTATTCCCAAAAAAAATCAAAAAATGCAATGTCGTAGGCAACTTGACATCTTTTGACCCATAGCCATGCTACCCTCTGGTAAACATACAAAAACTATGGAAAATCACCATGTTCAATGGGAAAATCCACTATAAATGGTCATTTTCAATAGCTATTTTGACACAACCAGAGGCTATCCCATGGTGGCGATGGTTTCACCATCCGAATTTCGCCGCTCCAAGGCGCGTGATCTGCGTCCAGGTCCTGGTGGACAACTTCTCCAAGGATTCGCTGTGCGCTGGCGGCCTGGGAGGCCCCTGGGGCCCCCTGGGGCCCCAGGGGCAGTGCAGTAAGTTATATCGCCTAAATAGACCCAGTTACATAGTTAAAGTTGCTACCGATGTGGTTTTCTTGTTGGCAAAATAGAAAGATCTCACTCATGACAAGTGATTATAGATAGTTAACCAATAATGATTAATGATTAATGATAACCATGATAACCATGAAAACCATGATAACCATGATAACCAACTATTAAGCTATAAGTTAATAAACCCATCTGACTATAGTTACATATCCTATAAAAGCTAGTTGACCTAGTTATAAGTCAACTTGGCTAACTACGGGGCCCCTTCTTGATCTTCTTGTAGGGATCTTTTTGGTGATTTCATGGGACTATCTTCGGGAAAATAAGGGAAAGACTGAGACTGGGAAAGGAATGGGATTTTCCCTCTGGTAAACTAACATTTTTCTCAGAAGCGATATGCAGCTCATATTGAGCCACATGTCCGCAGCAGCACGCCCTTAGCTGGTTACTCGTTTCAACCTCGGGGTTAGAGAAGTCCACTGCTCGCGATTTTCTGCAATTGGTAACAGAAGATGAAGGAAACAGGTGGTGTTGTACCATTTTCTTTCATACTAACGGAGGAGAATTGTTTTAATTCTATGATGGTGAAATGTTGGTAGAAGGAGTGAGTGAATTGGCCAAGAAGTGGGGGGGAGTTATGAAACATGGTGGCTCTATGGACTCTATGGGCAGCTTCGGCTAAAGCAAGTTCTGGCCAGTGTGCCTGTGGGGCTCCCCTGCGAAATGGGGAAGAAATTGTACGGAGGGAGTGAGAAGGATTGAACATGATAATAGATTCTGCTGAGTCGGGGTGACGGAGGATGTGACCTAGGTATTTGATACGAGAATCGGAATTACGCATGGAAGAGGGAATGTACGATGGAAGGACAGGATATGCCAGTGAAAGGAGGAATTCATTGGAGAATCAGTGGGAGAGAGAACCCGATGGTAGTAGGGACTCTTAATTTGGAAAATGTGGCGAAGTGCTTATAGTGGACGCTGTCAATTTTTGTAATTTGTGCTGGGGAGTAGATTTGAGATTCTGAGCCGTGGAGAAGGATGGATTGGACGATTTGAGTTTAGACCTGGAGTTTAAATCGCAATGAGAGGATGTCGAAAGAATGGATCGAGTGTCTTGAAGGCGAGGAGGCTTGAGAACAACGAAAGTTGACGTCTGGAACGGACGATGGGGTAGGAGTGATGAAGGAACCAAGATATTTAGCACTGGTGAGTGGAATGAGTGGAACATCAAGAGATGAAATGTCCGGAGTAGTAAAGAAGAAGGGAGCACAAAAGGGACAGTTGCATTGCGAATCTGCATCGGCAGTAAAGGAGAGGGAAACTAGGAGAGCGGCATGGACTGTGAGGAGCTGACATTTGGATCCATTGAAGAGAAGAAAAAATCGTGTGGCCAAGTGTTGGAGAAGATGTAAAAGTCGGCAGAGGGTGTCATTAGTACGGGCAATGAGAACTGTGTCATGAGCATATTCCATGTCAGGTTTTGTGAGAGTGTGAAGAGTCAATTTACCTATTCAGATGGAAAATATGGTGATTGTCCATAGCTATATTAGTTTACCAGAGAGTAACCATCGCAATCATATATATATATACTTATGTGTATGTACCCTCTGGGCCTATGGATCCAAACACGTGCTTAGAAAGTATGGCCAACCCCCTAGATCATACCCCACAATACTCCCTTAGAAGGTACTTGAATCTGCAAGGGTATGAACATAAATAACCAAAAATATATGATTAAACGTGTCCACACTAAGTATATCATATCCCTGAAAGTCATAGGGAAAGGTTTCCCCATATGTTTTCCATGTTTCCAAAGTTTACCGCAGGGGAAATCAGGGAAATCCCATCGGAAAAAAAACCCTATGAATTGTCGATTGAATCCGATGAACCCATACCGTAAAAAAAACCTTTAGCATCATATATGGATGTTAATGGGATATTATGGACAATAAATGGATATTAATAATGTATTGAATATATGGACAATACATGGATATCAATGATGTGTTGAATATATGGAAAATACATGGGTATCAATGATGGAATATATGGACAATACATGGGTATCAATGATGTATTGAATCCCATGAATCCCATATATATATATATATATATATATATGGACAATACATGGGTATCAATGATGTATTGAATATATGGACAATACATGGGTATCAATGATGTATTTAATATATGTACAATACAAGGGTATCAATGATGTATTGAATCCCATTAATCCCATTAATCCCATATATATATACATATATATATATGGACAATACATGGGTATCAATGATGTATTGAATATATGGACAATACATGGGTATCAATGATGTATTGAATCCCATTAATCCCATGTATATATATATGGACAATACATGGGTATCAATGATGTATTGAATATATGGACAATACATGGGTATCAATGATGTATTTAATATATGTACAATACAAGGGTATCAATGATGTATTGAATCCCATTAATCCCATATATATATATATATATATTATGCGGGTAGCTGGCCTCACTTCACCTCCTTCTGCAGATGACTATCGGCGTAGTTGCACCCAAGAGTATAAGGAACTAATCACTGTTTCCCCTAACAGCAAACGGAACTCCAGGATGGCTATACCGCGATCAGCAAAGGAATGAATGCACTAAGGGGTCACTGTTTTCGGTCCAAATCACTGCCAATGTCGGTAAGTGGCAACACATGCTTAGTCATGGGTGAGAACGACTCAGGAACTGACATGCCCCCCAGCCGACTCAGGCAAAATGCCATCATCCAAGGCCCCAATCCCAAGCTTTCTTCGGTTCTTAGCTGATTTCATGGCCGGATCCTCAACAATCCTCCAGTTTTGGTTGAGTTGGTAAAATCGCTGCAACTGCTGGGGTTCATTGTCTTTGGTCAGTGAGTTTGCAAGTTGTGCATCGCTATTGACCCAACGCAGTTCCAGACCTGTCTCAGTCAGGGCATCTTTCAGACCTAACATTTCCAGAGCCACACGGCGCTCCGGTCCCTTCGGTACATACACTTCGTTGTGAAGTCTGTCGTATACATTAGTGCTATCAGTCACCAGGACGGCGGGTATCTGGCAGACATGGCCAGCAGTCCGACGGACTTGAACCTTACCTCCCTTCATCTCGAAAAGTTGTAACCTGACAGCGTACAACAAATCTTCGCAGTCTATCGATGCTAAGCTCTCAGCAGCACCAGGGCTCCGACACTGACGGCTAATCTTTGAAGATTGCCAGCATACTAGGCTTATGGGACACATGCAACCCTTCAACAAGTCTCTATGTGTTATTCCCACAACCAGGCCTTGAGTGCTCTTCCCATCGATCCGATTTTGACCAGAAGCGTCTGCCCAACCGGCAACCAGAAAGTCCTCCATTTTGAGTCCTCCATGGATCCTGAGTACATGTTTTCTATTTGACTTCACCTGGTGAATCACTTTGTTGACCTCGACCAATTGTTGAACTTTGCTACAATTGACCTGTGACAACAGAAGACTTACCGATGCCGCAACATGTGGTCCTACTTGTTGTGCATGCCATGACAAAGCCCCAAGGGCTGCTCTCAACTTCGATTTTTCTCTCTCATTAGTGTCTTCCTGCATGTTTCGGCGACGTTCAGAGGAAATAGAGATTTCTTTGAGGTCATCCACGTATTGTTTTTGTGAAAGCTCGAAACCTCCATCCGACAACCGTTGTATGAACACCCCACATTGGGTGAAACCAGTTTGATCGTCTTCCCAAGTTCCCCACTGAAACTTTTGCCTAATTTGATCACACAGTGTTTTCCAAGTGGCACAGTCTTCTCGGCCACAAAACAGGAAATCATCGACATGCCCACTGATCAAACCGATCAGCCTGTCCTTGACCACATACTTGAAGCAGCAGGGATCTGAGACGCACCTAATGAAGCCAATGGACTCCAAATAGTCGGAGACCGTGAGAAACCACTCCAGTGGAGCATCCACCAGACCGTAACATGCCTTCTTCAATTTTGTCACTGAGTTTGGTGGTATGTTCAAGCTGCTACCGATTTCTTCGGTGGGTATTACGTAGGCTGTCCCCTTGTAGTCCCTACCTTGGAGAAAGGCTCCAGACACATCACCCTTGCACACCTTGAAGCCCAAAGCACTTGCAAGACACAATAGCAGTTGTCTCGTCGTGCGAGACATGGTCGGCGCCGCAGTCTGTCGAAAAGCATATTGGGGATCAAGATATCCTAGGATGACACACCGTGCCTTGGCTGACTTCTCTCCTGAATCTGAGCGTTTCCATGTGAGTACCCATCGCATTCGCATGGCTTCGGACTTTGGGGGTTGCAAATGAGAGGGTACCACTTCCAGTGCTTCAGCACCTATGAACTTCTTCACCTCGATTTGTTTTGCTTCTCTCATTTGAGCAAGTTCACTTTCATCTAGGTACCTCTCACTCACTTCGACCGCTCTCCGTCTCAACTGACTTACCATAAAGGCTCCCAGATCTTCCACCATACCTTGTTTGCCTCGTTTCGTTTCTGGCACCTCGAAAGACACCTCTACTGCAGCTAGTGAATCACTCCAGAAACATTCCGCATACTCGTCCTCTTCATGTATGACCTGATCCTGTGAGCCTGACGGTGTTTCTTTACGCTTACCTTTTCTTTCATCCACCTTTCTCCTTGCCTCCCTTGACATCGGACATTCAGGCACGGTTCTTTTCCCATACACGCGCATCGGAGGTGGAGGAATGGTCTCTTCGTCCAGTCCTTGCTCGTACTCCAGAGCCTCGGGTACCTCATCCATCACATTCTCAAACTCGTGACTTCCTAGATCATCCGTGAGTTTCGTCACGGTCCATGGCAAATCCACAGGCTGAGACAACTCTTCCAAGCACTGTTCTCTGGTTGAGGCTCTCCTCAGTTGTTGTGGACATGTTTTAAGCAGCCGATTTCCTCTTACAACCCACACAGCCGATCCAGGCCTCAGATTTCCCTCGGGATCTCGACGCGTCTCTACGGCTAAGACCCTAGCTGGACCAGTGAATCCCCCGTTCTTGGTTCCCTTGACACCCTTTTTCTCTTGAATACGCCAAACATAAACCAAGTCACCAGGGGTGAACTCCTTCAGGGCATAGTTACGACTGTTCTTGGCCCTAGACAAACGCTCTTGATAATTACACATGTTCAGTGAAAGCCTGTTCCGCCTGTTGCATACGTTTCCAGTTTCTCTGAAATTCACCTTGGCTATTCTCACACAAAATGGGAGGGACTTCATCCAGTTCACTCACATGAATTCTGCCTGCCGCATCCGGTGTTCTACCCAAAGCATGCTGACATGGTGAATAACCCCTTACCACTTCTTTCTCGTTACCCACCCTGATGGCTTCCGCAAAAGCTTCTTCCGGTGTAATGGAGGGTTCTTCCCTGGCCAAAACCGACATGACATGCTTTACGCTACCGATGGCCCTTTCGACATGTGATATGTGCCAGTGAGCTTCGGCAGGCACCACGTCCAATTCAATCCCTTGACTATCCATGTAGGCTTCCAGTTCGCGCGAGCGACATCCGCCTGCTGGATCCACACGAAGCTTGTCAGGTTTCCCAAAAATTGGTTTCCAGTGTTCTTGAAAAAAACGAATCATGGTGGCAGCCGCGACCCCTCTATTGGAACCCCTTGTATCACTTGCCCCACTCTAAATCTACAGCCTTCATCTACCATGAGAATAAACTGAATCTGCTGGTGGGTTGCCGGGTGTGTCCAATAGGCACTGTCGGCTTGTACTACCTTCCATTTTGGAGGCAGTGGCTCCAAAGTTGCCTGAGGTCTAGGGGTCCGACGAGCAGACTCCTCACACACAGAACACTTTAAGCTACTGGCCAATTCTATGATTCTTGGGTCAGCGTTCCTTGCCCGAAGGGCCCGAACCAGGTTTTCCATGCTACCATGTCCGGTGTTTCGATGTAGTTGATACAGCTGTTTCATGTGCCTCTCTCTCTCCTCACTCGAAAAAGGAACCATTTCTTCTTGATTAACCATGCTCAAAGGATCCTCCCTATGTTGGTTCATTTCACAAGTACTGCACTGCAAATTGCTGCTGGGATGGCAAACGTCCTCACATGTGCAACCTAAGTTCCAAGCTGCCAGAGGCTCCGTTGAACGAAGCTCTGACCAAAGACCTTGGTGAGTAGTTCCATCCAAGATGGCACGACAAACCCTTTTCGCAAATGCCTCAGTGTAGTACGCACTCTCTCTAGTGAGGTGTCCTTGACATGTTCCATGTTCATGATTTCCTTGGCATGGCATGTGCATGCGGTCACCCAATAATTCATGTGTGGTTGCAAGCTTCCAACCCTTTTGCAGCAAAAGCCCTGTCTTTTGGTCTTTAAGTCCTACTCGACAACCCTTGACCACGACAAACCTTGGCTTTATTCGGTTGAAGACTCTTTGAACCATGGGTAACCTCCATGCATGACAGCGCTCACTCCATTCCCATGTGCAGGTGATGCCAAGTTGATGACAAAACGTATAAATCAACAAACCACCTACGTACTGCCGCATGCATTCAGCTCGTTTCAATTTGAGCTCTTCTCTCTGTTTCTCCGTTCTTTGGTTCACGTTTTGCATCGGTGAAAACGGTCCACATTCCAAACTCAGCCAAACATGCAGAGGTTTTTCTTTCTCAATACTACTCATGATGCTCCTCACCCCTGAACTCTTCGAAATGTCATAACCATTCCAAAATGCAAAACGACGCACCTTTTCTGGCTCCGGGCACATTTGCTGCATGCACGTTGAAAGTCGGCTCTCTGGTGAGCACGCAATCTCAAACAATACTGGCCTCCCGTGAGACACCAGACTTTGAAAGACATCCGGTTCGCAGCGGAATGCTGCCTGTTTCAGCCTCTCACATGTAGCTTCATCAAGCTTTTCTCTGGTACATTCGGCTCCCAAGGCCGCCTCTGTGGCTGCCATGACTGACTCATCCATCTTGGTGGCCATCAAGCCGTCGATGGAGCTGAGCTCATCCTGTCCCAGTCGTTCGAAGAAATCTCTTCCCCTTCGTTCTTCACCTTGCGTGCCTTCTGGCTCTGCAAGTTCTTCACCTCCTCCGTCAGCGCCGTCACTTGGTGCACCAAGCTGGCCACTAGCTTGTCCTGAGTGGGGTGTCCCTTGTGGTTGTGACCCTTCGATCCTTTCTTGGTTGTTGAACTCTCGAACTTGCATTCCGACATCAAGGCTTGACCCACTGGCGAGAGCCCCCAATCGGCCAACCGCTTCAGGCGAGCACAGCAGGGACCCTCTTTCATTGTGGTAATGGCCCACTCCAGATAGGAGGTCATCTCCATTGCCACCTCTCGGTAGGTCAGGGCCGAGTGTTGGCCAAACCCGACATGATCCTCCGGATGTGCCGGTGAACATGCATATGCCTGGTTCATGGCCTTGACCTTCAGCTGTTCGATGGTGTCGGTCGCATTCACCACCAGGCCCAACTGGGACTGCATGAAGTCCACCAAAACTGACTTCTTTCGAGCTGCCTTGTTGATCATGATCTCCGCCTGACGCAGCGGCGGTGTTTCCTTCGTTCCGCTGCTGTGAATCGACTCCACACCCTCCAACTCCGTGAGACGAAGCAGCAGCTGGGTACGGCTCCAAGTCTTTGGGGCTACTTCGTGATGAAGAGCAGACAGGCGCTCCCGGAGCTCCACATGAGACATTTTGTCCACCGCCATGGCGCTCGGCAATTGAGCGGGAACTAACTTCACCTGTAAGTGAGGGGAACTGAACCGAAGTTTGCTCTGGAATCGACATCAGACTCACCTGATTAGACATCACAGGCACCTGCGTTTTGCGACACTGGCTGGTCTCTCTCTTGACATCTCTGGTTTCCCATCGTTTGGAATTTGCCGTTTTCTCACTTCGTAAATTCCATTTGTATTTGGCCCTTGGATGGGTCCTTTGACCTTCATCCGCCGACCCTCTTGGGTCAATCCCGACCTGCTCTCGTGAGAGCGCGCGTGAGATGCTGGGGGGAAGGGCTTTTTCGGGGCTTATTATTTTCCTTTCCTTCTGTTGATCCTTCCTCCCCCTTTCGTTCCAAAAAACCCTCAGGGTCTTTTCCCGGACTTATTGTTTTCCCTTCTGTTTCAAGCTCCTTCCTTCCTGGCCATTCCATCGGCTTCGGAACACGAACACCCGAGACCGAAGAACCCTGAACGACGCACTTACCTTCGTCACTATCATGACAACCCACAAAAGTTTCTTCACACCCATGACTCTTACCTGCACAGATTTTGACCTTTCTACCCACTGCAGGGAAGCGAGTGGAAAGGAGTTGTCCCTAGCACAAATCTAAGAAAAACGGCACCGGCTCCTCGAGGACTACCGCGTCTTTAAACGCATCATCCGTCAGAGGAAGCACTTGATGCCCTGCAGCTGACTGTTCCAAATGAATCAGCTTCTTTGGATCTACACTACGGAAAACAGCGCAGTTGGAGGAATAGTCAATGACCGCACCGAGCTTTCTCAAAGAGTCGATGGACAGCAAAATTGGCGAGGTCCCTTTGTCCAATGCATGAACCTTCAGAACTCCTGCTCCTTGGTTCCACGGTACATCAAGGCTCACCGTGGAAATGCATTGGTCACGGCTGGAATTTCCAAAACCAAACGATGGCCGGTCATTGAGGTCCAGATCCCTCATACCATCACGGCCATGCTTTGACTCATTGAGTTCCAAGACCTTGGAGAGGGCATATGTAGAACCAATTGACCTTGTGGCTCCCCCATCGATCACCGCCTTGCCTGCCTCCACGATCTGTGAGGTCGTGAGGCGACTGCTGTCATCGGCCCCCATAGAGACCCAAGCCTCCTGCTCATCCACAACATGCTCGGTGAGAAAGATGAACGTTGCTTGCTCATCCTGGTCAGTGGAGATGGTGACATTGGCACTGTCGCGAGGACGCTCGGGGCACTGAGCGATCTTGTGTGGTCCACCACACCTGAAACACTTCATGGGACCCCCTTTGCCATCACTGGTTCCTGGTCGTGCAGTACCTGGGGATCTTCCGCCTTTCACCGGGTAAAACTGTCGGGAAGTGCGAACTGCATGCTGACGTGCTCTGGCATCTCTCAGAGTCCGACGGGCCTCTTGTATCACCGCCAGTGCTTCCTTCTGATTGCTCTGCTCCGTCATCATGCATGAGATTTCTTCAGCTGAGAACCCTTCAGACTCCAACTGTTCGGGATCACACTCCCCAAGCCAGGACCACTCATCGTAGGACTCCTCGGCGTCGGCAAGGTTGGCTAGGAATCTGCCTTTCTCTGCATCTCGTTTCTTCAGCTCACTGTCAGGCCAGTGCTTTCGGAGGACATCTTCCACGGCCTGCACACCGAAATCCCCGCGAAGTTCGGCCTGCAAGACATTTCGTTCCATCACATCCAGCCCTGAGTCGATGAAGAGATACCATCCCTGCACAAATGCCGGGACAATCTCCGGCAGTTGGCCACGTCCCCACTCTGTGGTGTCGTAGGTAACCTCACTGCTGTGCCAGCTGCCGTAGTTTGCCCAAGGCCGCTGGTGACGGTAGTCATCCCATCCTTGCTGGCGCCACCAAGACACTTCGAGTTCTTGATTTCCCGAGGCTGCTCCTTGATCTTGACTGGATGCTTCCGCACCCCGAGCCGCTGCTGAGCCCACCTGACTGTAAGCCTCCCAGCGATCTTCGTCATCGGCTGCTGAGTCCTGTAGATCATGTTCCATCGCTGAGCTCCCCATGTTCTGACTGCGTCCCGTGCTCCACGATGACTGTGGCCGGGTACTCCAAGAAGCTCCGGACTTCTGCTCTTGGAGATACCTGGCCATTGACTGTTGAGCCCTGGTGTATGCCTCAGCCTTCCTTGTCACATAGTCGCTCATGCCTTCACCTTTGGTCCTCTTTGTCCCCTTGAAGTACTTCATCAACAGTTCAGACATCTCGGGAACCTTCGGCTGGCCTCTTCCGACCCTTAGCTCCTCTAACAGACGTCGAACTCCCCCATCAAAGGATAACCAATCAGCTGGACGTCCCAACAGCACTCTCTTTGCTGGGCCGCTCAGCTCACTGGCGATCCTGGGGCCACACAAGTACCTCTTTTCTCGCACTACTGTTTGTTCGTGCCTCAGACAAGCTTCAGCGAACTCCTCCAGTAGAGTCGGATCACCATTCCACATTGGGACCCCACCACGATTCCTCTGAATCGTTCCTTGGCTACCCGTCCACTCCAAGCGGTCTGGCGGCTTGGAGTACATCACTGAGCCCGCAGGCTCCGCTACCATGCGGGTAGCTGGCCTCACTTCACCTCCTTCTGCAGATGACTATCGGCGTAGTTGCACCCAAGAGTATAAGGAACTAATCACTGTTTCCCCTAACAGCAAACGGAACTCCAGGATGGCTATACCGCGATCAGCAAAGGAATGAATGCACTAAGGGGTCACTGTTTTCGGTCCAAATGACTGCCAATGTCGGTAAGTGGCAACACATGCTTAGTCATGGGTGAGAACGACTCAGGAACTGACATATTATATATATATGGACAATACATGGGTATCAATGATGTATTGAATATATGGACAATACATGGGTATCAATGATGTATTGAATCCCATTAATCCCATATATATATATATATATATGGACAATACATGGGTATCAATGATGTATTGAATATATGGACAATACATGGGTATCAATCATGTATTGAATCCCATTAATCCCATATATATATTAATATATATATATATATATGGACAATACATGGGTATCAATGATGTATTGAATATATGGACAATACATGGGTATCAATGATGTATTGAATCCCATTAAACCCATATATATGGACAATACATGGGTATCAATGATGTATTGAATATATGGACAATACATGGGTATCAATGATGTATTGAATATATAAACAATACATGGGTATCAATGATGTCTTGAATCCCATTAATCCCATATATATGGACAATACATGGGTATCAATGATGTATTGAATACATGAACAATACATGGGTATTAATGATGTCTTGAATCCCATTAATCCCATATCTATGGTCAATACATGGATATTAATAATGTATTGAATATATGTACAATACATGGATATTGATGATGTATTGAATCCCATTAATCCCATATATGTATATATATATATATATATATGGACAATACATGGGTATCAATGATGTATTGAATATATGGACAATACATGGGTATCAATGATGTATTGAATATATGGACAATACATGGGTATTAATGATGTATTGAATCCCATTAATCCCATATATATATATATACATGGACAATACATGGGTATCAATGGTGTATTGAATATATGGACAATACATGGGTATTAATGATGTATTGAATCCCATTAATCCCATATATATATATATATGGTCAATACATGGATATTAATAATGTATTGAATATATGGACAATACATGGATATTCATGATGTATTGAATCCCATTAATCCCATATATTTGGACAATACATGGGTATCAATGTATAAATGATGTATTGAATACATGCACAAAACATGAGTATTTATGATGCATTGAATCCCATTAATCCCATATATATGGACAATACATGGGTATTAATGATGTATTGAATCCCATTAATCCCATATAGATGGTCAATACATGGGTATCGATGATGTATTGAATATATGGACAATACATGGGTATTAATGATGTCTTGAATCCCATTGATCCCATATATATATATGTACAATACATGGATATTAATGATGCATTGAATCCCATTAATCCCATATATATATATATGGACAATACATGGGGTAACCTGTAAAGTCCCAGCCACACCAAAGGTTCTTCCAATGCCACGCTCTCGGACGTCTGCGGGCGTCGCTGCAGTGAGGCTTCGAAGATGCCGCCACGCCCCGTCAAACTGCAGCCGTTCCTGCACAAAAACGGGTGCCACCAAGGAACCACCAGGTACCTATGCTTTTATCAAAGATAATTAATTTATATTTACCTTTTGTTAACTATGATTAAATATTATTAACTAGTAGTAACTTGTATTAACTCTACTTCAATGGGCCCTGGGATTAGTTACGTTAGTAACTGGCGGAAAAAAAAACTGACTAAATTTACTAAATACAATGGATTATAAGCCAGTTGCTAACTACTTATATAACTAATCTCCAGGCTCATCTAAGTCCCTTCTGGCAATCTAACATAGCCATGGAAAATGGCAATGGAAAATAACTGATATAACACGATATAACCATATACTGGGGATACAATGGGGATTATATCCTGCACGGCGGCCCATGGTTAGCAAATTGGTTTATAACCTTGAACCATAAATTTACCATAGATCCTACTTATAAGCCATACAAATGTGTGTCTCACATTTGGGTAGACCGGGTAGACCCACTAAGTTGAAATTGCAATTGTGATAAGGCTGATAGGGATAATGATGACTAACCCGTGGATTGAAGGGTACCCTACTTTCAGACAAAACCAACACGTGTCCTACTTGAATTTGCTAGTACATGCAATGCAGAAATCACTATTTCCAATCATAAATAGTGTTGCAAATCCACTGTTGACGCGGTCAATCGCAACCAGGTATAAGCAACAAACATATCAACGTATATCAACGTGATAACATCAACAAAATTCTGGGGGTTTCGAACACAATCATCACGAATGGCACCCTGGAACATTTTTGTTGTGTGTTTCCACGAGAAATATACAAGGACCAAAGAATCTAATCAGTCTAATCAGTGATAATGTGCACACAATCAAACAAAAAGCCGAATACAGTCAACAAATGCCAACAACGACAAAGGATGTAAGTCCAATAATTCTATCATGCGGCAGTGAGAAATGGACACACAACTAAAAAAACAGGTGAGATACAGTGCTGCATCTGACTCAACTGCGTTGTTCAACTCCAGCAATTCAACAGGGCAAAAGAAACATCACGGTTAAATGATTACCATGCACAACTGGATCTTCATGGAAATGTTGATGGATCTTATACGATTAGTATGTTAATCCTCTGAAAACCACTAAAGTCCATAGACATCGCTGTATCTTCGCCTGTACATAATATGGGAAATTATCTATATACATACATATATAATTATATATATGTACTATATATAGAAAAATATCGTTGCTATACATACTTCTGTATGTTCCCCCAAAAAAATTCTCGCACCACCACGTCAGGCCAGCCTGATGTAAGAGAAACTCTTCGTAAAATCCGGCTTGTTGAGCCGTTGATAGTCCTTGCAGTTGTGGTCGTCCGATCTTTAGTGGAGACTATCAAAAAGGGTAGAGTCCAGCTTTCCCACACACCAAAGTTCAAAGGCAATTTGTGGAAAATTGTTTTTGCTATAGCTGTTCTGGTTTGCGATCCCCAGTTTTGATGATTCCCCAGTGAACATGGCCACCAATTGATGGCAAAGGCCACTCTTTCATGGCCACATCTCTGTGTTTAATAAGTTTAATATATAATATGTTATGGTCGAAAATTCCAAAAGTGTTCAAACTTAAATCTCTACTTGTCTCTGTGTCTTAATGTCTTGTTGGCCAAATCCCAGAGTTTTGATATGTTTTGATGCTTAAATCATGTGTAAAATCCCAATTTTTCGTGGTAAAATGCTGAACAAATCCCACATCATGGTGAACCCGAGGCGCTTTCCGTCGCCGTCGCCGTCCCTGTTGTCCCCTGTCCTCCCAGCCCCCGGGGAGATAACTAGCGGATCTCAAGGCGTCTCTACTGGGAAAGGCCTCAGCACCTCGACTTCTGGCAGCCATCCTGGCGCAACTGGATGGGATTTGACCCAGTAAAACATGAGAAAACCCAAGGAAAAAACATGGATTTAACCACGGAAAATAGGTATTAAAGACCAGACAAAAACATGGGAATCCACCAACAAAAAGGAATTAATTTTCAACAACTTGGAAATTTTGCCCAGCAGAACATGATAGGAGGATGGGGATCTAACCTCTCAAAGTTGGTGTTGGTGATTGAACTAACTTTCAAGTGGATGATGGGTATTTGGCATTTGGAACTAATTTTGGACTATATACTTTATTTGGGAATTGACTCACATAATTGCCACACATGGGAAAAATTGAGTGGGTGTCTTAATTTTGGGGTTAGTAAACTACCTAAAAGGGCAACGTGTTGAATAATCTCCGGAACATAGGAATCAGCAAAAGTGGTGATTTTTCACAATCACCATAGATAAATCACCAATCACAATAGTGATGAATTCCTATGGTTGATTATGGTTGATAGATGAATTCCTATTGTTGATTTTCTATCGTGATTTTACTATGTGGTGAATTGGGATTTGACTACTAGAAATGGTGATTCTTCACCGGCAAACGTGATGGGGATGTGACATCACCCTTTTTTCAAACCGATTTTGGAGCACTCGAGTTTCGCACATCCAACGCAACCCGAAATCGGGTAGCAATGGACTGGAAGTAGGTCATCACTTAGTATTGACAGGTCCAAAGTGCGGAGTCATTCTTGGTTTGGACCCATCCCAAGAATATGTCTGCGATTATAAATTGTTATTTCAAACGGCGTGGAAAACAATTCCTTAAAAACCACCCACTGGCAGGTGATAATTACATTACAATGTTCAAAACCCTTGGTCATGCCATTGCACCGGTTGGTAAATTGGGATTCCCACAATGGATGATAATCCTTACATATATATATATATATATGGTCCCGAGTCAAAATTGTGTATGGAACGTTCCGCGGTGTTCCGGACGTATGGAACGAATGGGGCTTCGTAATTGGTCTTATTCCGGACCTTTGGAGTGTAATAAAATATAGGCTATACATAAATATATATTTATATATATATACATTATATGTAACATATATAATATACATCTCAAGGATATGCACGTTGAAGCTACTCCTCATCTGCACGACATCCTTGTTGTACACCTGTTCAACGCAGGTTTGCCTTGCATGGCTAGTGCTCGTGCACTAGATACGACACGACCGGTAGCCAGTGTCACCCACTGGCTACCATGTGAAGCTGTCGACTCAGCTTCAGACCTGTCACGCAGGTCCCACCTCCTACTCTTAAAATTCAGAGGTCCCTATGGGGTAGATCGGGGTAGATTGTGTCCCTGCATAGCAAGACTCTACCCTCCCATAACCCACGCGCAAAGGATGACTTACGAGCAGTCTATGTGAGAACCTGTTCACCAGTGGGTCAGGGGTGGTACATGGGTGGTCCAGGTCTGGAACGGGTATGGAACGGTATGGAACGGGGTCTGGAACGAAACGGCCCACTCCAGCACAGCACTGCCACCACGCAGCACATCTTTATCAATATTCGCAGTTTGGAGCGAGAATAGCGCAGCAAGCAATTCTTAGACTGCCAGCTGGCAGCAGCCAAGCGCATCTCTACAATCAAACACCACAGCTGTGCCACAGCCTGCAGCAACTTTAAGTGGTGCAGGCACAAACCTGCCACAGGTTGAGAGGGAGGGAGGGTTACAAGCAATCCATTCTTAGACTGCCAGCTGGCAGCAGCCAAGCACATCCCTACCATCACACAACAAAGTAGGTAGCAGCTGTAAGTGCTGCAGGCACAGACTTGCCAACACAATCACAGGGCTTGGGCATAGTAAACGTATTCTTGTATGTATGCACTCATGTATGTACGTGCGCTCATATATGTGCGTACAAATGTAAATTCAGATTACACATAATCAAATATATATATATATATATATATATTTGTATTATATATATATATAATTATATATAATAACGTATGGATCAGAGGTATGGAACAGAGGTATGGAACGGATCCTTCAAGAAGGTATGGAACGGGGGTATGGAACGGGGGTATGGAACGGGTGTGGTCCCGGAGCTTGTTCCGGACCTCCTATTCTGACTTATCCCCATATATATATATATATATATTGGCTAGTATAACCACCAGCTTTGCTGACGTTGCTGGGTATCATTTGACTTTATCTTACCCTTTATGCTGAAGCAACAAACTGCGTAAACGAGGCCAGTGAGGTTTCGGGAGGCAACGTATTTCCCCGTCGCCACATCCAGCCTTGCACCACATGTGAGGGCAGCCCTCAGCAAATACACCGTGTTGGGTTCCCTCTAATGCAAACAGTATCAATGATGGTGAGGCCAAACATATCCCCAACTTCCCATGAACTTCACCCACCCATATCTCCTGAAAGTTTCCTCTTGCCCGCAGGGCTGCGCCACTTTTTTGACCGTCTCTCCATAGCGGAAGGTATTTTTGGCCATGGCCATGTCCTACATGCAGCTGCACAAATGACTATATAAATTGGGAACATGAGCATACATGTCACTTGAAGTGCAAGATCCTGTTCTTCATTTCGATTGTTTAAATTTAAAATAATTTATATACCCTCTGCTAATCATGGCTAGCTGGGAAATTCCTTTTACATGGAGATGTTAATAAGAACATCATAAATTATATATAAATGAAGGATTTTCCGTTGCCATGGTGTTTGATTACCAGAGGGTTAATACATTGGTCACTTTGTCCAACCTATGGCATGATATAGCTCCAAAATTGGGTACTCCCCCAAACAAGACATCAACGTGAGTCATGCTGAATTCACGCAAATCCCAGCAAATATCGAGCTCCATCTGTCTTTAGATTATCATAAATTGCGATAATTCACTACCCTCTGGTAAACAAACAAAAAACTATGGAAAATCACCATATTTAATGGGAAAACTCACTATTTCAATGGCCATTTTCAACAGCAAATTGTTAGTTCACCAGGCCGGGTAACCGGAAAAGTTTGGCGTTCGATGCCCCAATCCAATCCTTCCAGTGACCTTACTTGCGACGGGAGTTGACGAAAATCATCCAGCTGCCCCAATCATATCACCAAAAATCTTCCGATTCTTGGTAGAAATCCCCACCTTGGCTGGTTATCCCGTTATCCCACCTAATGTGCCTAATGTGCCTAATGCGCCAATAATGCAACATCCACAAAAAATAACCATTTTGGGGTTCATACCAAACATCATCCCAGTCATAGTATGCCCAAATTCATAAACCTCAAACTTGGGGATGGTTTTATGGCATTGGGTTTCCCACATCAGTATACATATATATATATATATACTGGTTGGTGGTTTCAACCCCTCTGAAAAATATTACTTCCCTTTATTTCCCTTTATTGAAGGACTGAGGATCAGGCGCGCGACCCCCCAGTCCAGCTTCTCTCGCGCAGCTAGCCAGTCTGTGTGGCTCGGAGTGCAGCCAAATCCGCCGCATTGCAGGCTTGGCGCCCCAACGAGGTGAAAACATGGCTGTCTATGTAGTCCACCATTTCAGTGGGCCACCGCAGCCGGTAGCAGATAAGCCATTTGGCAACTGCCGCCGAATGAGGCCGCGTCATCCGCTGAGACAAGATCACCTTGTTGCCTTTCAGATAGCTCCTGAACAAGAGCAGGAACAGCTTCACCCTCTCTCCCCATGGTCGGCGTGCAGACACCGGGGCATCTTCAGCTCTGTTGTACCACTTCTTGTTATGGCACCAGGGTCCCTCATACCCCGTGTGCAACTGAAAGGACAAAAACAACTGCACTCCAGAAATGTATGTCAATGGCTGATCACCCTGCATCATTGCTGGTCCCCATCTTGTCCACCAAGTATGCAGCTGAGCCAAATTGTCTGCACCATACCGTTTGACAAGCGAGCCCGGTATCTTCCACTCAGCTGGCAAGGTTGGTTCCACAATCACTGCCTGAGGCACCACATGCATCGCAACCGGTCGAGATGACCTCACATTCGCCATCCTCGAGGTTTGAAGAAGTACAAGCAATATGGCACGGTGCAACTTCCGGTGAAATGATAGCGCACCGTTCAATATAACCCAATCCCGCCAAAAAGCTGATGGACGACGGTAATTCACCCCTTCAGCTGCAGCATCTGTCACATTGTTATGCCAATATGCCCAATCCTCCAACGGCCCTGTCGAGCTTCGCAAAGAGCCATGGGAAACAACCTTCCGGATCTGCACCAGATGCTCAAACCCTTGCAAAACCTCATAGAGCAGTCCCCACAAGCCTGAGTGTGGAGCATTGCGGCGGGGTGATCTGCCACGTGTGATCCGAAGGAAGCCTTTAACCACACCCTGACAGTCACACCAGATACGTATTGCTCGGCGGCGTTGAACTGCCCAAATTGTAACCTGAAGGACAGCTGTGAGTTCAGCACGAAATGGAGTCTGACTGAACCCCTTCACATAGCCACCCATCAAAAATTGGTTGTCCAATGTACCCACTCCACCAGGCACCACCGTGGCAGCCCAGGCTGCAAAACGCAGTTTAGGCTCATGCGGACAAGCACTCGTCCCATCCACAAAAACTTCCAGCAGGTGAGGCAGACTGCGGACTGAGGGTTCCACTGGTGACATTCTACAAAGTCCATCATCCTGAAGCAGCCAAACCGCAAAAACCTCCCATTCAGCCACAGTGACAGACCAACCATGATCACGCAAGCACGGAGGGAGCAACGCAAGAGCATCAAGCTGTTCCTGAGTCAGGTGGGCACGGCAGGGAGCAAAGTGTGGGCAAATCCAGGCCCGATGATGGAAACCGTCCGTAGCAGAACACCAAGGACACTGAGATGTAACGCCCGCACTGAATTTGGCTCGACCATTCTGCGTAAAGAGGGTGCCATCCAAATGACAGCGAAGAAACACCTGATCAACTGGCCCAAACGAAGCAAGCGCACCATACAACTCACTCAAGTCCACCTTATCAAGTCCATGAAAGGTATTGCGATGAGCCAACTCAGTGGAGAGCACATGACCCCAAGCATATTTGAACCGAAGCAAAAGCTCGTCCCAAGCAATGGACATCAAACTGAAAGTGCCGAACCGATCTTGGATAAGACCCTGGCTGCCCACACCCCACCCCAAGCGTCGAAGACGCGACAACAAAATGGCTGACGGGCCATTGTTGGGGAGCTTGTCAAGTGAGGTAGCAAAGAGTCCAAGGGTTGGTTCCACCTGAGCACGGGTACCCAACTCACGCACATCTCTGAAGGTTTGCAAAATTGCCCATGCCTCAGGGTCTGTTTGGAAGTGTGTGGAAGCAAGATGGAGGTAAGGATTGGCTCCTTTCCTGTCAGCCTTCAGAGACCGAGCAGCACCAGAGCGAAGTACCTTGAAGTGTGACTCCCCCAAGTGCACCACCGTAATGCCATGCAAGGCTCTGGGCCAGGCCATCATGTGTATGACCATGATCTTTTGCTTGTAGCTGGCATGGCTCGCCTTCAGACGAATCCAAACCTGGGGCATCTGTGCAAGGCGCTTCTGCAGCTCAGCATTATGGGAGTGCCGGCTAAAGTTCTGGTGAGCACCAAGGTTACGAGCGGCCAATGTGACCTCAATGGATGAGTCACGGAATTCACGTCTGGCCTCCGCTTCAGTGGACCAAAGACGGGCCTTCTTCATATCAATGGCCAAGTGCAGGTGGCCCGTGAACTGTTCCATGGCAGACCAAACCCTTCCCAAGGCAGAGGCATCCCGGAACAAAACCCCCCAATCATCCACAAAGGTACGCAAGTCCACCGTAACATCCAGTCCCTGCAGCCACCAATCAAGCATCCAGTCAACAATGGCCATACCAAAAACGGACAAGGCACATCCCTCCGGAAGTCCACAATTGGAGGGAAGGGGTTCACCTACCGACTGCCGTACTCGAAACCGCCGTGTCTGGCCCGACACAAAGGAGACCCAGGCCCTCAAGATTGAGACGGGGAAACCCAGGAGTTTCAGAGCATACCATAAAGGCTGACGTGGGATGTTATTGAAACATTTTTGGATATCCATCAGAAGTCCATGCAAGCCCTGTCCATCCAAGTAGGCTTTTTCCAAGGTGTAAGCCAGTTCAAACCATATGGACTTAGCCTGTCGCTGTGGGACACCACCTTTGATGCTTTCAGGAAGTAAGCGAGCTATGGACTGCAAGGCCTTTCGAGCCCGCTCTGAAGACCAGATGCGATAAGGAAGGCTGTACACCGCCACCGGTCGGAATTCATCCACACTTTGGGCACTGGCATGTTTGGCCAAGCTGGTGACAAAACCTGATGCTAGTTGAGCCGGCCATGACGACCCTGCCTCAACTGCCACAAAGAATTCCATCAAAACTACCCTGGCCTGCGGCGGAAGGGCAAGCAAGTCTGGTTGAGAAACTCCATCAGGACCTTTGGCAGCACGTGGCTTTTTTTGCCTGATAGCCAAGTCCAAGCGCTCTAGAGTCCATGGTGTATGCTTCCATGTCAAGGGACGTGCGGTCCGTTCCAAAAAACCACAAATTTGATCCCATTGTCCAGGCTGGACATGTGCATGTTTCACCCGTCGGGAAGTCCACACCGCTGCAAACCTTTGCAAGATTGCTTCATCAGTGACGAGGGCTCTTTCTTGAGTGAGCACAGAGCCTGGCTTCACATCAGGTAATGTGTCCAACCAAACCTGATCTTCCGCATGGGCAACCACCTGAACTACATGACCATCCACAACCACCGGAACATCAGGCAGGAGGGAAACAGGATGCACCAAGACAAGGGAATTGTCTTCTGACCTGGTTTCTTCAACATCGACAGCCACACGGTCAATAAGGGTATCAGCTTGAGGAAGGTGGTCCTCTTTACAATCCTGGAACACATAGGACATGTGATTGACACGACGTTGCTTGGCAAATTGATAGCGATGGCTGATCAGGGATGCTTCATAGCGTTGCATGTATTGGTGAAAGCCTTGGAAGAGACCCTGAAGGAAATCCAAACTCGGACACCAAAGGGGAAGTGGAGCAGTCACTGTTGGCTGAAGTCCATTCCTGCCCCACCAAAGTCCAAACACCCCAGGGAAACCAACTGCACACCTGATAGCCCGCCATGTTTCATCACGGTTGATGGTGCCATTCCATGTCAAAGTGTCTTTCTGAAGGATACAGCACAGTGACTGAAGCCGCCGCAGCTGACGGAAGTACCTGGCATGTTGCAGGCTGACCCCCATAAATCCAGGTTGCACATCCCCATTGCGTGCTTTCTTCACTGGACACAGGTACGTACGAGTGGGCTTGGCTTGCAGAACCCCCGCCCTGCCACATTGAGACTTGGTAACCGGCTGTCCATTGTGTTGAACCCAACATTTGGCATATCCCTCCACTTGAGACCAAAATTGAGCATAAGCAACAGTGGGGTCATCAGCGAAATCCACCACCACAGGACAAGCCCAGTCTGACGGCCACGGGAAAGAAGTAGGCTTATGCCACGAAGAGACAGTGACACGCAAACCCTCATGACCAAACGTTGCACTGACAGCAGCATGATCGGCCCAGTGATCATGTTCCACACTTGTACCCCGGTAAGCCCACTGCAACTCAGGCGAAATCCAAAGCTCCCAGTGGGTTCAGCTGAGACACCGAACCGCCAAGCACGAAGATCTTGAACCTCCCTGAAACCCAAGGCACGCAAGCGATTGAGCTGTTCAAGTTCATCAGGTCCATAGTTGAAGTCCCCACCTATGGCCCTGGGACCTGCGGCTTGGCATGCTACCCTATCCACCACTTCTGCCAAAATGGCATCTGTTTGAAACCTTGCCTGCTTGTGAGTGGCATTGCATGGAAGTCCATAAACCATCCCTACCGTGACCCAGGTATCAGCTACTGCCATCCCAACCACTTGGACACGTGCCGTGGCATACACATCTGCCGAGAAAGTGTGTGGCAATGCACGGGCAGGCAGCCGTGACAGGAAAAGCACTCCAGCATGGACACCTGTGTCAGTGCGCTTTCGAGCTTCACAGGGCGCACCTGCTACTGCATATTTCCATTGGCTACGCAGCATCTTCAAGCCCTTGGTAAAGGATGAAATTCCTTTTCTGGAGAGCTGAGTCTCAGAAAGCATCCAGGCATCACCACCAAGATGGTTGATTTGATCCAGTTTGCCATTCAAGCCTGAGGGGTTGGCTATTCCCAAGGACCACACTTCAGACGCACCACTGGGAGCGGGATGCAAGGCTTCACCAACGCGGAAGCTGGCAACAAAGAGAGACAAAAAACACCACCATCGAAGGCCTGAAACAGAGCGGGAACAAAACGGACGGGACCCTCCCTTCCGCTGGGTAGTGGCATAAGTCCAAGTCCAATCACCTCCCCAGCCATAATATTAGTCAGTTGGGATGATTATTCCCAGTATATGGAAACATAAAAAATGTTCCAAACCACCAACCAGTATATGTATTCCATTATATAATTGTTTATTCAACTATAATCCCATTGAATAATACATGTATATCCATGTATATCCCATTGTATCATCATTATTGGCTTATCTTAAATCCCATATGAATATCTGGGTAAATTAGAATAATTCACCTCAAAAGTGCATTTGGGGATGAGTCCCCGAATCCAATTCCCATAATTCCAGGCTTCGGTCACAGTGAGGCCACTACATTTTTTACCCACAAATTAATTTGATAAACCCATGATTTACCCTCTGGTAAACTAACATAGCTATTGAAAATGGCCATTTATAGTGAGTTTTCCCATGAAAAATGGTGATTTTCCATAGTTATGTTAGTTTACCAGAGGGTACCCATAAATGTATCCATAATTTACCCATTTAGAGCTCACTATATGAATCCAGAAAAAAAACAACAGCAACAACAACAACAACGCCTCGCGTTGCTCAGAGGTCGTGATGCCCAACTGCAACGTCGCAGGCCTGACCCCAAGTACTAGTCGCATCAAAAAAACAGGGCGCTGAGAGGCTATGAGTTGATTTGTAACCTTCATGAACCTATACAGTATCTACATGATATAATATGAATAGATATATATATATATATACACAGTGTATATATATATATATATCAAATGTACTAATATACGTATGATATTATATTAATCATATTTAATAATAAAGACAATAAACATACTATAAACATCAATAAACCACATACATCCACAAACCATATAGTTAAACATCTAAGCAATCTGGTTCCGAGTGCCTGGTTCTCTCGGGAATCGTCATCTCAAACATGGGACTGAACATTCGACACATTTGACATTTTGAGCAACCCAAACAGTAAATGCCGAAAAGTGCAATGCCCCGAAATAATCCGAAATATATGAATAACATGAAGTAGATATATAATGTTACATCGACAATAGTAAAGGGGGGTCCCCCCCCCCTATTTTTTTTTTTAAAGGGGGGGGGGTCTGCTTTGCAATAGTAAATCGAAAATCCCAACTCTTCCCCAAAGGCTTCTGTAAGGTTTTGACAAATCCTCTCTTTTCTGATGGGCTCTGATGGGATCTTCATTGGATTCTGATAGGAAGAAGGGGAAAAATGCCTGCTAGAGCCAGGAAGGTTGTTTCTGATTGCAAGTGCTAATTCCAGTTTTTAATTGCAAATGCAAGGACCTGCAAGGGGGTACCCTTTGTGGACCTGTTTTTGGCAATTTTTTAAAGGATTTTAATAAAGAAAACAACTTTTTTGAACAAGGTAAAGTTTTTGATTTGGTAAAGGTTTGCTTTGTTTTTTGCTTTTGAAAAGCATGCAATCACAATTTAAAACCATTCAACCACAATTAAAAACACTAAGGAAGAAGGGAAAAAAATGCCTGCTAGAGCCAGGAAGGTTGTTTCTTATTGTAAGTGCTAATTCTAGTTTTTAATTGCAAATGCAAGGACCTGCAAGGGGGTACCCTTTGTGGACCTGTTTTTGGCAATTTTTTAAAGGGATTTTAATAAAGAAAACAGTTTTTTTTGAACAAGGTAAAGTTTTTGATTTGGTAAAGGATTGCTTTGTTTTTTGCTTTTGAAAAGCATGCAATCACAATTTAAAACCATTCAACCACAATTAAAAACACTAAGGAAGAAGGGGAAAAAATGCCTGCTAGAGCCAGGAAGGTTGTTTCTTATTGCAAGTGCCAATTCCAGTTTTTAATTGCAAATGCAAGGGCCTGCAAGGGGGTACCCTTTGTGGACCTGTTTTTTGCAATTTTTTAAAAGGATTTTAATAAACAGCTTTTTTGAACAAGGTAAAGTTTTTGATTTGGTAAAGGTTTGCTTTGTTTTTTTTTGCATGCAATCACAATTTCAACCACAATTAAAAACACTAAGGAAGAAGCCTGCTAGAGCCAGGAAGGTTGTTTCTTATTGCAAGTGCAATTCCAGTTTTTAATTGCAAATGCAAAACCACCTGTCAACCACAAGGTAAAGTAAAAACACTAAGGAAGAAGGGAAAAAATACAGCTGAACTGTAACTGGTTCTGATTTTTTCCTGCATCCATACTAAATCTCAATTAGCTCCTTTGCAATTTAGTATTGTAAAGTCTGATAATTTGGGAATTTTCTGAAAATTATTTGTAGCTATTGCGAATGAACCACATTTATTGCAGATGCTCTGGACCAAGGTTGATGTTTGTAATTTAAAATCAATAAGGCCTAATTTAAAATCAATAGGGGCTGAAAAATCAGATTCTGAAAATTATTTGTAGCTATTGCATGCGCTTTACTATTGTCCATCCAACATTATAATCAATATCATCCATATGACATGCTGGAAAAAAACTTCTCGGCATCTTTTCGGGTGCTGCTATGCAATAAAATCCACCAGCTATGGGTATGTGTACATGCGTAGTGGAAGTAGATCCTTCTAATGGCACAATCTTCAGCCCCAAAATATGGCGTGTCACAGCGTGCACCCCAGGAAGCAGCCAGTTGGCATGTCATACGAAACAAATCATCCCAGTCATACAGTAGGGATTTATATTTTTATATAGTCAATAGACCACCATGGAGGGCGATAGCATTGGGTCACCATGGGTCATCGTAATTCGGCACCGCACCTCCAGGGAGTGTTCTTGTCCCAAGGACAAGCCTTCAAATGCTGCATGTTGCCGAAGCGGATCGGTCGAGCGGCCGCCGGCTCAAGCCCACCACTAGGTCGGGTGCTTCCGAATCGGGAGGTGATTTAATAGGTGACAAGGAGATGATGAAAAAAAAACCTGCTGCACCGGTTCCCTTTTTGTAGGTAGCTGCAGGTTTTGCATGTTTTGCTGTTGTGGAAATCTTGGACGAAGCGACTTGTTTTTTGGATCTTTAAAAGATCTTGAAAGCACTGCTTTGCAGCCTCAATAGTTTGCAAAAAATCATTACCATCACAAAAGGCCATGAAGATGAACCAATGACATATGTCTAATAAAGTCTAAAGAAACTTTTTGATTTGAGCCGATAAGCCAACACCAAGCAGCCGTCATAACCAACCACCCTGCTTTTAGGGATCAGATGAAGCCATGTTCTGAGGTTCTTAGTGTACAGCTCGAAAATGGAGCCTTTAAGTCAGCATCCAGCCTCAATACCAGCATCCCCAAATCTCAGTAAGTGATCCAAGTAAGTTTGATTTCGTGGACTGGCTGAGTCTTGTACTGTTCTATATAGGTCCATTCAAACAGGAAATTGCTGTGAATTCCAATCAACAACCGTTGTGAATGGGTCAAGTTGGCTGAATCCTCATAAATTTTGTCTAGATCCATGTTCAACCCCGAACCTAGCAATGAAATCTTTAGGATGTTCAAGAGTGGCAAACTATGGCAAACTGCTCCTGTCGACCGTGACCCACCAACATTGGGGATTCAGAACCCCAAAAAAAGGAAACGGGCACCTAAAGCCAGGTTGGCAAGAGTACAGAAATCACTGCGAGTCAAATCATATTCATGGACTTTCATGGTACCATCTGGTTATTTAACATAGCCATGGAAAATCCCCATTTTTAATAGGTAAACTATCTATTTTCATGGGCCATTCTCCATGGCTATGTTAGTCATAACCAGGGGGTAGGTATTCGCAACAAAATCATCGATCCAGTGATTCGAATCTCCCCATGTTGCGTATGTTGCGTCAGGGGGTGAACCCAGGTTTCAACATGTTTCAACCACCTGGCACAGTGCCATGGGGCTGTAACATGCTGTAACCGTAAGCGGATTGAGCCATGTTTGGGTGGATGATGGGTTTATCACTGCTTCTAGAAATATATTGACAATGTCAATGAAAAAAAATGATGGGGACCATTGCTGTCGGCAGATGTGACGTGTCAAGCCCAAATTATCCCAAAGTTATAAACCCTGTGTGAGAAAATTCAGGTGATTATTCCCTAAAAATGGTTTCATCTGGAATTATAATGGTTTCATAATTCAGCCCAGAAGGTGATTAACCCGAAGTTGGCATCGATTACGATTTTGAACTGTTGTAATATCATGTCATACAATGTCTATACATAATATATATATATATATATTATATACCATGATATGATGATCTACTAGAACATACTAGAACATATTGCTATGACGTTGTCCGAATGCAATGCACAGCTGGAGTACTCATCCACGGGTCCCTGTCATTTTGGATTCGCTTGACTGTGGTCCGAGTCTTTTGAGATCGGATCAGCCGAGTCTTCAGCCAGACAGCACAACGCCGGGGCGGATGCTGTCCGGTTGTGAAACTCCCACTGCGGCACACCGATCTGCGCAAATTAAAATATCTCGCAACAGCAAGTTCCACTCAACATCTGACCTCTGGACTGGCTGTCACATCATGCCGAAAAAAATTGCATTTTACCCCTCTGGGTATGTGTCACACTTAGAGACTCCCAACATGTGTTTGTGGGCCCATTGGTAACCCATGTTTGACCTACCCAGGTCTGGAAAAAATCATCAACAATACAGTGTCCTGTAAAATACAAATATATATATATATATATATTAAACTAACTAAATCGGGTAAGGGTACCCGCAGTATCTCGATACTGCACTATTTTTTAACCTGCCATCGACCCTCTGCATTCCTCAATTTTGACCTGGGAAGAACTCACCATTTTGGAAATTCCGCGCTGTTTCGACGGCGAATGGGACATCTTCTGGAAATGTCCCGATCTTCTGTGACACTTCTTCGAAACAAAGAATTGTTTTCAGACGAGATCAAAGAGATCAGCCGGTAAGTAGGTGTTGATGCTTCAATACAAGTACAGTATACAGAATACATGTGAATGACCGTGTATGTATATATGTATATGGTACACTAATGCACATTACATATTGTGTAATATTACATACTGTATATAAATAAATACATGTAAATAAATAAATACATGTATCTGAATAAGTACATGTATATAAATATACATATATATATACATATTAATTTACATCTATCTATATATATATATGTATCTATACATTATATATATATATATGTATCTATACATTATATATATATATATCATGTGTACACATATATATATACAGTACATTGATAATAGATTTGCAGAGACATGCAAAGTGTTGAGAATGTCACAATTGCCAGTGACTGCGGAGTTGACATGGTTTCCCCTCTTTGGATTCCTTCTAGTGTTGTTGTTTGTTTTTCACATTAGCCGTAACATAGTCAATCTGCTAGTTATGGTTATTTTGCAATTACCCTCTGGGTATTTAACATAGCTATGGACAATGGCCCATTTAAAGATGATTTTCCCAGCTAGAAACCTCCATTTATAATGGATGTTCCATGGCTATGTTAAATAACCAGATGGTACAGCCAAAAAAAAACTAAAGGATTAAAGTACCTATCCAAGGTTGGGGAGGATAACAACCAAGAGATGTCCATCACATTGTTGCATGGGTGCACAACACATAATTGGCTGCCAGTTTCTCATGCTACCTCTGGTGCATATCCTGGATCATATCAAACTGCTACCAGCATGCTTGTGCAACAGAAATCCCCAGTGTCAATCACTTACATGTGATTTGATACCCAGATTGACCCATACCCATCTAGGCGTGTCTGAAATTAGGGAAACACATTCTATCCACGGGTAGATCATCATGATCATTTTCTGGGCCATTTTCATTGGTGGTACACTAACCATTTCAAACACACACACACAAAAACAAAAAAAACAATTGGTTTGTATATCCCAAGTATATCTCCAGAAAAAAATGGGGCCCGGATATGCCCAGATTAGATAGGTATATATATAATTGATAAACATATGATAAACATTTATCCAATCTGATTGGTGTTTTTTTCATCCAAACAAAAAACACGTGTCGTCATCTCAACCAACCGAATCAACCCCGTGTGGGAGTCAAGAAACCTGGCATCCATTTGGTATCCATTTGGTAGCTGGTACCATTCGATGTTGATTTCCTCAAAGTTGCAGTAAAAGCCCCGCAGTAAACAAAACATGAATAATCCTCAACTATGGTTAATGGATGTTTATTCCCCCAATGAATATCCATTATATTTGACGATGATTAATGGAAACAAATGGATACCGTTTATTGTATTTCTTGAGGAAGTAAACATCCACTAACCATACAAGAATCCTCAACTATGGTGCTTGACCCATCCCCATTTATTGATGTTTCCTTCCACTAGAAACGCCACTGAAGATCTGGAAGATTATTTTACCTCCACGGCCGCGCGGCCGCTGAAAAAACTCCGCGTTTCGACTGTTTCGACTGCCTCACCGCGGGACGGGGACGCCGTTGGCGCGAACGCCGTTGGACACCTGACCCGGGACCCGGTCCGGCCGGTGTTCAGAGAAGCTTTGCAGCGAACTGAGTCATTTGTACATGGAAAACAAACAGCAATATAATATATAGCACCCCCCAAAAGATACACATATTAAACTGTTAAAAGAAGAATGGCGATAAATCATTTGTTAAAACAAGTGATAACTTATATGATGCATGTGTGTTCCAGCTGGGGATTGCATGGCTCATGGCTTAACTACTGGGATGCGCATCCGAACGGCAACCCCATTGGGGGGACGATCGGAAATGATGCCACATGTTTTCCCATAAGACAAGGATATCAATTCATCATCTGAACATGATTTAAGCACTGTCTGATATGTGTATATCTATCACTATACACCGTTACAATATATATATATATAATATCATATATATATAAATAATATATATATATAATATATATATAATAGCTAATTATAGCTCTCTATATATACTATTTATGTAAATTTATGTATGGGTATGACTCAAAATGATTGACGAAATGGATTACTAAATAATGGTAACACAGAAAGCATGAGAAACGTTCTGTGTCCATTGGTGCCCGATGTTAGGTTACCATACACGTAAAAAAAACGCTTTGTATTTAAATGAAATCAACTCGATGAACGTTGATTGTGGATTGTTCGAATACCACAAAATGCATTCCACATATTCATTGAGATAAAATCTTGATGGTATAGACTCATGGATGTAGTGGGAACAAAGGTTAAACTGGACTCTACGACAAACAGTGGTACTTCATAATTCCGAACTATTATCCATACCCAATGATTAATGCATATTAATGATACATAACGAACTATAATCACCAACATAAAAGATACTATACCATAATGGCTCCGTGGACCGGTCATGACCGGTCCACCTGAATCAGAATTTCTGGTCTGCCCAAAAATACCTCATGGTTGAGGAAAAAAAATATATTATATGTGTTCCCCATGCTTCATGGATTCTAAAGTTTCTAAAGCTGGATATATTCATCAAATCGAGATTTTGTGATATGTGATCGATTTGCAATGGATACTTGATGAATACTTTAATGGCCATACATTCAAGGTACCCTCTGGTTATTTAACATAGCCATGGAAAATCACAATTTTTAAGAGGTAAACCATCTATAAATGGACCATTTTTCCATGGCTATGTTAAATAACCAGAGGGTAAATCCACCATTGTTCAGAACAAACTGAGACCCCTGGGCTCCGTTTCTATCGTTGGCCTCTGTCGACTCAGTGGCTTTACCTCGCTGGCTTTTGGAGCTTTTTGGTGGATTAAATACGATCGATTCTTTTGGATTCCAGAAACAGAACTATGATTTTGCCAATATCCTTGGGTAACAGGTACTGGTTGGTGGTTTCAATCCCTCTGAAAAATATGAGTTCGTCAGTTGGGATGATGACATTCCCAATATGATGGGAAAAATAAAAGCCATGTTCCAAACCACCAACCAGCTTGGGTAACAGGTATCAGGAACATGGATTGCTATTGATAAACTGCCAACTCTAACCTGATATGTGATGCTTCCTCAGACTAAGAAACCATGCTTTCAGTATTAGGTGTGTTCATTTTGCGGCCCATTTAGGGTAGGCCTTGATATACTTTTATCATTTATTTAACCCTTAGATTACATTTGTTTCTGCTGGATTTGGGGATTAAACCATATTAAAACCGTGTAACATGGAACCGCTGGGAAAATGTGCTGGAGATAGCAATCCCCAGTGGTCCAAACTACAACAGGGTTTGCAGAGATGATTACCCTCTGCTAAATTAACATAGAACCTGGCAGATAGGGGTTGGAAGATTAATTTCCATTAAAACTAGGCTATTTTCAGGGTCTATGTTAATTTACCAGAGGGTACTTCATGGCCCATGCCATTTCTTATGTCAGTGTAGGGGTCGGCTCGGTGCTTCACCCTGATGATCAGCTCCCGGCTGATCTGCCGGCTTTGTTGATGGCAAAATCAGCATCTAAAAAAAGGGTCACCAAAATCAACGTGACAACTAAAGATATCTTAAATCACATCTACATCTAAGTAAATATAATATTTGTCCAGATTAATTATATCAAGTATCAATTGTGGACACTTATAACTTATAACATATATATATATATCTACATATTGTTGAATTGAACAATAGCCGCCAGTGAAATTTTGAACAAAAAGAACACATCCCCCAGGACCATCTGCATCCCAGCTACGCTGCTTGTGCTCCTCCAGTCCTTTGGCCGCGGCTCGCAGCTCACTCCGAAGATGTCGCACCATCTCCACATACCTCGCGTTGCGCCGCGGGACAGTAAGGACCGTAGCGGCGCCGTTGTCATGGCGTGATGAAACTGGAATGGAACAAGCACATGTCCTTTGGAACTGCTGATGTTTTCCAGAAACAAAAATGTAAAAGGTAACATGTCCTAAACATGTTCTGAAAGTTTGATTCCCGGAAGTAAGGGAACATCGACAAGAACCCCCATTGTCATCAATGATAAATTTGGGGCCAAGAACTAGGGTTTCCTGCAGACTTCCCCTCCAACTAACTAACCCATTGATTTATGGCATGTTGAAAAGCCAACGTTCTGTTTGGATGTCCTGGAACTTCAACACGGTTCCAAAGGGTGAGGCGCATCCGTGACTGTTCGTTTCTTTGCATAATGAAGTTGGCTTGTTTTCGAAAGGGGGAATTATACAGACAGGATTTGCAGGGTCTCAAGGAAGCAACAGATTTGGTACGAGTAGCCAAGCAACTCGTACTTCCTAAACATGATTCAAACCTGACTTTGTGGGGTTTCAAATACTTCAACTTCAACTTGACCAAACATAGCCAAAATCTCCTTCGCGGCCAAAGGCCAAGCTAGCTGGTAGGTTTCAACCCATCCCAAATTCCCAAAATACACAGGTCAATTGGCAATTGGGAACATCATTTTCCCAGGAGTGAAGATAAAGAACGCAAAAAATAACACTCTTACAATATTATCTGGTTGGTGGTTTCAACCCCCCTGAAAAATATGAAAGTCAGATTGGATCATCATCCCAACTATTGGGGAAAAGAATCCAAATGTTCCAAACCACCAACCAGTTAATCATGTTTAATCCACAAACTGGATCTTGACAGCCAGACTGCTACTATTGGTGAAACCCTTCCAAGTTCTGATTGGACACCAAGAAACTGTGTCAAGTCATTTCCACCGGTGCCCGCCGGTTTAACGAAGTTCTTCGTTTATAATTTTTGAACCTTCCTCCAACTCTAGATATATCATGATGCATATATATATAATTATATATATATGATATTTATATACTCAACATATATCCAACAGTTAACCCGGTTACAGTATATATATATACATATGATTATATGTATATATCATATAGTAGTTATTTTCTCCGCAGTGTTCAAAGGCCTCTCGTTTTACTCAACTGGTTGGTTTTGCTGATTCTGCAGATTCCCATGATGGACCGTCAGTGTAATCCCCGAACTCATCGACCATCCATCAGTCGTTAACTATATAGTAATGACTATGGTTGTTTCTATGACCAACCATCAGTTATAGAATTACAAATTATCAGATTTTCTTTAGTCATAACTGACTGATGGATTTATAACTGATGGTATTTGAAATTATAATGGATTATTCTGATGGTTTAGATCTGTAATTCTATAACTGATGGTTTAATCCCTCAACAGAACACAGAGATAATCATCAATCAACAGGATCCAACAGGGCTTTGGCGGCTGCTCAACTGTTAACGACATATGGGGCACCTGTCAAACTCTGAGTCATCACCCTGCGGCGCGAATGGGCTGAATGGTGGGGGGAAAAGAGATGTGATGTCATAACATGTCAAAGTCATTTCAATGAAGAAAAGACACGAATTAATCACAAAACCAGTTTCCCAAGTCCAACATGTGCCAGGATGGAATCTTGGAGGCCTCATCATTGGGTATTTCAATCGTGAGCGTCTCTGAAAATAGGCTACCCGCCAAAAAATAATGGCATGTCACGGTATGTCATCATTTGTTCTATCTTCTCCTATGATATTCCCATTAAAAAAAGACAAAAACTCCATATGTTTAGGTGATTCTCCAGATATTTTGCCATGATTTTCCACGGTGAACATGGCCAAGTTGATGGCTTCAATCCCCCTTTTCCCCGCGAAAAAGACGGGTCGCGCGCGTTGCGCGCGCGCCTTGTTGATGTCATCGGGTCGGATCTCTTGGGAGATGCGACGCAAGGTTTCGGACGCCTTGCCACACATCGAGGGAGGTTTGATTGTGACATCTTGTGACAATACCCCCTGGTAAACTAACATAGCTATTGAAAATGGCCATTTATGGTGAGTTTTCCCATAAAAAATGGTGATTTTCCATAGTTATGTTAGTTTACCAGAGGGTAATCAACATGATAAGGATCATATTATGGACAGGGAAAACATGGAAAACCATAGATATAAAATAAAGAGATAAGGGAGATCCCTATAATACAAACCACCAACCAGATAAGGATCATATCCCAGGAAGATCCCTATAATACAAGAATACTTAATGTTGATTATGGAGACCATGAAAATAAAAATGATACCTGGTTGGTGGTTGACCTACCCCTGGTTGGTGGTATAATAATGGTCATTGATAACGGTCATTAATAATGATCTAAAGCTGGTTGGTGGTTGACCAACCCCTCTGAAAAAATATGAGTTCGTCAGTTGGGATGATGACATTCCCAATATGATGGGAAAAATACAAGCCATGTTCCAAACCACCAACCAGATAAGGATCATATCCCAGGGAGATCCCTATAATACAAGAATACTTAATGTTGATTATGGAGACCATGAAAATATATATCCATGTTTTTTTTTAAGTGGAAACTCATGTTCTAAACCCTATCTGCCAGGGTCTATATTAATTTCCGGGCGGGTAGGTTTGACGATGGAGATCTTGAATAATGATGAATGTATTTGATGATCATGATGATGATGATGATGATGATGATGGCGATGGTGGTGGTGATGGTGATGGTGGTGGCAGGCAGTTTTGCCATCGATGTCCAAGTTGTGTTAAAACCGCCTGACTCTTCCATTCCGCACATGACAACTAGCATGGCCAACATTCAACACACACACACGAGGGTGTTCATGTATATTGTATGTATATATATAAATATATAACTATATTTAATGATGTATTTTAAAAAAACATATCACATATTTACATGCATACCACATATATACATATACAAATACATATACATATACATGCATATCACATATATACATATACAAATACATATACATATACATACATATACATACATATACACATAATCCAATATACATACATATACATACATATACATAGAATAAATATACATACATATACATACATATACATATAATCAAATATACATACATATACATACATATACATACATATACATACATATACATACATATACATACATATACATACATATACATACATATACATATAATCATACATACATATACATATAATCATACATACATATACATATATTCGTATATACATACATATACATATATACATACAGCATTAAACACACACACACATATATATATATATATTAAATATACAGTTGTAGTATCTCATACGTGCCATTGACTCAGGGAAAGTTAAGAGGAATTATTTGACCATCTGATCAATGAGATACAATACAATATGACAATATAACATAATATAATACAATATACTAATATAAGAACATACATAGTTTAAACTATATAATATGATATACTGTGTATACATATAATATGATATAATTTAATATAAATAAAACATAAGATGGATCACAAGGGACTCACCAAAGTAAGGTTTCTGAAGCTCACTCCCGGCCTCGCCCAGCTCGCGCTGAATGCGCCTGGTGGACTCCGCGTCAGGATGTGAGATTTCTAGAACAGAAACTGGGTGAAGTATAGCGTTCTGGGATATTGGGATATTCTGTCTATAGTTAATGGGATTTATAATATTTACATACCAACGATTTATGTCTATAGTTAGTTAATGGATGTTAATGGGATTCATATACCAACGATTCAAACTTAGGCTTCAAATCTTCAGCTTCTATTCAGACTGAAGCGCTCTCCCAAGATATTAGTTTTTTCCAAGCATGGATCCAGATCTAGCAACCCCTGCTTCGGTAAGAAACCTCGACATATCTGTAGGGCATTATAGGGCTATGGATCAAATTGTCAAAGCCCCGGGGGGCGAAAAACACCATGGTTTTCACATCCAATAACTGATAGTTCATGGATATTCATCCCTTGTGAATATGGTAGATTTGGAACCATCCCGATACAACTCCAAGGGGGTCATTGGTGAGAGCCTGCTCTCCTTAAATGGATCCAACATGTCCTGCCCCTCAACATTTGATAAACCTGAAACAATTGCGATACTGTACCGAAGATTGTTAACTCATTTTGGACATTGCGATGCCTGGTTTCTAGAAATACCCAAGCTGATTTTTGTTGATTAATTACTGGCAAATGCCAGGATAATTATATACCATCCAACTGTTTCGGGAAAAGTGTGGCCCAGTGGCATACCATTACCACCAACGATCTCCCAGCCTAAAGTGCTGGATTGGCGTCTCCTGCACTGATTCACAGAAGTGTACCATGGAGAAATGAGATATCTCCCATGTGTTCTGCCCAAGAAAATCAACCTGAAATGAAAATAAGCAATCATGTTGGATTTCAAAGGAGCTATTCTTGATGCGCAAAACCGTTTTTGATGTGATTTTGGATGATTTTGGATTTGCAGACATCAGGATGAGGGGATTCTGCCACTGTCTTGGCAACCGTCGTCATCCAAAGTGCTGCGCCTGTGGCAATAATCTTGAGCTTTGACCCAAAGCCTATCCTCCCCAAGGGACCCTCATAATACCAAAAACAAAATCATTACCCTCAGGTGTGCTCAAACGTGGCTAGCCTGAAAATCCACGAACTATCCATGGAGCTTTATAGCTGGGAAATGTTAATCGAACTAAAGGGGAATTCCAGCAAACCTTGTTTGATCAACGGGCGGTACGACTAGGGCGAAAAACGAAGAACGTTTAGCCATTTCCAGGCCCAAGGTAGATTGCTGGTGTATCATTTGGTTGGGAAGGAAACTGAATTCGTAGCTCCCCAGTGCCAATGCTCCCATTCTTTATTGGACAATGCGGATGCAAACAGAGCAGCTAATAGCCCAACCATATCCTTCTGATTCCTAAGGTGAACCACAAAGTTGCTCCAGATTTGCCCACATCATATCCCCTAGAGAAAATTGCTGTTTGTCGATGGTCCATATTTTAATCCCATATAAATCCCATGAAAAATTGCTTACCCTCTGGTAAACTAACATATGGGAAAATCACAATTTTTTTATGGGTAAATCAACTATAACTGGGCCATTTTCAATAGCTTTTTGTATGTTTACCAGAGGGTAAATCTCGGTGAAACCCCATGAATTCCCATGGTTTTCCACCGAGTTTTCGTCCTGCTCGTTGGAGCGTTCACCCTCGATGGGTTCAGCCTTCACGGCCAGTCCAAACTCTTCCAGCTGATCCACCGTGTCCTTCGCCTGCTCCTGAGATCAAGGGCGATTTTGGGAATGTGGAAAAACCATGGGAAATTTCTGAAATCACATGGGTTTTCAAAGTGATGAACTCTTGGGGATGATCCGGTGTTTTACTGTCTTACTCATCTGAAATGATGAAACTATATGAACAAGATGTGGGATTTAGCCCCGAAAATGCAATGGAGCTGTGATAAAAAAAAAGTAACTAGCCGAGTAACCTTAGATTGGGATTTCAGCAAAGAGGAGCTCATGATTCAAAATTGGGATTAAACCGTTCACAGTGGAGATTAATCAGCTACCATTACCTGACCAACTAACGAACTAAGACAGCTTGCAACTATACAACTGAGTATCTGAGTGACTAAGTGCCTAAGTGACCAAGTGACCAACTAGACAAACCTCAACAAAGCCAAACAAAGTGCCCAAAGCAACTACAGCAAGTAAGACAAGTGACTAGCAGCGCTGGACATCAAATCATGTGGCACTGGATGAGTGTTGGGATGATGTATCATGGCCCCATGATTTCATCATGGTACCCTCTGGTCAACTAACAGTTTGCGAACTGGAAGCCATGGCCCAGTCGAAATAGTGGATTTACCCAGCTATAAAGCATGGTGATGTTCCATCGTTTTTTTTTGTATGTTTACCAGAGGGTACTATATGGTCGCCATTAAACGCTAAATCACGCGATCGTCCAATGACGTTCAACCTTGGCTGATTGGGTTCAACAGTCAGAAACCTTGTGGCACGGATCCTGCTGGAAACCTGGTAAAACCTGGTTCAACACCTCCCTGCTGAGAAAATGTGACAACTTGAATCAACGAATCAACATCATAGGAAATTGAACACAAGCATGAAGTCGATTTCGGATCATCATCATGATCATCATCATCATCATCATCATCACCATTCTCATCCTCATCCTCATCCTCATCCATATCCCCATTGCTGGAATGGGAACTGGAGAAAACTACCCCAACGATTTGACCCATACGAAGGTTGGGATGGAAATAACGCACAGATCTTTGGGTGAACACACGATTTTTGAGGAAAAACAAAGTACCCCAAAATCCCATGGTTTCTCCGTATCCTTCCCAGAAAAAATGTTATTTTATGGGCACAGCCCATTTTTGAACACTCCCAAACATATCAAACATCATATTCTTAGTATATTCCCATTAAATATATATATATATATTTCCATTATATCAAAACAAAATCCCCATGATCTGGGTTATATATGATTATATACAGTAAATTATATATATAATATGATCTAAGTATGGCTATATATTGTTATACATAGATAGGCATAGTTATATTATAATATGGCTAATGTTGGTTCTATGTGGTTATTATATGGGATCCCAGATTATCCCCCACTCCTCTGACACACGCTCCAACAGCGTCGCCACGCGGGTCTTGTAAGCTTCGTCGTAGGCCAACTGCCACCGCGCAGGTTCATGGGTCGGCCATGGCCACTTGATTGTTCTGACCAACCATAACAATCTATATCTGAGTGTATGTATATATATATATATTATATACATACATGGTATGGAATACTATATTATGGCATAATATTATACCATTGGTATGGAATGCGCCCCATCATGGAATATCATGCCGCCGCTGGATCCAAAGACTTCCAAGGTACCCATCTTCGGTCCACTACGGATCTAGAGGGATGGGATAAACAACAAAGGTGTGGGCGCCTCTAAGAGGCCGTGCGTTTTTGCACATGGATATATTTCTCTTCAATGATGTTCCAAGGTTTTGCCGCAACGAGAGCGGTTTTTCAGAGATATTTATATATTGTGGGTGTGTCAAAAGTGATGGAAGGGTATGGAAAAATTACAGCCTCGGTGTGATTTCACTGGTTTTTGTGGGACGAAAGCCATCATGTTGGAAAAGGCAGCTGTACGCTTTTTCTTCTCTTTGTTTCAGCCGCTTTTGCGGCAAAGGTCTCCTAGACATTTGTACATGTCGTCGTGGCAATTTCTTCGTACATATATATAACTTGAAGTCCATCATCAATATCTGACATGATGTTGAAAAAATACTCTATGACATGATGTTGAACAAAATACTCTATATTATAACCATCTGCAGCGTAGCATATATATATAACTTGAAGTCCATCATCAATATCTGACATGATGTTGAACAAAATACTCTATATTATAACCATCTGCAGCGTAGCATATATATATATAACTTGAAGTCCATCATCAATATCTGACATGATGTTGAAAAATACACTATATTATAACCATCTGCAGCGTAGCATATATATATATAACTTGAAGTCCATCATCAATATCTGACATGATGTTGAACAAAATACTCTATATTATAACCATCTGCAGCGTAGCATATATATAACTTGAAGTCCATCATCAATATCTGACATGATGTTAAACAAAATACTTAAGTAGGACTTGGCGCTGAAGCGCGAAGCCAGCCCTACGTGGGGGCAATTGCAGCTGCTGCCGCTCTAAGCTACGTAAAGTGGCCCGTGCTATGGCTTCACCACCGCCGCCGAGCACGGAGGCCGGGTGCAACCGGGCCATATTCAAAAAAAGCTCATCCCAGACACCATAATAGCCTCTCACCCTTACCTTGGAAGCAGCAAGCAAATTTAAAAAAACAACTATATATTTGTACATACAACAAGAAGTGCAACCATCTCCCGCGCATAGAAACATGATCGTCATCAACAAATACGAAAAACTATGTCTTATTGTCACGATCTTTCCATAGGGATAAAATATCAAAACCCTCCCGAAAAAAACAAAAACTACCGAAAAGCCAAAAAGCCAAAAGGAGAAAGCTTGACCAAAAATGCCAAGGCACGGCTGCAGCCGGAACTTGGAGAAAACCAAGTTCGGCTATGAAGCGAAAAGGTTGCGGCAGACGGAAGCGACTGCCAAGCGCAACCTAAAGCAGGGTTGGCGCTACAACAAAAACACCGAAACGTTTCTTGAACTCACTTTAAAGCTTTCGTCAAAAGAACCACCTTTGTAAACAACAACTTCAAAAATGCTCCGTCCTATCTAGAATCTAGCCTGCAGCCGATGTAGGTCCCAAGGTGTGAGAAGCTGCAATATGGCCGGAGTGTGAGCGATCAGGGCAAGAGCGGCATTCACGACAAAATTGCGCATCATAGCTGCCAAAAAAAAAGGACGAGGGTGGGACGAAACAAACTAATTAGCCAAAAGCTGCAATGTGCTTCATGTGGTGTCATGCCGTGAACCCGCTGGATTGGACCAAACCCCGGAAGCTGGAAGAAACACAAAGGGTAACATTACAAAGCCCTTTGAATCCATTATTTTCGGAGGATACCAGAACAGCTGTAAAGCCAACGAATTCAAAAAAGAATCCAAACGTCAACTCATTGAAACACAAAAGACCCGAAGTCACTCAACTCCTTTACCCTTTTCAGAGAATTCTTACTTCATAATCAATCATTTCCTTTTGTTGTTGGTGACCCCATACAGGAACCAGATCCAAACCATTCTACGTTAGCAACAAACTGTACCCCTGGGGCGTATGCCCCTTTAGGCCCCCCCGGCCCCTATCCTACCCTAAACCCCAAGTCCGAGTTCGCCCAGGGGTTTAGGGCTCTTAAATTCGGCCGCAGAGGGCGTGCCCCGAAGGCCCGCCTTCTCGCCTACGAAGGGGCGGGGACGGGCCCCGGGGCGGGCCCCGAAGGGCCCGCCCCGAGGCCCGCCCCCTAAGGAAACTTGAAGGCAAAGCGTCTTTGTCAGAATTTTCCTCGAGGGCCCGCAAGGAGCCTCTTGCAGTCTCAGCCCCTGCGGGGCCCCGGACAAGCTAAGCGCCAACGCCATTCGCACCGATGGTGTTTATCGCGGTAATCCATCGACCACCCCAAACAGAAAGCAAGCATAAGCACGCAAAGCCCCGAAAGCCCCAATGTTAATCGTGGTTATCCATCGACCACCCCAAACAGAAAACAAGCATCAGACCACCAGCAGCTGCAATTGCCGGAACTCGGCGCCATGAAATGGGAGCTGGACCTGCCACCTGCGCCCGTCGCGCAGGTGGAGGCGAAAAAAAGCCTCCGCGGCAGCCCATGCTCCAAGCCGCGTCTCAGCGCGAAAACTGACCCAAGAGGCTCGCTCGTGCAGCCAGGTTGAGCCATACAGCGTGCAAACTCTGACCTCAGAATAGCTATACTTTCAAAAACCCGTAATCCAAAAGAACCCCCCCCAAAAAAAAAAGTACCAATCTTATGGAAACATTATCAGCACCAACCATTATGTATAGTAACTTCTTGGAATAAAAAAATCTTACAACTGGATGCAGGGATGATCCATACATATCCCCTTGTAACAAAAAGAAAAGACCCAACCAAACAAAACCATACAAAAAAGCATCATCAAAAACGCCAAGGCACTGCATCGTGCGGCAGGTCAAAAAAACCTAGCCTGGCTAGGAAAAAAAAGGGCCCCTGGAGTCTACGATGCCCGAGGGCAACCTCAAACAGGGTTGACGTCACAACCAGAAGAAAAACATTTCTGAAACTAACTTTAAAGCTATGTCCTGTAAACAACAACTTAAAAAAAGACTTCTCGACCCCTTTAAAGTTCACCCTGGCCTGCAGCATCCAGAGGGCCCTGGGCTCAAGCATCTGCAGCAATGAGATGCTGCTCGACACGATAAGAGCGAAGGTGTTCATGCTGAACGCGAAGAGAAAAAAATGGCGCGAGGGCGAAAACAAACGAATTAGCCAAAAGCTGCGATGTGCTTCATGTGGTGACATCCACGTCGCATCACCTTGCACGCAAGAGACATGAACGTTATCACACCCCTCCCACCCCACCCCAAAAACCTCAAAAACGCACGGCCTCTTAGAGGCGCCCATACCATAAACAACCAACAGCCATGGGGGATCCTGGGTGATATTATTGTAATATCTTGTAATCTTGGAATCAAATGATAAACCAGTGGATTTATTTTGTATACTCCCTAAACTCATCTTTTCAATTCTGTTCAGACACACATGTCATAGAATCCAATATTAATCAATCATGTGTATCTATACGTTACCGTATGTATCTAGCCAGATCTAGCCGGAAATCGAAAAGTTAGTTTCCGTGTGCAGAGTTTGGCCGCTCTCAGACATTCTGTTCATGATGAGTCGGTCACTAAATCAGACCGAATGGTTTTTTTCTGTTCACACCCAAATCTGCTTGGTGGTTTTTCACCTACCCCTCTGAAAAATGATGGAGTGAAAGTCAGTTGGGATGATGACATGACCCCAATAATTATGATGGGAAAGTCATAATCCAGCCATGTTTGTGAAATTGGGATTTGGATGTTCATCTCCAAACATCTGGTCCAGTTTTCAACCTCAGATTCCCAGTGGTTCCAACCACTTATGAGTTGGTTTACAAACACATCTCCTTAACCAACAGAAACCTAAATGCTTGGGCAAGTTTTATTGCAAATGTTTGGGGTTCATGAATTCCAACTCTTGGAGGGTAAATCAGTGAAATCCCAATATGTTAGGACCAATTCCTAGGTACCCTCTGGTAATTTAACATAGCTATGTCGATGGTCCATATTTTAATCCCATATAAATCCCATGAAAATGGCTTACCCTCTGGTAAACTAACATAACTATGGAAAATCACCATTTTTCATTGGTAAATCAACTATAAATGGCCCATTTTCAAAAAGCTATGTTAAATTACCACAGGGTATACGTTAAATTCTGACCCAAGGAGACCTGAAAAAACCGTGAAAAAAAACTTCCTGAGCCCAGGGCACCATTTTTTTGCCTGGCTAAGAACGCCTTCCCTTCGATATCTTCTGCTCTGTTAAGAAATCCAACATATTACACAGGATGGGACCCTAAAGTTAGCTAAGTTGGTTTATAACTATACAAATCCAACAAACCCGGAAAACATCACTATCTCATAACATCTCACAACAACACATCACTCATCCACTACCTTCCCATATCTTTCCCTGTTAAACACCCCGGGCCATGTCATGATTTCACGCTCAAATCAGGCCCGACCTTCACGGATCTCACCGTGACTCCAGCGATGCCATTGGGGATGCTGGCCGCCAACAGGCCGATCATGTACTCAGCCTGCTCCTGGGAGCATGGGAATCATGGGAGTTTCCTGAGGATTTCAATGGGCTTCACCGACACACATGGTGAATCATGTGGTGAATCCTATGGTGATATGTCGAATTTGGATTTGATGGGATTTCATATGTTTGAGGATTTCAATGGAGGCGGAGAGGAGGGGGGATCTACGGGAGGACGAGGAGCTGACGACAAATCTAGAGACCCTCGCCAGACAGCAGGTGGGGAAAAACAACATAATAAGTGCTAAAATTCAGTACAAATGATTGGTAAAAACTCGTTCATTTATGGTCACATGTCAATCCCTTAAACATCAGACCAATCCTTCCCAACAACATCCATCCCCTATCCGAACACTTACTTAGAAGGTACTTAAAGTCCCAATTGCTTTTTACCCAGTCACACTTCCGTCCTCCGTCCAGAGCCAATGGTCTGTTCTCCCAATCAGCACCTGCCAGAAAGTCTCCACCCACAACGTTGCTTTTTTGTGGGCTGGATGGGCCAACAAAAAGGATGGGATAAATTGGATTGCATCAGCCAAAAATGGTGAGATCGAAACAGTATGCTATGCATATCTATGCATTCCAAAGTGATCCACTGTAGAGTTTCACATGTCATCCGTAGGTCTGAATCCCAAGTCGTTCATTCTCTGGCTGGAAGTGCCACTCATGATCCCAAAAAGAACAGACGAGACTTTCTTGAGATGTTCCTCTACCATATTTTTTTCGGGGTGCTTAGCTTCTACACAATCCCATACAAGATACAATTACCATATATTAAACATGTCTTAAATAGTCTTAAATTCCAAAAAAAAACTTGTGACGGCTTCGACATTGAGACGGCCATTGTACAATCGGGAAACTGCATCAAAATTGGTGGAGGGCACCTGGATGTACCAACTATGAATGGGCCATTTTCCGGTTACGAAGTGGTCATAAGGATATCATGTTCCATTCATGTTCCATTCATGTTCCATTGGGGTTTCCCCCGTTTTCCACATCTTCCATGTGTTCCCGAGGGATAACCATGAAGTTGGCTCTGAGAGTCCACACTCTCCATGGCGGAGGTCCAAACAAGCGGGTGGCATTGTTACCTCGGATGGGTCAAAGTTGGATAAGATACCCTCTGGTGAACTAACATAGCAATGGAAAATGGCTATTTATAGTGGATTTTCCCATTAAAAATTGTGATTTTCCATTGCTATGTTAGTTCACCAGAGGGTAACACCAATAAGATATGACACATAGACTCCTGGAGATGGCGATGGAGAGATCCATTCAAACACCATCAGATTCTTCCACAGCATCAGATTCTTTTCCACACCAAGTTTAATGAAGTGAAACATCAACATCCGCTAGGCCGCTAGGCTATAAAGTTGTTTAATGACATGGCACAATGGTGTATGAATGACATTCACACTTCATTAGCCTCATCCCGAATCGGGAAGTCATGGTAATGTCAAACCTCCAATTTGGCGTCTGAAAATAGGGATAACATGGGATACCCTTTGTTTGTAAACTAACATAGCTATGGAACTATGGAATATGATCCATTTATAGATGATTTACCTCTTAAAATTGTGATTTTCTATAGCTATGTGAGTTTACCAGAGGGTAACTGTAAATCTACGCCCCCTTGGTAAATCGCGAAGCATTGTCCGAAAATTCAGACAACTAATTCGGGGCCCTCCATCCCCATATCTGTGGTCACATTTTTTTGGTTTCCACTATCTCACGGGTTGATTTTTGGTCCGCTTTTTGGAGTTTTTGAAAATCCCGAAATCAAGTATATCTGAAGTCTCATCCCCAAAATTGGGACGTTTACAAACCTCTATAACTTGACCATCATCTGCGCAACTTTGTCAACCTTGAGGTGGTTTCAGTTGAGTCCCTAGTTTCATGTGTTCTTTGTTGGGTCGCTATGGAATTAGCCCAGCTGAATTGTATCCTCAGACGTTTCCTGAGAGGTTTAAACGCCCGTGAATCAGTGCGAAATAACTTATTCGGGTGATAACTGGGAGCAGGGCCCCCAAAAAGGGTCAAAAGCTGTTTCTCAGCTGATCAATGGGAATTTCAGGATCCTAAAATAGAGGTACTGTACCATATAAGGCTATATTTTGTGGGGATATTCCCTTACATAGGCCTTATATAGGCCTTATATATGGTAGGTACCTCCAATTTAGGTCCCTGAAATGGCCATTGAGCTGAATATGAACTATTCATTCCCAACGCCAAAGTGGACCCATGATAATGATCTACACTTCACCAGAGTTCATCATGGTTTTCCCAGGTAATTCTTTACACATGGTCAACCATTAAACTGTTGTTGGTACTGTACTGTAAATCAATCTGACCATATTGCAACTTTGACTGCAACCCATGCAACTGCATGTTCTTCTGAGATCCTTTATAAGAGCCTCAACAGGCATATGTCCCAAACGCATGTTCACTTTACCATCAACTCAGAGTAGGAATTAATATTACGTGTTTGTCTAACCATAGAGTACCCTAAAATTTGATGGTTCATCAGCATGTTCCACATTAACATTTTCATTCAGTGAGCATACACCATTTTCGGACAGACCCAAATATCCTATGATTGATCTCCTATGATCTACCTCAATTATTATATACCACTTGCAGTACAATCTATGTCATAGTATGTTTATGTTTCTAACAAAAAATATCCCACTTTGGACGGTATATATGCATATATCATCATATATCCCCATATATCCCTATACATCCCCATATTCCTGAAATAGGGGTACCCCCAAATCATCCATTCTAGTAGGATTTTCCATTATAAACCATCCAGCTATTGGGGTACCCCCATTTGTGGAAACATACGTATATATATGTATATATTATATATCCCCATTTCAATCCCCATAGTGAGATACAATTGAATACCTGGGAGAAACATAGTACCATTTGATAGTACTCCCGGATGATATTCCCATATATCCCATATAATCCCATATATCCCTATATAGTTCTATATAATTCCTACAGTTATGGCCATTTATCAGTTACAAGTACTTATAACATCTTATAACCCCATTTATAGAATGTATCATCCCATTTATAACCATGTTATAACTTTATAACTGATAAATGGCCATAACTGTATATATTCAATGGAGGATAGTGTTTAGCCATTTCAATCCCCATGAAATCGTCCCATCGGTGAATCCCAGCGACTGAAGAAGGCTAAGCCAGCCAGGCCTTGCAGGTCCTCGGTCGCAGGAATTGGCCGATCTTATCGGAACAATGGGGAGCTAAACCATGGGACTTCGATGCATTTTGAGTTATGTTGAGAAATTTTGAGAAATTTTGAGGAAATTTGAGATATGTTGAGAAATTTTGAGATATGTTGAGAAATTTTGAGAAATTTTGAGAAATTTTGAGATATGTTGAGATATGTTGAGATATTTTGAGATATGTTGAGAAATTTTGAGAAATTTTGAGATATGTTGAGAAATTTTGAGAAATTTTGAGAAATTTTGAGATATGTTGAGAAATTTTGAGATATTTTGAGATATGTTCAGATATTTTGAGATATGTTCAGATAGTTTGAGATATGTTGAGGTATTTTGATATATGTTGGGATATGTTGAGATATTTTAAGATATGTTGAGATATTTTGAGATATGTTGAGATATTTTGAGATATGTTGAGGTATTTTGATATATGTTGGGATATGTTGAGATATTTTGAGATATGTTGAGATATTTTGAGATATTTTGAGAAAATTTGAGATATTTTGAGAAAATTTGAGATATTTTGAGAAAATTTGAGATATTTTGAGATATGTTCAGATATTTTGAGATATGTTCAGATAGTTTGAGATATGTTGAGATATTTTGAGATATGTTGAGATATTTTGAGATATGTTGAGATATTTTGAGATATTTTGAGAAAATTTGAGATATTTTGAGAAAATTTGAGATATTTTGAGATATGTTCAGATATTTTGAGATATGTTCAGATAGTTTGAGATATTTTAAGATATGTTGGTGCCTTTCACCTGATTCTCAGACCAGCCACTGCCGAAACCTAATGATTCTTCAGGTTTCGCCTCAACCAATGGGATCGGGATGGTTTCTTATTAGATGTTATGAAGCAGGGTCGTCCCAAGGAGTACAACTTCAAGCCACTCTTTCTCAAAAAATCCTCCTTGTACTCGAGCTTGTACCGAGGATTGGAACTGTGCAGTTTGGTCCGCGAAAGTTCAAGATCCCACTTCCAACTTCAGAGCCTCGAGTAGCTGCTCTTGGAACGATGCACACGAGCCCTAACTGGTACGGTCAACCGCCTCAAGGTGGTGATTCAATGTCCCCGCCTCTATGGGTTTGGACGAGTTATTGAACTCAAAGACAGGTTCTCCTGGCAAAACGGAAGCTCTACCTGGACCCTTGCCATGTGCTGAGATGGGCAACGCCTGCCAAAGAACATCTCCGACAGGTGGTAAAATGTGGAGACGGGGCAAAACTTTTTCCACCTTCACACACACATACACACCCGGCAATTCCAATGGATAATCATCATCATCATCTCTATGAAAAAACATGCCATTTTGGTGGTACACTACTTAAAAACAGACCCACATGAAGATGTTCCGAAACATAGTCAGTTTGTACCACAAAACCGATCATATCGTTTTGATTTGTCGATGTCTAAGCCATGTACATATATATATATATATTATGGACAGGGAAAACATGGGAAAACAATAGTTGGTTGGTGGTTTCACTACCCCTCTGAAAAATCATGGAGTTCGTCAGTTGGGATGATGAAATTCCCAAGTGAATGGAAAAAAAATAAAACATGTTCCAAACCACCAACTTGCCACCAACTTGTCACCAACCAGATAGAAATACCTACGTTTTGATTAGGGAAACTATAGACCTAACTGATCCTTAAGGCGGTGGGGCCATCGATCGGCCGAAGCGCCAGTTCCAATCCCGGGCGCCAGGGGAGTGAAGAGACGATTCTGAAATCCTATTGGTTAATTATGCATGATACATGTACATTATTAACCAACACTGTATATCATAATTGTTAATTAAATGGTGACATGAAAAATAACTAATACATTAAAATTAGCATGTACCTATTGGTATATTGATGTTGGTTATTATAGAATTGGTATTGAAGTAATAACCAATACTGTAATGACAACGTTGAGTTACACATCATGTCTATATCGAATATTTTATTGTCTAGTGACATCGATTATTTTAACGAGTGGTTCTCATTTAATAATTAATGTTAATCCATCAGCCATATTACGTTTTTGGGAAGTCGCACTACTAATTGTGGCGGTCTAACAGAAGAATTGGTCAAACCCATCGTTGCATGGGAAATCCCACTTGACTACACACTAAACAATGTATATAGTTATATATATACATATTATGAATAATTGGAATGCCATTGGAAAATCCCATTGCTTATCCTTCCGGTAATCAAACATGGCTTGCTGGAAAATCCCCCAATTAGTTCGCTGATTTTCCCAGCTAGAAACATTCATTTAATTCTGGGATTTTCCAGCTAGCCACGTTTGATTGCCAGCAGGTAACCAATATTTCATTCATATAATTCCATAGATATCCCATTCATATCCCGTTCATATCTAATTATATAAAATTCCGTTGATATTACATTCATATCTTATAAATATTCTATGAATTTCCATGATATCCCCATGAAACCACCTACGGTTTCCCTTAACCCAGGTGAAGACCCAAGTGACGTACTTCTGCCTGCGCACTGGATCTGCCAACGTGGCATAGGCATCTGCAACCTGATCTGGCTGGCTCACCAACATGGACACCTTGGAGAATGTGCACCTGAAACGTACCCTCTGGCAAAGTAACATAGCTATTGGAAATGGCCCATTTATGGTTGATTTACCCTTAAAAAATGGTGATTTTCCATAGTTACGTTAGTTTACCAGAGGATAATATAGCAACATGTTCGAGTAAAAAACAAGCATATAAAACCGCCCATGTTTGCCGTTCCATCACCAGGTTTGCTCCTAGAACCGGGGATACCAGGGGTAAATCAATGACAAATGTTCCCCGCTTGTGGATATAGACTACCTAACCAAGGTTTTAGTCTCATCTGGATATTATATATGATATTATACTGTGTTGCTATAGATGTTGCTACGAAGTATGTGTGTACATATATATATATAATATGTATATATATATATAAATCCGAGGGAAAACATCCCATATCTGCCTAAATCCTCATTGAATACCCTCTGGTAAACAAACATAATAGCTATTGAAAATGGCCATTTATAGTGGATTTACCCATTAAAAATAGTGATTTTCCATAGCTATGTTAGTTTACCAGAGGGTACATGGAAAAAGGACACATCCAAAACCACCCAGCTCGGCCTCTTGAAACTTGGCGCGCATCACCTCGTTTCCGGGATGTTTGTCGGGATGACAATCCCTCGCGTTGCGATAGTACGCCTGCGGAGGTTGAAAATACCGGGCGGTCGTTTCGGGAGAACCAGAAACCCAACTGGCTGCAAAACGGAGGTGCCACTTCTAGTGACTTTGTCGTGTTGCTAATGTGTATGGGTATGATACATGATGATACATGTATAATATATATATATATATATAATTATATATACATACATACACATTTAAATACAAAAGAAATATATGTGTTCTCTCTGAAAGTAGCAGGATGATATGCATCCCGAACTAGTTAGTTGGAATCCAACAACTAGTTGGGGAACTTATATATTATGAGATGATTCATGATTAGAGTCTTCATCCCATCTGATGCGATACACATTGACATTTTCTTGAAACCACCAAGCCGACCATTGATATGTTTGTATACCGGTGCATTATCAAAAATCATATTCCAATTAGTTCTCTTGACAAGTTACAAGCAAACTTGTAATAAATCACACAGTTTTATCGCCCTTTGGTTGTTGAAATCCCACTATACCTTGTTACAATCGAGTATTCGTTCTCCCTTTCAGGTGGTTACCCTCTGGTAAACTAACATAGCTATGGAAAATCACCACTTTTAATGGGTAAATCCACTATAAATGGTCATTTTCAATAGCTACGTTAAATTACCAGAGGGTATTTTTTCTCCCTTTCAGGTGGTTAAACCATCTTCCAACCCCCGACTCATGGGGGGATGGTGGCATCTGCGTCCGGGGGCCTTCTTGATATCCGCCACCGAAGCCTCTTTACCGATGCCCAGGACATCGTAGAGCTTGGTGTCTGTTGCAGGAGGGCTGTCCACTGCAGCACCTGTGATGCCATCATGGACCATCCAGCTATGCCAGCTATTTTGGGTGGCTTTTGACCCATCCCGGCCCATCCCTATATATCATATGCATATGCCGCGTTTTTCAGCTAAGCATATTATATATATATATATATATAAATCATAATATTTATTCATGATTATTCATATCAGTAGATCCGGCATGAGAGATAAAAAATATACAAGACCTGATTTCCCGAACACATGCAATGTTCAATCTCAAAATGCTGGTTCTGTCAGGGTAAGACATCCTTGCATAATTTGTTTGATGACCTTGTCTGAAACAAACAGATATTGCCCAAAAAGTCTATCGTTGAAAAATCGATGTTCCACATGTGGGGGTTCAATCCCTCATTTCTTGGACAAACCCAGTCATCATGTCCTTGGCTATCCTCGGCATCAGTATCCCAGCTGTCGCCCACCATTTTTTTGTTCCCAAGGAATCGATGGGTACCTCAACCCATCCACTGGTTAATCATGAATTCCTTTCATACAAATCGTAAATGTTGGGGTATACCATATTTCAGACACATCCGACATTAGCAAAAATATCATCATTCTATATCCCACTATATCCCGCAACACATCCCCATACATGCGGTGGATAAATCCCCATTGGTTGCATTCCTCATTGGTTGCATTCCCCCATGTTGTTTCGACACACATCATGTCATGATTTGTCTGAAGATATACGAGACTTCATGAAACATTACACATGATTGTCGGAAGATACAAAAAAACTTCATACTCTATGGATCCAAACACCTGAGAAGGTACGGAAGGTACGGAAAACAAGTCTTACCCGAAATCAAGCCCCACCTCGCCGTGTTTGTCGAGGCGACAAACCCCTCCACCTAAACGTCGAGGCCAGCCGGGATGATCTAGTCTACAGGGCAGAAGCAAGGAAACATATCACTGAAGATCGATCTTTATCCCAGCTCAAAAGTTTAGATCATGTTTTTGATGGATTTTATGTGTGTTTTTTTTCAGAACATGAAATGTATAACTTATATAACAGGTATTTCCATAAGAATTGATCCTTCAATGTTCAAGATGCTAATGGATTTTAGACTGACAGTGTGGATTTCGCACTTAAAGTTTGGATTTAATCACCAGCCATTATTCATTACAGTAAGCCAGTTCAAGTAGATTTCATCGGCCCGATCCAAATCCATCTTGGGCCCTGGCCACGAGGAGCTGGAGCCCGTGAAGCCTTAAGTTTCGCCAGGTGAGTCAAAATCATCGGAGTATGAACCAATCATCCACTCTGAACATGCAACTGGCTAGATAATTTTGATACTATAGCCAGTTATCGAGATTGGATACTCTATACTAATACTGGCTTGCCATCCACCAGAAATTCCGGGAACCTCGGAATACAGCCGCTATAGCAGTAGCCAAGACACCATCAACCCACCAGGTCTATATCTTCTATCGATATGTTTTAAGATTAATATATCTTCATTTAAATATATTTTCATACATCTTCTATTACAGTAAATATGTATCTCACTAGTATTCTATTATATACATCTTCAATACATCTTCACCACTGACCTTTTGCTTCCGTTGTTCATGTGACCAACATCCCCAAGTCACCAAAGCTGCTTTTTGCCTGAGATCCCCAACTGATCCCGACACCAAGGCATCCAAGGGCGGCAAACAGCAAGAGGCCAGAGCGGCGAAAACCTTGCTGCAGTTTAAGGCGCCCATTGCCAGTGTTGCCATGGAGGCTGTTCCTTCAAGCCTTCCCCATCAAATTCTCCATAGTGCTATTATATATGTATATATATATATGTAAATATATATATATATATTATTAGATTAAATATATATATATTGTATCATATCCCTATGGATCCAGCCGTAGTTCTTGGCAAGTATGAATGGGTTCTGATTTGGGGGTTAAGTACGTTTCAGGAAGTGTTTGGATCCATAGCATATCTCTATGTGTCTATAATATATATATAATGTATATACATATATAATGCATTATAATATGTGTGTTAAAAATGTGTCGTATCTGTTATTGATGATATATGATATATTACATTCCAGAAAATTGACATAGGAACATCACAATCCACCATTTACAAATCATTTTCTTCGGATTTGCAATGGGCTTTCCATAGTGTTTTATTCTGTAAATTACTGGAGGATACTTCTAGCAATAATAATTAAATCAATTCACCAGATTGGGTGAACTCCCAGTTCATATATGATATAAAACAATATAAAACAGAAATGTGTTCATCTTCCGTTGGATGTGCTTGGATCACATCCATGACCAAAAATGGGACGGTCATCACCAGGTCTTTGCCCAGAAACGCACACTTGGCGGTCTTAAGCTTCTTCGCTCCATTCGGAAACACCCCTTTCGGCAACGAAAAACACTCAGCGTCCAGTGAGGGAAAAAGAACTGGAAAGCCCAGCGCGCCCCGAAGAGCCAATGGCTACACGGCTACACAGTCCGCCAGGAAAAGAATGGTTTGGAACGCTTCCCGTTGGTTAATCTACAATCCAGCCGTGCATTCGCACTATGCATAGGGGGCAAACCCTCCAGAAAACTAACATAACAGTGGACATTCAGCATTTAATAGGTATGTATACGGTAAATCATCTATAAATCACAATTTTCAATATAGCTATATCTTAAATTATGTTAAATTACTGGAGGATGCTGGAGGGTATATTTCAGCTGGCATTTGGAGAGAGATGTGCCATCGCAAGGGGATGGACCATCGTTTCAAACATCTGCCCTGCTGATTCCCCGAATCCATTCACATCCAGCATCATTCCGTTGCCATTGGGACCATCCAGCATACATTGAGAAATCAGGGTCTACCTCACATTCTTCACGGTTGAATCCCTCGTCCCAGTAAGTTTCCCCTTGTGTTCCTGATGATTTTTTCATTCCCATTTTAACCCCCTTGTTTTCCAGCTTAAATCATAAAAAATGACCCATTGAAATCCCTATTGTTGATGGTCAAAATTCTATGATTTTCCACTAAATCCCTACAGCTCCCTAACCCTCAAACCGCCGGGCAATTCTTTTCGCTGCTCAATCCCACCAGGAGCTGCCGGTGTCGCCTCGTGGAGCTGTGGGCTGACCATATTTCTTTGAGTATTCGAGTCGAAATAGTTCCAATATGTTCCAATGACGTATATATATATATATACATATTATTATATATATATATATATTGTATATATATATATATGTAGAAAGCGAGAGAGATCTACTAATAGAATGGTACTAAATGAGATAGTGCCATATACGATATAGTACCATATGTATCTGGTCGAATAATTTCAGAATTCGCTGCTATTTCTGCTGTTATCATATGGCCATTTGGGGATGACTCCCCATACATGCACAGTGAGGTCAGTATAATCCATCCAGATATATGATCAAAGTACAGCCAATATCAGCCAATATATATATATATACACACAGTAGTATACATATAATTATATATATTGCCAGTGTAATCTCATGTACTGTATGTACTGCTAATCCTATAGTTATATGGATATATATATATATAGAGCAACAATTGTGATATCATGTTTCCATATTGTTCTCAGTTGTTGGGTCATCCTTCCCTGACAGAGCAGATTCCGTGTGACAGTTGTTGGCGTCACATACTGTGGATGGTTGCGAAATCCTGCACCACCTTGGATGGTTGAAACCCTATAAATAATGGGATGTTTACCACCTATCAACTGGTGCAGGATTTCTCAACCATCCACAGCATGGTGTATGTCATATAGGGGGATGGGATTCTGTGTCAAGACTTTTCCACAAATCGATGGAACGGTCATGTTCACCAATGTTTTTAATCTTAGTCGCTACCCCATTTTGCAGGGATATGCAGCAACTTGACGATTTGGCTTTGTCCACAAATGTATGGAATACCCCAAATTTGCAGGAGTGTCATGGTGATGTTAAATTTTATAAATCATGTGATTTTGGTGAATGAGGTAATGCCAATCTAAAAAAAAACAAACAAGTCCCCAACTGCAGTTTGTTGTTGGCTACCCATTTTTGGATGATGTAAAATGACCTCCAAATGCTTGCTTACTGGCATTGTTTATGCCATGGGTTGCATAAAATCAATCAAAATCTAACCAACATTAACCAACAACAATGGTGTTTTTGCACATCAATAATTGCAAGAAGTGTGGGCCATGGTATGATTGTCAAATGTTTCTTCATGGGAACTGAGTCGTATGTGGTAATTCACTCATAGATGTTCATTTAGCATGTTGCAAACACTTCTTAACAGAACGCTAGTTTTGCACTAGTCAGATAGTTCAGTTCTATTTGATATCATCCTGTTCTGCAAAACTCATACGGAGGTGGGAAATACAATTACATCCTACTCAGTCCTACTCACTACATATTATGGTCTGATTATATCTGATTTACAGAAAGGCTACATGGCCCGTACATGGCTCCATGAGGGAGTGTAAAATGGCTAAAATCCGTCGCACTGGACATGAACACAGACAAGGACTTTTTTTGAAAGGACTCAACATGGAAGCAATATGAAAATTGTGGCCATTTCCCCATGGTATAGATACCATCATGATACCCTCTGGTAAACTATGTTAAACTAACATAGCTATGGAAAATCACAATTTTTAATGGGTAAATCCACTATAAATGGCCATTTACCATAGCTTTTTGTATGTTTACCATCGTGATACCATCCCATGAAAATTCCATATGAGGACCCGTTCATCCACGTGATCCCAACTAGGTCCTCCAGGTCCATTCTTTCGGCAGACCTGGCGGTGCCGTGGCAACTGGGGAACGTTAGATAAGATGAGGCTTCAAAACGGTCACAGTTGGTGGATAACAACAACAATAATATATATAATAGGTTTTGTCAGATTAAAAAGTAGACTGATATCATCAAAACCTTCACTTCTGTCTAGGAGTCTAGCAGAATAATATAAATATGAATAATCGACGTCCATATCAGAACTAAAATTCTACCCTCTGGTGAACTAACATAGCTATGGAAAATCACCATTTTGAATGGGTAAATCAACTATAAATGGCCATTTCCAATAGCTACGTTAAATTACCAGAGGGTATGATATCTGGGACAGGTCAGCCTGGTGGTGCCCGTTCATTAGTCATCTGGGATACTTTAAATATGAAGATTTAAGGATAGCCCTCCCACAGAAGGCCCAAGGGAAGCCCCGAAACAATCAAAGCCACATCAACGGATTCTTCTTTATCACCGGGCCTTTGAAGGAGTCAGTGGCCATGTCAGGAACCTACATTGGAGGTATATAACATATAATTATATATATAATATATATAAGGTCTATGTAAGGGCTTTGTAAGTGGATGCACCCCCCAAAATATGGCTTTATATGGTACAGTACCTCCTGTCTAGGTACCTGAAATGGCCATTGAAGGAGTTCCCTTTCCATGATTCTGGCAATCTACATCTGGAGAGTTTATGAAGACCTGAAGAGTTCGGCCATCTGGGGATACTTACCCAAATCCTAAGCAGCATTCAAGTGATATCGCAGTGAGGTCCTTGTGAGGTTCAGAAGATCCGAGAACTGTCTGGCGGGTCAAAAGCCTGATACCCTTCTGTTCACACCAAAAAAGCTGGTAGTTGTGGATGTTCATCTCCCAAAAATAGACAAACACCATGAAACAACTATAGATTTTGACCCTTTATATGAATCATATTGTATCCTGAATTCTGCTGGTGAATTCCAACATGGTTTACTCTTGAAATGAAACATGCCATCCTCCTCCTCGTGGTGCTTTCATCCCCTGCTTAAAAAAAAAAAAAAACACTTTTGGTGGCTGATGTGGTAAATCCATCTAACCTCAAGCACACTAAAGATTTACATTTGTGATCATTTGTGGGGCTACGATTCTTTATCACCCTATAAAAAAAAAAAAACATGGTCGCTGGATCTCTTCATTCCGGGGGCATAGGGAAGTTCTTTCATAGGAAAAGGGATTAATCATAGTTAATCCATCATCATGTTCTTGGTTTCTTTGGATCTTGTTACCACTTGTAGCCACGTATAAACATATAAGCCATACAGGCCATACATATAAACCACAAACCGTGTATAAACCACTTAAATCATGAAACATTGTACCACCATCATCATGGTCCATCATGTTCTATGTCGGTGTCTTTGGGTCCACTCCACCACAGCACCTTGGTATGAGGCTGAGGCGTCTCGTGCCTCAAGCCGCCGCTCTTGTAATTCCAAAGCTAGGATTCAAATCTCTACGTTCTTTTCATTTCAAGATATACGTATTTATATGAAGGTATCTGGTATATGCTTTTCCGCAACTGGGATAGAATATTATATAAGATTATATGATATAATGGGGTATGTCGGCAATCCCCTCCGCAATGAATGGCTCAATGTGTGTATCAGAAATAAGTTTGCCACTTTTGGTGGGGAGGAGGATTCAAAAAGATTGGATCCTTCGGTTGTGCTAAACCAAATCATAAACCATCCATCACCACCACATGTTTTTACTGGAAATGGGTGGTCTAAACATGTCTAAACCATCAGGATCCATCAGCCATCCCCAACTTGGTGGCTCAGTTTTGACTTCACCAAACTATGGCCCCAGCGCCAAGGCACCATTGAGCAGGTCTGTTGCTGTAGTGGTCCGGCTGCACTGCGCCAGAACCAGTGGATCCACACGGTATCCACGGAGGTTGCTGAGGCTCTTGGGGCGGGGCGTGCCACTGCTGCGGAGGCATCGATGTCCTTCACAGCGGGAGAGTAAAGCAGGCTGGAGTAGCCAGGGCATGCCTGGGGTTGGCCCAAAAGCAACTGAAACACCCCTGACCTCCATGTACACTACCCAAACACAGTCATGAAGCAATGCAAGTAACATCAAGTAACATGTCAAGTATCTACATTCGGATTGGGCGCTGCTGTTCAAAACAAGCAGTGGCAGGCCAAATTAAATGGGAAAGGCACGTGTCTCCGCTAGTTTTTCGATTTAGTTCATCTTTTTGATAATGTTGTATCCTGATTAGTGGCTAGGTTTGCTATTGTGGCAATAATTTTCCAAATTATTCTGAACCCATGTATTGTTTGGAAGGTTCACTGTTGTGGCAAGAAATCTTGGGGGGGACAATCTTGTTTGTCGAAAAAAAATGTTTGTGTAAAAGAATATGGACATGTTTCTTCTGAAAAAATCGTGCTTTTCTCCCTGTCCCAAAAGAATCAGACCGCTTATTAAACCGCTATTAAAGAACAATTTTTGCACAAATTTCCAAGGCACTGGGCCATGAGAGGGTCCAATTCACTTTAGTAGGTTTGTTCTCAGGGTTCACAATTGCAGCAAACCATTTTTTCAGAGCTGATTGTGGTATCCGTTCTCGTTCTCTTATCCTTTCTCTTTCTCTTCCTCTTCTTCCTCTTCTCTCTCTCTCTCTATTTCTCTTTCTCTCGTTCCCTTTTTTTTCTTTTTTTCTTTATCTTTCTCTTATTGCATGGTTCATTAAGAAAAAAACTTAAGGTAAGGCGGAAAAGGTACCAGTAACGCAATCAACATGCTGAATCCCACTCACTACAAGTACTACAAGTACTACAAGCACTACAAGCACTACAAATACTACAAGTTCATCGGCAAAATAAATTTTAATTAGAGTTCAATTGTAGCCAATTGAAATCCTTACTTACTTAAGTGCGGATCGTTTTTTATTTTGTTTCTGGGACACATTTTTTTGGCACCCAACTTTAAAGAGGGGTATAGGATCCCCCTTTGAATTCGGTCCCCAACCCGGGTGTTCAGATTCTTTAAAGGGACGCCCTGTGCCACCAAAAAATATTTTTAAAGAATGGGAACCCTTCTGTACAGGCACCTGGTACAGTGCTTAAAGAATCATACCCAGTTGGCCACTCTAACCCATGAGGCTTAAAGAATCATACCCGGTTGCACCCCTCGAGAGGGCAAAAAATGAGCCTAAAGAATTAGAACACCCGGGTTTGAGTTGTAGACATTCACCCGTATGAAATTTCACATATGTTTTGTAGCTTCGCGTGGTTCTTCGGAAATCTACCTACAACATATTTTTACTAATGTTTGTTAGCCCTAAACACTCCCAATTCCAAAAAAAATGCGCAAACCGAAACACCTCCGCTCCTGCTCGCTGATCTCAATTCAATTTTTGCCGCTCTCTTGCATTATGACCCCGTGTAGAACAGAGAAAGTTGATTTTAGCAAAAAAAATAATTAAAAAAAAAACAGAATCACCAAAAAAACAAATCGACAGGAAAAATCACCAGAAGAAACAAAAAAAACAAGAAAAAACAAAAAAAACACAAAAATCAAAAAAAAATCCAAAAAAAATAAAACCTGCATTTTCCGCAGTTTTTTTGTTTTTCTTGTTTTTTTCCTTGGTTTAGGTTTTCTAGTTTGTTTTTTTTTGGTTGCTCTGTTTTTTTAAAATATTTTTCCGTCAAACCCTATATTCTCTGTGTTGTTGGACTCAAAACTCTTGCAACGCAAGATTTCCCCAGTCTGATCTAAAGATCATTGGCAGTTCTGATTCTTTAGAGGTTAAGGCCTGTCGACCCATCAAAACCCAGTAGTTTTACATAGTTCTATGTTATTTTGGTTCATTTTGGATAAGTTTGGGATATTTTCAGGGGAAGCCTCTCTAAAGAATCAGGACCCAGATCCCAACACAGGGGTTTGTTGAGCTGCCTTCTGAAGACCACTGGTGCTATACCTGGGAATACTGGGGGTTCCCTGGGGATTCCCTGGGAGGGTATTTTAACAGATTTGGAAGGGGACTGAGCCAGTTCTGATTCTTTAGAGGTTAAGGCCTGTCGACCCATCAAAACCCAGTAGTTTTACACAGTTCTATGTTATTTTGGTTCATTTTGGATAAGTTTTGGATATTTTCAAGGGAAGCCTCTCTAAAGAATCAGGACCCAGATCCCAACACAGGGGTTTGTTGAGCTGCCTTCTGAAGACCACTGATGCTATACCTGGGAATACTGGGGGTTCCCTGGGAATTCCCTGCGGGGATGGTGCTTTAACAGATTTGGAAGGGGACCGAGCCAGTTCTGATTCTTTAGAGGTTAAGGCCTGTCGACCCATCAAAACCCAGTAGTTTTACATAGTTCTATGTTATTTTGGTTCATTTTGGATAAGTTTGGGATATTTTCAGGGGAAGCCTCTCTAAAGAATCAGGACCCAGATCCCAACACAGGGGTTTGTTGAGCTGCCTTCTGAAGACCACTGGTGCTATACCTGGGAATACTGGGGGTTCCCTGGGAATTCCCTGGGGGGATGGTGCTTTAACAGATTTGGAAGGGGACCGAGCCAGTTCTGATTCTTTAGAGGTTAAGGCCTGTCGACCCATCAAAACCCATGCTTTTTATCGCTTTCTTTTGTATTCCCCAGTGTTACTAGATTCATTGGCCCTGCATTTTCTCTAAAGAATCTAGACCCAGTGAATCACCAAGGAGGAAGAGAGGAAAAAAACATTCTTTAGAGGGAGAGCTGGTGGCAGCACCGATCAGATTTAGATTCTTTAGAGATCTTTAGAGCTCAAGAAAGGATACTCAGAAGAGCCCAGAAGATTCAATACGTGTTGTACATGTTTTTGCCATTGTTTGGCCATGTGTAGCCCAGGAGAATTTCCGAATGATTTCACAGAGAGGATGATCGAGAAATACTCGGAGAAGGTGAATCACGATGGTTTCTTCCTAGGGGTAGCAGATGCCTTTCTTTTTGCGGTGAAGCAGGGCAAGAGTTTAGCCATTGCAGTTGATCCTCAGCCTGATCGGGCCTTGGAGGTTCTCAGTGCCAGAAATTATCTGTGCGGGATTCTTCCTGAAAACATCCAGATCGAACGGAGAGAAGGTGACGACTTGGATACCAGAGTCCTGATTCTTGGTGCATATTCAGCTGCGACGCCAAGTTTGCTCAAGAAGGTGAGCGGAATCACTACGTCCCAGCCATTTTCAAGGATCAGCTCACTCAGGACGAGTGGTTTGATCGCACTGTTTTGGGCCAACGGTCCACTCGGAATGAGTTGAGGGAGAAAGAGCAGGCATTGAGGACGCTTGATTCAGACCTATAGTGGATGCCACATCATGCCTCTGTTCCATTTTTATTGAAATATTCTATGAAGGATCAAAGAATTGGAGCTGATTTCATTGGGGAAACACAAGGCCACCAAAATGCCTACTACATTTTAATGTTTTGCTATGCCCGGCAAAACGATGAACGGAGTTATTGTATGAATCTATGTAAAATTTTGCTACTCTCATCATGTCTAGTGTCAGTTTTGTTGCGGCTTTTGGGCCATGTTTTGGCCAGCACTTGAAAAATTGAGAAGGTCATTTTAGGGTTCCAAAATTGCAAAAAATGCTTCCACAACATAGTCCTCTAAAGAATCATACCCGGCTGCCCTTCATAGAGAACGCGACCCCATGCAAACAGGCAAAGTAAATTCTCTAAAGAATCAAGCAGAAATTGACAACGCGGGTTGTCTTATTCTTTAGAGGAAATTCCAAGGGGGATGGTATAGGTATTGTTTGAGGGGGGGCCGGACACTAATCAGGACGAAACATTATTTGCAAATCCAGGCAAACCTTGAGACCTTCTGGAAAGTACTGCAAGCCTCATGTCAAACGCTCTATGTACAGCCATGCTGCACAGCCCAGCACATAGCAATCACATCACACACATCATACACATCATACACATCAAACACGTCAAACACGTAAACTACAGTAAACCTTCATAAACCATCAGAAACCATCCTCAGCCCCTGATTTAATCCAGTCTCCTGTGGGTGTCAGGGCTCATGTTGGGCACTGCGCCAGAACCAGCGGATCCACACGGTATCCACGGAGGCTGCTGAGGCTCTTGGGGCGGGGCGTGCCACTGCTGCGGAGGCATCGATGTCCTTCACAGCGGGAGAGTAAAGCAGGCTGGAGTAGCCAGGGCATGCCTGGGGTTGGCCCAAAAGCAACTGAAACACCCCTGACCTCCATGTACATACCCAAACACAGTCATGAAGCAATGCAAGTAACATCAAGTAACATGTCAAGTATCTACATTCGGATTGGGCGCTGCTGTTCAAACAAGCAGTGGCAGGCCAAATTAAATGGGAAAGGTACGTGTCTCCGCTACTTTTTCGATTTAGTTCATCTTTTTGATAATGTTGTATCCTGGTTAGTGGCTAGGTTTGCTATTGTGGCAACAAGTTTCCAAATTATTCTGAACCCATGTGGTTGTTGATCAAAATTCCTTTATCCCGGAACGGCCATTCTTCGCGAATAAAAAAATTACTTTCGCGAAACTTTCGCGAACTCCATGTTTATCTTTCGCGGGGCCCATGTTGGCCAACAACACCTCTTATGAAGATTCGTTCACCACCTGCCAAATTACGCAAGAGAATCACGGATCACTTCTTGGTAGCCTTTTAAACATGCAGCTAGCATCACGGAATCCCTTCTCAGGACAGATTTTTTTTTGCAAAGTTTACTGGCCCGCCCCCTTCAACATGCACTTTGACTTTCGCCCGCTCTTTCGCATAACTTTCGCGGAACTTTCGCGAAAATATCCCTATTCACAGACCCCGGCCATCAGCAGGGGGTGCACTGAAGGAAAAGCGAAGACCAGGGGCCTTGGTGTTTGGCTCTCGCAAAGCCTCACTTTTGGAAACTTGGCTACTGCTACTCGCATTCTCTGGTGCCCTTCTCCTGCCGGACCCCGGGCGGCAGTGGGTGGCAGCCCTTTACATATAATGATTATAATACCCAACTTTCGCGAAACTTTCGCGAAATAAAATGTTACTTTCGCGAACTCGAAAAAAAAACTTTCGTGAGGGTTTCCAACATAACATGCACGGCTTTCGCAATTAAAACTCCTTACAAGGACCTTTAGATTAACCATCATGTATTGTTTGGAAGGTTCACTATTGTGGCAAGAAATCTTGGGGGGTCAATTTTGTTTGTCCAAAAAAATGTTTGTGTAAAAGAATATGAGTTTGTTTCTTCTGAAAAAATCGTGCTTTTCTCCCTGTCCCAAAAGAATCAGACCGCTTATTAAACCGCTATTAAAGAACAATTTTTGCACAATTTTCCAAGGCACTGGGCCATGAGAGGGTCCAATTCACTTTAGTACGTTTGTTCTCAGGGTTCACAATTGCAGCGAACCATTTTTTCAGAGCTGATTGTGGTATCCGTTCTCGTTCTCTTATCCTTTCTCTTTCTCTTCCTCTTCTTCTTCCTCTTCTCTCTCTCTCTCTTTCTCTTTCTCTCGTTCCCTTTCTCTTTTTTTTTCTCTTTCTCCTTCTCTTTCTCTTATTGCATGGTTCATTAAGAAAAAAACTTAAGGTAAGGTGGAAAAGGTACCAGTAATGCAATCAACATGCTGAATCCCACTCACTACAAGTACTACAAGTACTACAAGCACTACAAGTACTACAAGTACTACAAGTACTACAAGTAGTACAAGTTCATCGGCAAAAGAAGTTTTAATTAGAGTTCAATTGTAGCCAATTGAAATCCTTACTTAAGTGCGGATCGTTTTTTTTTTTCTGGGACACATTTTTTTGGCACCCAACTTTAAAGAGGGTATAGGTATTGTTTGAGGGGGGGCCGGACACTAATCAGGCAAAACATTATTTGCAAATCCAGGCAAACCTTGAGACCTTCTGGAAAGTACTGCAAGCCTCATGTCAAACGAGACCATCAGAAACCATCCTCAGCCCCTGATTTAATCCAGTCTCCTGTGGGTGTCAGGGCTCATGTTGGGCACTGCGCCAGAACCAGCGGATCCACACGGTATCCACGGAGGCTGCTGAGGCTCTTGGGGCGGGGCGTGCCACTGCTGCGGAGGCATCGATGTCCTTCACAGCGGGAGAGTAAAGCAGGCTGGAGTAGCCAGGGCATGCCTGGGGTTGGCCCAAAAGCAACTGAAACACCCCTGACCTCCATGTACACTACCCAAACACAGTCATGAAGCAATGCAAGTAACATCAAGTAACATGTCAAGTATCTACATTCGGATTGGGCGCTGCTGTTCAAACAAGCAGTGGCAGGCCAAATTAAATGGGAAAGGTACGTGTCTCCGCTACTTTTTCGATTTAGTTCATCTTTTTGATAATGTTGTATCCTGATTAGTGGCTAGGTTTGCTATTGTGGCAACAAGTTTCCAAATTATTCTGAACCCATGTATTGTTTGGAAGGTTCACTATTGTGGCAAGAAATCTTGGGGGGGACAATTTTGTTTGTCCAAAAAAATGTTTCTGTAAAAGAATATGGACATGTTTCTTCTGAAAAAATCGTGCTTTTCTCCCTGTCCCAAAAGAATCAGACCGCTTATTAAACCGCTATTAAAGAACAATTTTTGCACAAATTTCCAAGGCACTGGGCCATGAGAGGGTCCAATTCACTTTAGTAGGTTTGTTCTCAGGGTTCACAATTGCAGCAAACCATTTTTTCAGAGCTGATTGTGGTATCCGTTCTCGTTCTCTTATCCTTTCTCTTTCTCTTTCTCTTCCTCTTCTTCTTCCTCTTCTCTCTCTCTCTTTCTCTTTCTCTCGTTCCCTTTCTCTTTTTTTTTCTCTTTCTCCTTCTCTTTCTCTTTCTCTTATTGCATGGTTCATTAAGAAAAAACTTAAGGTAAGGTGGAAAAGGTACCAGTAATGCAATCAACATGCTGAATCCCACTCACTACAAGTACTACAAGTACTACAAGCACTACAAGTACTACAAGTACTACAAGTAGTACAAGTTCATCGGCAAAAGAAGTTTTAATTAGAGTTCAATTGTAGCCAATTGAAATCCTTACTTAAGTGCGGATCGTTTTTTTTTTTCTGGGACACATTTTTTTGGCACCCAACTTTAAAGAGGGTATAGGTATTGTTTGAGGGGGGGCCGGACACTAATCAGGCAAAACATTATTTGCAAATCCAGGCAAACCTTGAGACCTTCTGGAAAGTACTGCAAGCCTCATGTCAAACGAGACCATCAGAAACCATCCTCAGCCCCTGATTTAATCCAGTCTCCTGTGGGTGTCAGGGCTCATGTTGGGCACTGCGCCAGAACCAGCGGATCCACACGGTATCCACGGAGGCTGCTGAGGCTCTTGGGGCGGGGCGTGCCACTGCTGCGGAGGCATCGATGTCCTTCACAGCGGGAGAGTAAAGCAGGCTGGAGTAGCCAGGGCATGCCTGGGGTTGGCCCAAAAGCAACTGAAACACCCCTGACTTTTTTCTGTTTTTGATATGTGCAGATCAATGCAAACCTTCAGACCTTCTGGAAAATATTGCAAGCCTCATGTCAAACGCCCTACGTACAGCCATGCTGTACAGCCCAGCACGTATCCATACTGCATCATACTGCCATAGCAATGTCCGAGTCAAAACACATCAATCACATCACACACACACACATCATACACATCAAACACGTCAAACACGTAAACTACCGTAAACCTTCATACACCATCAGAAACCATCCTCAGCCCCTGATTTAATCCAGTCTCCTGTGAGTGTCAGGGCTCATGTTGGGCACTGCGCCAGAACCAGTGGATCCACACGGTATCCACGGAGGCTGCTGAGGCTCTTGGGGCGGGGCGTGCCACTGCTGCGGAGGCATCGATGTCCTTCACAGAAACAGGAGACTTGCACCCAAAACTGAAATGAAACTGGACTGCATTTGAACTAGACGTGGAAATACGTGGAATTGTAATTAATTATTCCACTCATCGAAAATAGGTTTGAAGTCAACTTGCTTGCAACTGCTTCCCCACGGCAATTTTCGCTTGGAACCGCTCGGCAATCTCGGATCCAACAAGATCAAAACATGACCAACGGGACTTCCCGCAGTGGTGTATGGCCGGGATGAAACTTTGTCTGAACATGGCTAATATACCCTCCAAATATCCGGGGATAATGGTTGGTGGTATACCTACCCCTCTGAAAAATATCAAAGTCAGTTGGGATGATGAAATTCCCAATATATTGAAAAATGAAAAATGTTCCAAACCACCAACCAGCATTTATGTTGTCACCCCTTTCCTTGCACCTATAGAATATATATTTGGAATTACCACTCTTCCAAAGCAAATACAGCAGCAAAAAAATGCCCCGAAACGATCAGTCTATACAAGTTGGTTGTTTGAAAGTCAAACAATAACTAGCTTCTTACAACACATACATTTGCAGTTCAATGGGATATAAACCGACTTATATCTGGGGCACTTTGTATTATCCCATATTCATCCATATTATGTGTCCATTTTATCAAAATATTCCCCAGAGATAAAAGAAAGTCCTAAATATTGGCCTAGGATTGTTGTGGATTGTTACTTGGTTATTATCATGTTATATCAAATATTTATTGAATATACCATGAATATCCTGTTTCGATAATCACAACTGCTTCGATCCAGGCTCTGTTGAGACGCAGTAGGTAGCACCAATAGGTTGATTCTCCCAATTTCAAAGGCTTAATTCCCGCCATTTCCGAGGCTTAAGGCCTAATATAAATATAGCCTGATTCTCTTATTCGCCGAAAAATCATTCTTCCCATTTCTGAGGCTCACCACTCCCCTCATTTCTGAGGCTTATATATATTCTGCTATAGAATTTTCCCTCATTTCCAGGCCTCAATATTGTTCCAATTTCTGAGACACCCAGTCCTTGGCCGATGCTGCCAGCGTGTCGTGTGGTGCGGCGCTTCCTCCACCGCTGCGAATGTCGCGACCGGAGCCAGCCTGGGTGAGTTTTGGTGCCAAACATTTTGGGATGGAAGGGTTTCAGCTTGAGAAAACCCACGTTATTGTTTTTTGTTTGAAGCAAACAAGCTTTGGACTGAAACACGAAGATGGATCTTTCAAACAAAACAGGTGGGATTATTAGTCAAAAAGACATGTTCAAGCAAGATTGCTTGGTTTAAAGAAGAAAACATGTGGACAAACAGTGTAATATTACGGCCAAACACCTTGATTTGCCCGCGCTTGTCGGCGGCCATCTTCGTATGTGCTGAAAACGTGGTAAAAATGGGAGTTTTTTGCATCATGGCTAACTTCATGTTCTATATCGGCACGCACAGCATAGGGACCTGTGCGAGTCTCTTACACATCATCATCATCATCATCATCATCATCATCATCATCATCAAACCCTTATTGAAGATCTTCAATGAATGTAGAAGTTTAACGGGGGTGGGAGAATTAAACCCTTATTGAAGATCTTCAATGAATGTAGAAGTTTAACGGGGGTGGGAGAATTAAACCCTTATCGAAGATCTTCAATAAATGTAGAAGTTTGAAAGGGGTGGGAGAATTAAACCCTTATTGACGATCTTCAATGAATGTAGAAGTTTAACGGGGGTGGGAGAATTAAACCCTTATTGAAGATCTTCAATGAATGTAGAAGTTTAACGGGGGTGGGAGAACTAAACTCTTATTGAAGATCTTCAATGAATGTAGAAGTTTAACGGGGGTGGGAGAACTAAACCCTTATTGAAGATCTTCAATGAATGTAGAAGTTTAACGGGGGGTGGGAGAATTAAACCCTTATTGAAGATCTTCAATGAATGTAGAAGTTTAACGGGGGTGGGAGAATTAAACCCTTATTGAAGATCTTCAGTGAATGTAGAAGTTTAACGGGGGTGGGAGAATTAAACCCTTATTGAAGATCTTCAATGAATGTCGAAGTTTAACGGGGGTGGGAGAATTAAACCCTTATTGAAGATCTTCAATGAATGTAGAAGTTTAACGGGGGTGGGAGAATTAAACCCTTATTGAAGATCTTCAATGGATGTAGAAGTTTAACGGGGGTGGGAGAATTAAACCCTTATTGAAGATCTTCAATGAATGTAGAAGTTTAACGGGGGTGGGAGAATTAAACCCTTATTGAAGATCTTCAATGAATGTAGAGGTTTAACGGGGGTGGGAAATTTATATTCCCTAAATACCCTTGTTGATCTCCCCAATTGAATGTAAAGTCTAACGTTTGATATCCCCAAGTGTACAGCATAGAAGGGGTGTGGGCGAATCGGGGTGTTTGCGCGTAATATTACCCTATGAATCCAAACACTCCACGAGAAGGTACTTAACCCCTAAATCATACCTCTAATACTTCCCAAGAAACTACTTGGATCCATATGGGTATAGTATCTATAAACAAACCAAAAATAAGGATGATTGCACCATCAAATTTTCTGACCGTAATACAGCTATGTATATATATATATATAAATAAATATATATATATATAAATAAATATATATATATGTACTAGTATCAACGGATTTGGGGAGTTTCCAGCTAGAACAATGGGGATCAACTGCCATAAACAGCCGCCAAATGATAACATCGATAACATTGCCATAGATTGCCAATATCAGTAGAGTCAAATGATAAGACACCGCGGCCGCAGAGTTTTGGTTCATAGTGTATACTTCACCATATCTATGTATATAATATACCCTCTGGTTATTTAACATAGCCATGGAAAATGGCCCATCTATAGATGGTTTACCTATAAAAAATTGTGATTTTCCATGGCTATATTAAATAACCAGAGGGTATATATACATATACATATACATATACATATACATATACATATACATATACATATACATATACTCATATCCCATAGGATCCATGTATGCTATATATGGTAACATGGATCCCATCAATATACCCCCAATGTTAGCATATATATATATACCAGCACCATGGATCCTATGGGTATGTATATACTTATATAATATGTATTTTTGGAGTAGATTCTCCATACGCAATGATACGACCAATTTTTGTGAATCAAATTGGAATAATCAGTAGTCCCGCAACCAGATTTTCCAGGGAAAACTTGACAGGAAACCGTGGATTATGTTACCTTGGAGAGTTTTGGGTAAACCCTGCACACTTTTTTGCAGATGTTGGGAATTCCAAATTAAAACAGCAAAATTCGTGAGAATTCTGAGGATCAACATCAATAACAGGCACGGTGTTCTTCCAACTTGCACTTTTATATCTGACGGATTCGAGGTTGCGAACTGTCACATCAGGTACATCAAGCAGCATCGGTGGCAAAACCATTGGTGGTAAAGCCAGTTGCTCCGCCACGGCCAACTGATTCTCGGAGGAAGAGGCCTCGCAAAAGGGAGAAAGACCCTGGGTTGATTGTGAATTTCACTACCATGGTGGGTGAAATGAATCATTTCAATTTCTAGTTGCATCATGTTGATTAGTGTAACATGGATTAGTGTATTAGTGACAAATTCACGGTTGAAACCAGTGTTTTTGCGACCCAACTATGCTGTAAAGGTTTCCTCAACATGTTGCCATCATTGCACAATTAATATACATATAATATATATAATATATTTCACTGTATCAACATTTACCATCCAGGAATCTAGGTAGTGTTTTTTTGGACCCACTTGTTGACCCTCGTCAAAAATCAATCTTAGGGGCGGCTCTGAACACCAAACAAAAACCTTGGGGTGTACAGTTGTGGGACACCGAAACAAAATTCTCCCCCATTTTGCTATGAAAAAACAGTTCAACCTGGACGGCCTTGCGGCCCTTAAAACATACGGCAGCCACTTTCATGGTCAACAGTGCTGTCGTTGTGAGATCGTCGGAGTGGACGCGTATATCACTGGTTGCTGGTTTTAACCCCTCTGAAAAAAATGAAAGTGAATGGGAAGGATTATCCCATATATTATGGAACATAAAAAATGTTCCAAACCACCAACCAGATATGCTCTTCCAATATCATTTGAACTGCGTTGGGAATCCCATGTCGCCGCAATGTAGCCTGCAGATCTGGCTGATACGACTGATCTTTGGCTTGGGTATGGGTCAAACTTTTTGGCCTCAAACAGATTCAACAGAAAACATGCTTTAAGGGTTGAATATCAAAAATGACAAATTGCGTGAATCCGCTCATCCGGTGGCACAAAAAAAAGGCCCCGCAGTGTTGAGTTGATTATTTACTTATAGTTCTAAACCCATAACCAACCATAGCTATATCTACCACAGTCATCACAGTGAATCCACCAAAAACCTATCACAAAAAATCCAACTTTTAGGTGATTAAATTCCAACTGGTGATTCCAATAAGTCCCAATGTTTCAAGGCTGTCCTGTTCTTGGTGAACTCTCAATTGTCAAGGCACAGGTGCAGGTGTAGGGATGATCCGACTGAAGTCCATCTCCCAAACTGAAATCTTCTCCTGGCGTCCATGGCCGGTACCAAGCCAAGGGAACCAGTCTGGGACCAGGAGGGGGACAATTTAAAGTAAACCCTTTAGTTTCCTCTGGATTTCCCCTGAATCCATTGACAGGCTGATGACGGGCTGATTTCTCTCAATGGATTGTGGCCTGGTAGGAAACAATAGAGTTGAAACCGTTGGTGTTTGCCAAAAAAAATGTAGGGGGGTCCTGCAAGTTTCTCTCCAATTCTGGTTTGGTCAACATTCGGGTACATATAATCATTGATTTTGGGAAGCTTATCATTTGGAACATTTTTTGACCTCAGCCAATTCTTTTCCCAAAAAGGCATTGCAACTGGGCGCGTGATCCCACCAGTCCAAAACAAACAATGTCTCTTTATGAAATCCTTATGCACAACTTGGCGAGGTGCGATCTCAATACTTCCGTGTATGTATGTATATATATATATATGATAACCCCCCCATGATCTACCTAGAAACATTTTATATGGAAATTACCATGTTTTTTGCATATAAAGGATAACCGGAAAAACAATAAACTTAAAATCTGAAAAACTGAATCCTGAGGATATACTGTAATATATTATATACCTATTCAATGCTAATCATACCTATAATCATGGTAGCTTGAGTTGTTTTTTCCACGTGTTTTTTCCAAGGAAACCAAATCAACAAACTAATATCTTTGTTCGGCATCTACACACCCTAAGGGCTCTAAAAAGCGGTTCTGCCCATGACCATCCCTTCGAAACTTCGTCAGGCGTCTGGCAGAGGTAGAAAGGCCACCTGCACCACACAGCGCCGCCATTTCCTTGGGAAAATGGGCGACGTCTGTTGGTTTCGTCCATTAAGATCTCATGCGTATGACTCCCTTCCCTAATATTAACATAATATGAATAGCCATCAAAGGAAATCCCGGTTTAGTGTTGGATCATGTCATTTCATTTCGGGTCCATATGATGGGTGGTATTTTATATGGGATGGGAATAATGAACAATGAATGTTCGGATGTCGTAGGTTTTTGCGCACATCGAGAGTGCAGAATTGTCAAGTTAGGGAACACAATCCAACTTACCCTCTGGTAAATCAAACATGGCGTGCTGGAACCTTCGCCCTTTTGTAGATGATTTTGAAAGTGAAACACCTTTTATAGAGGATTTCTAATTGCCATGTTTGATTCCTGGACCCTCGAGTGCTGAGTGTTTTTTTAAAGATCGCTGAAACATCTGAGCTTGGAAACGAATGGTTTGTGACAAATCTGTGGATTAGACTCCAGTCCTGCAACGTAAGCGCTGTGTCTTGAAGTAACATGAAGCAACAGTAACATTTGCATATCTCTGCGCAAATTCTCTTCATTGGTACCGAACACCTCCCAGAAATATCCGCATCCCCCGTGCTGACATCAACGCAGAAATCAGATAACTTGTTCTATAATTGGTGGTTTCAACCCCCCCTGAAAAATATGAAAGTCAGAATGGGATCGTCATCCCAACTATTGGGGAAAACAAACATGTTCCAAACCACCAACCAGGTATTCATCCCAGTGATATCACTAACAACTTCAGGGCTCATGTGAGTAGCTAACGAACCAAACAGTAACACATCCCTCTCGAGGCGACCCGTTTCGGACAACTACGTGGGAGGAATGAGTTGACATTCAGGGCTCGTTGATAACATTGTGGTCGGTGCTACTCATCTGATAAATATAAAATACATGCCAAGATATGCCAAGTATAAAATCATATAAATTCATCCCAGGGTTTGGACAAAAACATACACCACACTTATCACCAAGTCGCTCAATCAGATCAAGCAAACCTCAGCCGCCCAGCAGCAAACCCGGATCCCTTACAAGGTGATATGGCACCTCTCATGCGCTGCATTTACCATGAAATTCAGATCGAGGAAGTGCCAAAACTGGTGCCCCTGCAATGGTATGTGCAACAATTTGGATCTTGAATCTCTGCTTTGCAAGATATGTGCAAAAGGTACAAGTCAGTGATTTAGGGTAAGTGTGGGGTTTATTTAGACTTTGTTTGAGGTTTATTTCCGGCTTAATGCAGGTTTATTTAAGGTTGATTTGGTGTTTCAGGCTTGGCTCATGGTCTATTTGGTAGGTGGCTTGAGGTATGTTTTGCTTAGTTTATGGTCTTTGAAGACCTAAACTCTCAGGTTAGGTTCAACCCGGTGCAATGACCAAGTGGCTTTGGCGACTGGTCCAGTCGATCCACTGCCCCCTGAAGTCCTGCGCCACTAAGCCGATGCACAACCGCCGCCAAAGATTTGGATCATGGGTTGATCATTCACCAGATAAAACTTTAAAAATGGGTCATTATATGGGATACATTTATGTCAACGATCAACTTTTGGGGCACTCAACATGTTCATAAAAAACATAATTATATATTTTATATATATATATATCATGTAAAACGTATTGGATCGTATTGGTATGGATGATGTTTAATTTAATCAAAATTGACAAACCTGACACAGTGGACACACGGCTTTTGGCGCATTTTGTTTTCTGCAGGACGTCCTGCAGCGAGAGCTCAGCGGCCTTGTGCAAGACCTAGTGTCAGAGTCGTTGTTTTTATTGTAGTACTTATCTCCTGGCGTAATGGGGATTATGATAACCCATATAATTTGGGAAATCTATTAACCAACCAATACAATGAGATGGGATAATTTATATTGTAGTTGGGCAGGTTCAGGATGAATTTTTGATCTTGGAATATGAACATAACTAGTTTTTATGGTAAATTTTCTAGTGTAATCGATGAGGTTTATAAACCAACAAACACAATTGAAAATATGGTGCCCCAAAACCCAGTTGCTTATCACAATAGTCACTATTCCATTGCTGGCTAGAATTGGGGGTATACCATGGTATACCTCATTTTCAGACAAGGCCACATAACGAGGTACGCTCTGCTGACCAAACAGGGCAAGCTGGAAAACACGTTAATTTATATAGTTCGATGATCTTCCCGATGGGAACCATTTAGTTTGGGATTTCCCAGCTAGCATAGCTAGCCATGTTTCATTCTTAGAGGATATGGGAAGATGATCAAGCATGCTGTGATGTGACATGATGTGACCCACAAATCCAGGGTTTCATATGGCACAATACTGGAAAAAAAAAGGACAAATCCTACATGCTACGCTACATGTCATGAGCCGCCATTGTCATGAGCCGCCATAATCAGTGGCTGTTGGACAACATCTCGGACCAAAAGATTTCGCAATCAGGTAGTTCACTTCACAGAGTGGCACCAGACTGCTAAGGATGCTGCCCAACAGAGTTGCTACGTTGAATCTGACTGGTCATCTTGGAACTTAGTTTCTGCTGTGTATCTGGATGAATTAAATTAATTCACCCGTCATCTTTGGATAGTTACCCTTACCATCATGCCATTGGCATCGCAGTGAGGTCGTTCTAATCTATCTAAATGTAGAAATTATCTCCGACGATCAAAGTGTAAACATGTCCTAATTAATACATAACATCGTACAGCTCCCGGGCGGTCCCAAGATATCCCCACACAACATGTCCCAACATGTCCTCATGATACCATACTGTTTAAACAAAAAACAAGAGTAATAAGTAACACCATTATATTTTTTCTGGCCATTTGGGGGGTACCCCCTTTGCTTAATTCTATATCCCAAAATACATCCCCCAAAATTTGGTGGTTGAACCTCCAGCATATATTATATATATATATGGTTGACTCCCCATATCATCCACATGTCTACCCCCTTTGGTACAATGATAGCCCTTAACAGTTGCAAGTGGTGAAGTGACCTGATTAATCTCATTGAAGTATCTTGAAGTGATATGGGGATGGGTCAAGTCACCTTGTACCCCTCCTCTTCACATCAAAATAGCTGATTTAATGGATGTTCATCCCACTAAAAATGATAATGTGTACAGTAATAGGTTTTGATCAATCCCCATGTACATTATATAGATACACACTACATATTAGATAGATATATATATAGTAATTAGCACATTTAAGTGATATATAACCTTAGTTGCAGGAACTATTTCATCCCGTTGCCATAACTTGACAGTTTCCGGCTCCATTACCGAAGGACCAAACTGTTGCAGGTTCGCAACGCCGCCAGCAGCGCCGCGGACTCAAAGTCTGCCTTTTTTCCGACTGCGTAAGCCATTTATAAAACCATAGTTATAAACAATTTATTATAGATGGGAAAACCTTAGTTGTAAGCCATTTATAGATGGAAAAACCAAAGTCATAAACCATTCATAGATGGAAAAACTAAAGTTGTAAACCATTTATTTATAGATGGGAAAACCATAGTTAGAAGCCATTGATAGATGGGAAAACCGTAGATATGAACCATTTCTAGATGTGAAAACCATAGTTATAAGCCATTATAGATGGGAAAACTCAGTTATAAGCGATTTATAGATGGGAAAACCATAGTTATAAGCCATTATAGATGGGAAAGCCATAGTTAGAAACCATTTATAGATTGGAAAACCATAGTCATAAGTCATAAGCCATTTATAGATGGGACACCCATAGTTATAAAACATTTATAGATGGGAAAACCGTTGTTATTAGCCATTTATAGATGGGAAAACCATAGTTATACTTACACCATTTATAAATGGCAAAACCATAGTTAAAAGCGATTTATAGATGGGAAAGCCATAGTTAGAAACCATTTATAGATTGGAAAACCATAGTCATAAGTCATAAGCCATTTATAGATGGGACACCCATAGTTATAAAACATTTATAGATGGGAAAACCGTTGTTATTAGCCATTTATAGATGGGAAAACCATAGTTATACTTACACCATTTATAAATGGCAAAACCATAGTTAAAAGCGATTTATAGATGGGAAAGCCATAGTTAGAAACCATTTATAGATTGGAAAACCATAGTCATAAGTCATTTTATGATGGAGTGGTGTGGATATAAGCATATTGGTGGAAGCTATTAGGGGTTGGCCAGATGTCCTGTGTTTGTCTGTTGGGTTAGCCCCATCTGGGAATTTGGGGTGTTTTATGGTCATGGGTTAAGTAGCCTTCGGTCTTTGTTTCTCTCTTCCTTTTGTTCTTTTGTTTGGGTCTCCTTCTTTCTTTGTGTTCTTTTTCCTCATGGATTGGGAAAGCCCCACGTTATAATTTTGGGCATATACTCTTTCTTTCGTTTTGTTTTTTTTTTTTTCTTTCTTGGGTTTATCTTTTTTTCATTCATTTCACCATTTTGTCGACCGTTTTGGGTTGTTCATTTCACATCACGCGATGCAGAATTTTTAATCCAAAAAATGACCCACCAGACTAACAGCCAAGCCCAAAAACCGTGGGTGCAGACCCACAACCCCAAACGGGCACCCAGGGGGGAAAGAAACCCCCCCCCCCGGAGCGGGCCAAACACGAACAAAGGAGCAAAGAAAAAAGAAAAGCACAAAAAGCGAAACGGAGGGAAGACAGAACAGACGCAAGGACGAACCAAAACCAGCAGCACGAAGGACGAAGAGAGACGGAAAACAGGCAGGGACCACAAAAAAGAAAGAGAGGGGGACCCCAGGAAGACGGCGAACCAACCACAGCCCAAAAGGACGACAGGGGAAGAAGGAGAGGGGGAAAAGCAGGGGGGACCGAGGAAGGAAGAGGGGCCCCGAACCAAACAGCAGGCCACGCCCAGAGCGGGAAGGACCAAGAGAGAGAGAGAGAGAGGAGCGAGCAGAGCTCGCGGGAGGAAACGCGAGAGGGCGCGCGAGAGGACGGAGAGGAGCACAAAAAAAAAGAAATGAAGCGCGGGAGACCGCGGAACAGAAGAGGCGCAAGCAACGCCGAAGAAACAGCGCCGCAAGCAAGACCAACCAACCAACCTTTACCTAGTAATATGCTGCACAAATCCCAAAGTAAAGTTTTTTTTGTGCACAATTAGGATTAATAGGGGATATCAAGCAACGAACTATACCCAATCAACCAACCAATCTGGGACAATGATGGTACCGGTATATTCATGAGACACTACACTATGTGTGTATATATACATATATAGATGAGGTGAGTTAGCTTCCCTGGAATGTTTTTGAGGCAGCGGCAGGGCAATCATTGAGCATGATCAGGGACACTTTCATAAAGCACGTTGGACGATACAACAAGGGGACATAGCTCGACAAAAGAGTTGTTGGTTGCTACAGTACACTTCAAAAACCATGGAATGACTAGTGGGGTATAGAGGGGATTTAATCCACAAAAATGGGGGGGGTATCAAACAAACCAATGGGGATATAACACATGATATGAGCATCAAAAATTTGGAGGATCGTTCCACTGGAGAATGGGGAAAGCTGCCATCCCTCAATGGCAAAGTACTTCACCCCTTGTTGGAAACAGCGCTAAAAGCCTTGGTAGATCTGGAGTCTGGATGTGTAGATTCTGACACCTGGAACTTGCAACAAGTGGTTTTCGACAGCAACTCACTCTCACCTGGACTGGGCTCGAAAATGCCCTTGACTACAAGGAGAAACAGCAACATCTCATCACCTGCAGCTCATAGAGGTTAAAGTATCCCCCAATTAGCTCTTTCACCCCACATCCCTAACAATAGCCATATTTTGATACATCTAAATTATATATATATATATATTATATATATATTCATTTATTTGGGGGGCTATATCTTCTTAGAGACATAGCCCTTGGACCTTTTCTTTATTGAATGCACCTCCAAGAGCTCCACGGCCGCACCGGGCCTCAATCTCCAACCACTTCTCCAGCACCGCGGTGTCGTTCTGCCAGAAGGCTCCACCACGACCACCGCAGAAGAGCAACTGCTGCGGCGTCACCGTGGTGCCTCTGAAGAGGGGTTTGTGGGAGCACCCAAAAACTATGGTTTCTTATGTAATATAATATAATTATATATATATATAGATATATACGACAATAATGATTCAACTATGACATATGTAAATAACAAATAAACTTATATTTTCAATACAGATAAATAATGTATAAAATTATGAAAACCAGATACTAGATACAGTTTGATACACGATACAGCGGAACAGTTGGGGATGAATAGTGAGAGAAGGCAGGGAAATATAAAAATACATGTGTACGGTACAGTATATCATTCAGAAACAAAACGTGTGCTTAGTTTAGTGCACTGAAGAGCAGCCCTGTCACTGACTGTCCAGTCAAGTGTTCAGCAACATTGTGAAGTTAATATATGCTAAATAAAATTCCATACCCTCATGTGTTTAGTATTCCAATATGGGCCACCAGAATGAATAGAGCCAGCACTGAACCAGAGGTTCTTGGGGGTATCTCACAACATGTACTTGTAACGAAATTTTTGCCTCATGTCACGGGCCGGCCAAGGACGGGGGATTTCATTTCCGAATTTCAACAGGATGCCCGTCCAGTCCCAAGGCCCCCCCTGGTAGCCAAAAACCATTCTGACACTGACTTGAGGTATCCTATCCTGTAACAAAAACTTCAACTGGGATCTAAATCCTTTCATGGTTGAAGCATGTTGAAGCCCCATTTCACCCAACCAACCGGTCCAACCGAATATGCCACCTCCACGCAAGATCCGTCCGCCGCTGTTGGTGAGTTCCACGTAAGTCAGCAAGGCACAGGGCGGCGGCTCATCGTCGACCAGCACCTGGTGGCCGACGTGGTCGAGAGATGATCAAGGGATGGTCATCCATAACTGTGGAAAATCACCATTTTTATGGGTAAATCAACTATTTCTATGGCATTCTATGGCCATGTTCAATAGCTATGTAAACGTTTACCAGATTTTTTATGGGTAACCCATTGTTCATCCCATAGGATACTCATGGAATTTCCATGATAGTTTGAAAACGTTGAGTCTGATGGTTTGATAGTATTATGCTTGAATTATGACAGTTCAATATCTCATAGAATATGATGGCTGAGTATGAACATGTAATTCCATCATATCATGTATCGACATAGAACGATACAACAATAATTACATGGGTTAGATGGGTTCTTTCTAGAGGTGGGGATACCCCACTAATCGCTTGTTCAAAAACGCAAATGACGATCAACAATCAAGCTTTGGCGGTTCCCTCTTTTCAGACAAACCATCTGTACGCGCGATGTAACCATAATTGGTTACCTGCCATGTTCTAATCATTTGCACGCTTGTATTACCCATCAGTACCCCCCTTACTTGCACTGGAGTACTGTAGGTGCTCAGTTGAGGTTGTCTCAAAATTTAGACCCCTAAAAATGGGTTATCACCAGTTTCCTACCAAAAAAACATTCTTGCAGTATCCTCCATTTTCAGACACACCCTACAGAAGTTTTGCTCAAATCCCAACCATTCATGTCAGATTCTACCCAACTAGATACATTTTTCATTTTCTTTGAACTCACACATGTGAAGTTTACATGTATGGACAAGTTTGTATAGCTATGAACACAGATTTAGTTTTTGAATTACATACATATGAATAAATATGTTTAATAAACAATAAACATTAAACACATATTAAGATTGCCATTATTGCCATGTTGTTGCAATGCTGCTGTGGACATACACTATTCCTATTAGTGCAATTACTGTCATTATAGCAACCCAAAAAAAATATAATAGAAGTTCGTAAAACCATCCTGAACTGACTATTGATCACTTGAACATGTTTGGCATCTTATGGTCAAAACACAGTACATTGTGTACTGGTCATCCATCCTCGAATGAGTTTCCCCATAAATAAATCCCAATGGATTAATGATCATCTCATTGCGGAAGATACGTCTATACATCTCAGCATCCCAAAGAACGGGGTATGCCCAATAATCAACTGGTTGGTGGTTTTAACCCCTCTGAACAAAATATGAGTTCGTCAATGGGAAGGATGACATCCCATATATGAAATGGAAAATAAAAGATGTTTGAAACCACCAACCAATAAACCTCTGTTGGGGATGGCGGGGATGGCTTTGGGCATTGGCTTTTGTTGTAAAATCCCACGACGAGAAAATCCCATTCTTCACCCATTATCTCATCATTCTTGTTGGGTTCATCCCATATACATCCCATATATATATATATGATGCTATAGAATATTATAATTGAATAATATTATGTTATAGAATATTATACAACCACTATATATGATTAAATATGGTTAAATATGATGTTCCCACTATATATTATATTATGTTATAGAATATTATACAACCACAGCCCATCCACCATCCAGCACCCCATATAATATTTCATAATCTACCTACGTATAACTACTAGACTGACTATATGACTATATGTATGCAAATCTCAGTAGTATATGAATATTAGATTCATCCACAAATGGGTATTATATATAGTAGTTATTTCATGTATAGTTAATCCAAATTGTTAGCTTTCATAGATACACGATATGGATTATATGATATGTATGTAAATCTCAGTATATAATGAACATTCTATATAGTATCCGTATTAGATGAAATATTCTATATAGTATCCATATGAGATGAAATATTCTATATACTATCCCAATATTATATTAATATTCCACAGTATTACGTGAATTATCGCTAACATAGCTATGGAAAATCCCCATGTTTCATGGGTAAATCATGGTAAATCATCGATAAATGGTCCATTTTCATCAATTTCAGTGAGTTTATAGGGTGTACCTACCATACCTACCATATCCCAACATTGCTTATACTTAGTAATTCCATAAACAAAAAGCCATGCGCCGGCTACAAATTCATGACGACTTCAGATCCAAGGCGCCGAGGTCCGATGAAGTCGTGCAGCCTTGGCCCAGCCGGCGTTCACCCGTCGGCCGCCCTCCAGGTTGCCGATGTTCCAACCTGCGAAACACCCCGTTTCGCCTGGGGATGGTCTGAGTTCGTTCGATGAAAATCGGGCATATTTCTTGGGATCCACATTTTTTTGATCTTATGTGGATCAATGAAGATCAAAAACATCCCAAGATCATCTTACAATTTTGTTACAATTTGTTACAATTTGTTAAATTATGATATCCAATTTGTTATCCACATTTATTATTGAGATAATGATATAACAAATTGAGATAATGATGTAACAGGATGCCTTGGGATGGTAAAATATGGCTTTTCCGTTTATGCATGTTACCTGGTAAAGGATGTCGTATGTGCATATATATATACATATATATATATATATTAAATATATATATATATACTATAGACCGTGTTTTAATGTACACACGAATTGGATGGTAACAAAAAAACAGATTGAGATGGGTTTGTTCTACGTAAGTACTGCTTTGCCGCTCCTCTCGAACTAATTTGTTGATACATATTTATAATATCATGTACTTATTTATATGCATACCTATAACTACAATAAAAAATGGGATCGTATTTGCTGATTCGACGCTACTAACCCATAATTAAACAAACATATGAATGCGTGCAAAGCATTGGTATTACAGTAATATGTATTAATTATATAGTAACCACGTACATGGAATGATCATCCAATATCAGCAAACAACATCAATTTAGAGATAACAAAATAGAACCTGCAAGAATGAAGTGTTTTTTTTTCACAAAACACCAATAATAATTTGGAAGTCACATGTCCCAAACATACAAGCGCAAAATCACTACCATAGAATAAACAATTCTGTGGGTCTTTCATGGTTTGTACCCTCTGAGCCAGGAACTATAGGCCAAAGTGAGCATCGTCCTCGGCCACCAGTCTAGTCACGTTGGTCATCTGTGTTCATAATGTGTTCCATCGTTCTTCAAGAAAAACAGGTTTGGAAAATGACCACAGCGGGTGTCTCACTCTGGCTTACCTACAGTATGTGGTCTGTGCGGAACACAGCGCAACCTCAGTTCTGCCTGAGGTGACGTTGTTGAAAAATCCTTTCAGATGTCGGCGATGAGCTGACAAACTCGTCCAAAAAGACAGTCTCAAATTGGGCGGCCAATGTTGACGCACGACGCGTGATGTAAAAAGTAAGAAGCCAATGTGTCTTCTATTTGGACAAAACGTGCTAAAGATATAGCGACCAAAACCATGGATTCTGCGCTTCCAAGCTATACTACCAACAGGTTCAACAGCTCAGTGATCAAATCCCCAGACCAGAGCCAGGAATACCCATGTCATCAAACATAATAGTCACAATAAGCATATAATAAGTTTGTAAGTCAACATTCATCAGTGATTTGTTTGTCAACATGACATAGTATATATATATGTTGCTATATGGTATATATCTAACTATATCCATATATGGGGTTGTATAAAAACCCCGTATCTTTTTAAATTACCCAAAATCACGTTATCGTTTTTTTTTCCTCTTATCGTTTTCTCAGGTGGTGAGCTCCCTGTAGACAAGAAGTGTGAATTTACCAGGCTTCCATGGGTGTGAAAGAATTGTTCGTGGAAGATCAAAACATATTGTCCTGTGTGCAATCTTCGACATGGATCATAATCGTGAAGCATCTCAGCACTTGACTAGTTTTCTGCAACTCTTTTTTTGGTCTATGAGATTAGGGCAAGGAGTCCGGGACATTGCTTTTTTGCTTCTGAAATTGCACCAGGTCCGACTTCAGGATCTTTCAAAACTTGCTGCAGCAAGGCATAGACAGTCTTGGGTGGTAAAGACATGGCAGAAGCCAAGTTGAGGCAAAGCCGGTAAAGAGGAAAAGCTAAACAAGACTACCATGCCACACATTTCTGTTTTCAAAAAGCCTCGTGAAACCTGTCAAATGGGTAGTTGCTCACACGGCATGTTTTTTGCTACAATTCCTTATCGTTTTCGTTATCGTTTCGTTATCGTTTTGGTCCCCTCTGCACGTTCTCATTTTCGTAGTCCATGCAAACGACTGCGGGCAACAAAACACATGAGACTCAGCAAGTTGGTCCAATCCCATGGAGCTGCCAACGTTTATTCTCAATTGCAGGTATCGCTTTTGGGGGGGAGCCTATCGCTACATAGTGTTTTGTGCAAGTTCCTGACACCCGAGAACTCTCCTTACATAAGTAATATACCAGATCGAGTTTTGACCGTACCTCATATCATGTATGTATATATATATATATATATTATTATATATATTATAAATATATATATATATGAGCATCGTTATCGTTTTTTTTTCCTCTTATCGTTTTCTGGGCCGGCAACGTATTGGCAGTGTTAAAGTGCAAGCCAAGCTAAAATGCAATGCACGGGGTTATTATACTACCCCATATGTACATTCTTGGATGTTCATGTTATACCGATACCCATAGCACCCATGGATGTTCACCAAGCATCTGCATGATGGGCCAGGAATCCTCCAGGCTGTCCTTGGGGAAGCTAGCGCAGTCTCCTGCCATTTGCAACGAGGTTATCCAGGGTGTCTTTCCCCAAAAGTTACTGGTGCTTAGCAGTGAGGGAATGATCCATAATCGCTAGAAATAATCATCCCATTCTCCCATTCCCATCCATTCCCTACTAAGCACCAGTAAGCTGGCTATGTTCAGAAAACCAGATTTGCGAAATTTGAAATTGGTTTCTGACAAGCTCCAGCAAGATTCACAGGTTTGCCCACACCACGTTGTTTTTGCGCCACTGGGGTTGTCCCCCCAAAACCTAGCATTGCAACGTGAAGCCCATGGGTTTTTGGGTTTCAATCTGCAACGAAATCACGGGGTGGTTACATGTTTGGTGTTGAACGGTGAGCCCGTGCATTTCCTTTCAACTAAAAAAGTCTGTTGAAATACACACAGGGAAGCCAATTCTAAGGCCTGCAAAACACGAAGGATGATTGAGGGCCATGGTTTACTCAGTTTGGGTGAGTGATCATAAACTATCAATATTATATATATAATATTATATAATAAAATATATATTAAATATTATATATTTAATAATAATAAATGATAATAATACTAATAAGTTTAGTGCTACTAATAATTTAAAAAAAAAAAAATTATGATAATATCTAATAATCACATAAATAATAATAATAATATAAATGATAATAATAATGATAATAAATATATAAATCATACATAATCAATAATAATAATATTAATAATAATATATATATATATAATAATATAATATATATATATAAGTAGTGTAGTTAATGTAGATTGTAGATCATGTTCCATACATTCCAATGTGATTGAACACCATTTTCCCATGACACCTCGCCTTCCCAGGCGGCCGTGTCACCCTCCCAGGCGTCAGCAGTGCCGTCCGCAAATGCCACGCTGGGGGTCCAGTGGAGGCACGCCTTGCTGAGATCCCAAGACACCCTGGCGCGCCAAGTTTCCGGGAAGCAACAGCTGAATGGGCTGAATGGGGACCAACAAGCATCAAACATACCCTCTGGTTATGTCAAAATAGCTATTGAAAATGGCCATCTATAGTGGATTTTCCCATTATAAATGGTGATTTTCAATAGCTATGTTAAATTACCAGAGGGTAATCAAAAAGCTGCAAAATTTCACCCAGACATGAAGCAAATCATGGAACGAACAACCAGAACACAATGGAACCATTGTCGATTGCCGGGTTGAGTTATAAGAGAAAATTGGTGTTTCCTAGAATTGGTGACCCCAAAAACCTTATACAATGTTCCTCCAAAGCATCGAGCCATTCGGATTGTGTTGGGTCCCATTTTTTATGGACACCGCCAAATGGGTGTTTCCTAAAATTGGGGGCATCCCCCATTTTTATTTTTTATGGACACCCCCAAATACATCCATGGAGAACTTCAGCATGTCCGGTTGCCTCTTCAGTTGCTGCATGGCGCTGGAAAGCTGCTGCATCACGGGATAGATGAGACCCTTGTCTCGGCAGAAACCTGGCATCTCGGGTCAGCGGCCGCTGAGCGAAAAATGGTGGGAAAAGCATAGACACCTGTCAGGGTACCCCAAAATAGATGGTTTATTCATGGAAAATCCATCTATAAATGGATTTAGGGGTACCCCTTTTTGTCAAGCGAAATGCAGTCCAAGCAGCGGCTGTATGAACTACACGTCAGCAGTGTTCGAGTGAACTATCAAATTCCCCGGAAAAACAATTTGATCCCATTCGTCGCGGTCCATTGCTATTGGGGAGAGCGTGTTCCAGATCGCCGTAGTATCATACCAGTCTGCAAGGGAAGGTCCAAAATATATGTGAACCATGGACTGAGTGCCTGTGGCATACATTGGATGGGAAATTTCTTGGGTGGTGGGATGCTGATTTCTTCTAAGTTGTTCAGAACGATGAAAAGCTTCTGAGAGAGCAATTTCAGGCCAATGCGCCCGAGGTCTACCAAGACGAAATGGAGAAGAGAGGCGGCGGAGGGCGTGGGAGGTATGGAAGATTATCCTATGCTCTAAGGCTTCAAAATGCCGAAGAATATGACCGAGGTAACGCAATCGCTGGACAGAAATACGCTGACTGGGTATCAGGAGACGGGGGGCATGACGGTAGGCAAGGGACAGCAAGTATTCATTGGAACAGTCGTCCTGAGAGGGGTGAAGGACCCGATGGTAATAAGAGCTTTTAACTTGAAAGATTTGTCGCAGAACTTTATAGTGAAGAGAATTGAACCTTGTGATCTGCGCAGGGGTGAAAACTTGAGATTCACAGCCATAAAGTAAAATGGCAAGCACAATTTGCGCATACACCTGCAATTTACGGCGCGAAGGGAGGGACGGATTAGTGAAGACGGGAAAGAGGCAGCGAAACGCGCCCATCGCTTGAGAGTAGCGATAATTGCAGTCCGGTGCAGAAGATGCATTTGCAGCTACGTAGGCCCCAAGATATTTGGCTGAGTGCAGGGGTGGGATTTGAACACCGAGATCATCTGTTCCCATGCAATGTAGGCAGGAGCAAGGGGAAAGTGGGGTGACATGAGGTGAGAGATGAATGGAGAGATTGGAATGGAGGCGCAGAAGTTGGCATTTATCGGGGTTGAGAAGCAAGCCGCGCTTGCTAGCTTCATGCTGGAGACTGTGAAGGAGGCGGTGTAATGTAAGCTGGGTGCGGGAAACTAGAACTGTGTCGTCAGCATACTCAACATCAGTCATGGGAGAACGAGAAGAGAAGGTCCACGGGGTGAAGTGGAACCGGGTTTCGAAGGAGAATTGGACATCATGCATTAAAACCGTCAGAACTATGATAAACAGATATGGGCTGAGAGGGCATCCCTGGCGGATCCCACGTGAAAGGGAGTACGTGGCGGAGACATAAGAAGAGGAGGAGACAAAAAATTTGCTGTCAACATAGAGTGCTGCTATAGCATGCACAAAAGGGAGAGGCACGCCAATACGGACAAGGGAAGCAGCCAAGTGCTCGTGGCTAACACTGTCAAAAGCCTGAGACCAGTCCAGGAAGAGAATATACAAGGATGTGGTATGACGCTCAAACAGTTCGACCATTCGACGGATCAGGAAGAGAGGGGCACTTGTGGATCGGCGAGCTCGAAAGCCATATTGGAAGTCGCTGATGTGGTGATCGAAGTGGAGAGCCAGCCTGCTTTGGAGCAAAGCAGCATAAACTTTGTAAATAGAGTTCGCCAAGCTTATTGGCCGATATGAAGAGGGCAAACGGCTGTTCTTTGACCCGCCTTTGAAGATCATAACCACCCTTGCCAATTTCCAATGGTCTGGAGCTGAAGCAGACAGGAAGCAGGAATTGAAATACTCGAGCAGAAGGCGGCGCATTGCAAACGGGAGAAGCTTGTACAAGTCAGCACCAACGCGGTCAGGGCCAGGCGCCTTGCGCGATTTTAACCGTCGGAGTGCTATGTGTAAGTCGGTCATTGTGAAGGTTGTGAAAGCTTCAAAGACGCAAGGGTAAATGGGAGTCTGGGAGGGAGGGGGACAAGGCAGGTTTCCATACTTCATCTCGGAGATGTTGGGCCAATACTTCGGCCTTTTCTGTGGCGGTAGATGGGCGCCCTGAGGGCCAAGACACTGATTGAGTTTGCGGCTGGTACTTGGATCGGACCCGTTTGATTGTTTTCCATCGGTCAGCTGGCGAGGCCCTGTGGTCAACTTCCAGCTGGCGTAGAGTCCAGCGTTTGCGGTCTCGCCGTGCATGTGAGCGAATACGCCGGCGCAAGGTCTCCAGATCAGAGGATGATAAATCTAAAGAGTTGAGTGCTGCAATCTCCTCATGAGTGGCAGGAGAAAGGTAAGGTTTGCGGACGACAGCCGGTTTTCTTGAGAATGCAGCAGCGGCTGCTCGCGATAGGGATGAGACCAAGTGTTCTGTTTGCTGATCCAAAGTGAGGGAAGTAAACCAAGTCAGGAGGGGATTTGGTAAGGAAGGAGGGGAAGTTGGAGGGAAGGATGAGTAGCGGCCCAAGAACGAGGAGGAATGGACCCCGCGCGCGGCTAAAGAATCTGCGCGGTCATTGCCTTCCTGGCCAGAATGGCCTTTGACTTTAACAATTGCGATGGGGATCCTGGTGGCCACTTCAGAGAGCCGTTCCAAAAGGAGGTGCACCAGGTCGTGGTTGGAGGAGGGGAGGGCAAGACCTAGGAGGAGATCCCTAGCATATGTGGAATCGGTATAAATTGTGATAGCTGGCGGGGGGTGAGATAAGAAAGGGATAAACAACAAGGCTTCCAGAATAGCTTGCAATTCGCCAGTATTGTTACTACCATGAACGGGAAAAGGGAGGTGTCCAACTGAACCAAAATGGTCTATGTGATATGGGTCGGCGATGTAGACGCCCCAGCCAGCAGGGTTGCGGGGGCCGACGTGATACTGATCTGGGCATGAGCCGTCAGTATAAATACAAACAGAATCAGATAGGGGTTCGGAGTAGACCTGAGGGGTAGCAAGAGATGAGCTTTCCTGGAAATATTGAAGGACCACAGATTGGAATGCATGTTTCTGGGAGGTACTTGGAGGGAGAAATGCCGGCGGAGCAGCCGGGGGGTCCTTATGAACGAAATCTGGAGCAACAAATTTTGCTGTAAGCAAGTAATGCCGATGAAACCAGGGGAGAGGAAGCGAGGGAACCGACAAAATGGAACGGAAAAAAGTCCTATACTGGAAGGGGGTTACAACATGATCAAGTACCGCAAAGTTGCCGATGGTTGGGCGTGTTGGGTCATTAGTCAAGTCAGCAATTTCTCGATATGTGATTAGTTTGGAAGGAGGGCGCGGTCGCATGGAAGAGATGATACACAGGTCATTTTGCACCAGGAATTGTAGCATGTATGTAAAGTTGTTTTGCGCTAGATCTGCTTCCGTGGGAGGGGAAAAAGTGACGGGCCCTATGTGCCGGTCCAGGCCCTCCAGTTGATTCGCGTATAAACGCGTGTTGAAGTCGCCCATAATGATAGGGTACGTGTGAGGAGAGAAGTGCATATACCATTCGTGGAGGGAACGCCAGAAAGCTTCCTTACGATCAAGATCTTCTTGTTCGCAAGAGACTTGGGAAGGGGCATAAACGGAAAACAAGGAGATCGGGAAAGGTTTTGTGGCTAGCTTCAAGATAGCAATCCGGATTTCTAAAACAGGGGTCTTGCTGATGATGTCATCGACTTCCGAAAAAATTCGTTTCTTGCTGAGGTCAATGGTGGCAAATTCCTTCTTGGAGGGATCATATGCACGTGCTTGGTCGGGTGTCAGCTGTACCTGCTGAAAGTCTTTCCTGGCCTCCGGGTCAGTCTTCAATAAGTGACGCAGGGCAGGATCAAGGTCCATCCATTCAATGCCTCTAGTGGCTAAGCTTTCCACAAAAGTCTGCAGAGCTTCATCGTCCAGCTTTTGTCGTTTTGGGGATGCCGTTCTCTGTTCTGGGTCTGTCTGCTGTTTCAATTTTTGAAGGAGATCATAATCCTCCTGTGAGATGGCCACTGTGCGTTCAGTCGGCGAGGGCGCCGTGCCACGGGGTTCATCTGCCATGGGTCAACTAAGGATAGGATGCCTGGGTAAATAAAAGGAATCCAAAACATTTCAGAAGGATGCTGCGTGAGTGTTTTCTTGTGGACTGAAAGCCCCTACGGGGCCCTATGTTAGAATCTGCGGGTCCTCACAATAAGATCAGATTGAGATGTATGCCTGACAAGACAAATAAAAAGTGTCACAAGCGCACCGAAGCTCGTGCCAAATGCCTAGGGGTACCCCTATTTCAGGAAATCTACATTTTTCTACACACACCTTAGGAATCCTTAGGAATCCTTAGGACCCTATACGCTCGTTGCTGGGACCTATCCTTGTTGAATCTCGTATCAGATTTCATGGCCGCTATACCCTGCACCCGTTTTAGTTTGTTGCTGGGTAGATGTTCCCAGTAATAGAATGATTACCAAATACATTACTAAACCACGAATCCAAAGGCATCTAAAGGCCTTTACTCAAATCCCATGTTTCTTCAATATTCACACAGGTCGTTTATGTAAGGTTGCTAACAATAAGATCCAAACACCATATCTCAACGCACATCTCCGCCAAGAGACGTGGAGCGTCACGGCTGCTTTGGCTCTCAAACTCTCCTGATCTAAACGTCAAAACAACATACGGACGTGGCTCACCCTAAAAGAAAACAATGGGTTTAGCCGCTTAGCCAGATTGGACTGTTCATCTACCTGAATTTGTAGTACCCTGATCAGAATCAGAAGCAACTGTCTGACTTTTGGGGTGTTGCCGGTGTTGGTGTTGACCATGAACGCATCCCCAGACTCTTTTCTTTGCCTCCTCATCGGTCTTGTTTATTTGATGTTTCAACTGGGTTCACTGTTTCATCGCCAGGAAAAAAAACTAATTTCGATCGCAGCCCTCCTGAACTCCACATCCCAAATATATGGGTGAATTGGATGGCGTTGAGCCCATCCTAACCATTGAAGCCATCAACATCAACCACCACAACCACCACAACCACCACGGGCACCGGGCACCAAGTTTCCCAGCGCTTTGGCCATGGCGAAGACGTCGCTCCAGCGCTTCTTCTTGTCCGCGCCTTCGGCGAAGTTCATGGCGCTGCTGGCGTCCTGCGTGAAAAATGGAGTTGACCCTCCAGCACTTCTCTATCTAGCTATCAAACTATCTATATATCTAATCAATCAAACTATCTAAACTAATATAATCTAATCTAATCTAATTATCTATCTATCCATCTATCTATCTAATCTAATCTAATCTAATTAACTATCTATCTATCAATTCTAATCTACTCTAATCTAATCTAATCTAATCTAATTATCTATCTATCTGTATGTCTGTCAGTCAGTCAGTCTGTCGGTCTGTCTGTCTGTCTATCTATCTAATCTATCTATCTATCTACCTACCTATCTACCTATCTATCTATCTATCTATCCATCTATCTATCTATCTACCTATCTATCTATCTATCTATCTATCTATGTATGTATGTATCTCTATCTATCTATCTATCTATCTATCTGTATCTATCTATCTATCTGTACCTATCTATCTATCTGTATCTATCTATCTATCTATCTATCTATCTATCTATCTATCTATCTATCTATCTATCTGCATCTATCTATCTATCTGTATCTATCTATCTATCTATCTATCTATCTATCTATCTATCTAGTCAATCAATCAATCAATCAATCTATCAATCTATCTATCTATCTATTTATCTATTTATCTATTTATCTATCTATATCTATCTATCTATCTATCTATCTGTATCTATCTATCTATCTATCTATCTATCTGTATCTATCTATCTATCGATCTATCTATCGATCTATCGATCTATCTATCTATTTATCTGCATATCTACATATCTATCTATATATCTATCTAGCTAGCTAGCTATCTATCTATTTATCTATCTATCTATCTAGTCAATCAATCAGTCAATCAATCAATCTATCTATCTATCGATCTTTCTATCTATTAATTAATCTATCTATCTATCTAATCTAATCTAATCTAATCTTATCTATCTATCTATCTTTCTATCTATCTATCTATCTATCTATCTAATCAATCAATCAATCACGATATATATATATATATATACAGCTATCGAACTATCTATCTATCTAGCTATCAATTTATCTATCTATCTAACTAAATAATCAATCTATCTATATATCTATCTATGCAGCTATCAAACTATCTATCGATCTAATCAATCAATCGATCAATCAATCAATCTATCTATCTATATATCTATCTAATTAATTATCTAGCTATCAAACTATCGATCTATCTAGTCAACCAATCAATCAATCGATCAATCAATCAATCAATCAATCAATCAATATATCTATCTATCTAATCTAATCTAATCTAATTTAATCTAATTCTCTATCTATCTATCTATCTATCTAGCTTCCAATTTTTCTATCTATCTATCTATCAAATCAATCAATCAATCAATCTATCTATCTATCTTTCTATCTAATCTGATTTAATTTAATCTAATCTAATCTAATTTAATCTAATCTAATCTAATCTATAATCTATCTATATGTATATTTACTAGTATATATATATTATAAATACCAACACAATATGTGTGTTACCTGGCATGCCATCCATGTGATACCTCCAATGTTATGTATTGGATGGGGCTCCATGCGGCCGGCCTCGTTCTTCTGGCGGCTGAAGGGCTCTCGACCATCGAGGGAAGCAGCCACTTGACTCGCAGCCTGGGCATCCATGGGGATCCTGGGCATCTGAGAGACTTATCGACTTAGCAGTTCACATCATAAACACCCATGTTTCACGTCATCAATAGGTGGTATGAACAAAGACAACCAAAGAGCTAGGACAAATTATTCTTGAACGTGGGATTTTGGGAAATCAATGATCAAATCGGATTCAGAAACATTTATATTTTATATAAGACAACGAGATGTTGGGATTACATGACCCAATCATGCTGAATCTGGCCCCTGCTACTATATGTGTGTATATATATAAGGTGGGTATTGTAGGTACAAACAAACTATCCGTGTTATTTGTTTTTATCCGATTAGAATTGATGTATAGATTGCATTGATGATATCCGTCCACAGTGCTGGATTATACAATCCCAATTGTTTGTTGGGTCAACTCCCAAATTCACCCCACATTGATATCAGCATATATGCGCAACACAGTTTGATTCTTTAATGCATTCTTGTTTTTCTTTTTCTCCCAATAAAAACCAACATACCCTCTGGTAATTTAACATAGCTATTGAAAATTGCCATAGAAATAGTGAGTTTTCCCAGTTTTCCCATTAAAAATGGTGATTTGGACCATCGTTTTTTGTATGTTTACCATTGTTTACCAGGCCGGGTACTCTGGCAGTGACCAATCAGATGATCGATCCATCGCCTCAGGAACCCCCAGAAGACTGGCGAAGTAAAAGGCGCTTCCCAAACCTGGAACGAAAGGGGGACAAACCACGAACGAACTGACGCTGCAACGACTTGATGAACGGGGATGAATTCGGGATCCATGTCACAATGTGTATATATACATATATAAATATATACATATATATCACATGTCCATGTTATACGACATAGTATTACATAGTTGCATGTTATTATATTTGACAAAAAATGCCAACAGACTTGCTTGAGCTGGACATACCATCACACTCATCGCTTCTTCGGTAAGGCGCCACCCATCACACATAGGGGATGCAAACAATCTACAAATGGGAGCGTCATCCGCAAATATGCTTGAAACAAGCATAGAAATGGTGACGATTGATATTATCACATTATACATTACATTCCACATATGGTTAAGCAATTAAACACATCTCAACAAAAAGAAACGAGTATAAATAATATGTATATATATATATGTATATTATGTATATATATATTATGTATATATATAATATAATATACATATAGTAATATACATATATAATATACATATATTATATATATAGTAATTCACTAACCTGAACAGTGCAGCCAGTGATGATTCCCCGAATCCGAATCATCCAGAGTCACAAAACCTGAGAAAAACTGGGGCCGCGACCTGGAGACATCGGCAAACGCACCAAGAGAGCACCCAAATGGGTCAGGAAGCCTTGCGACCGGGTGACCTCCTCCATAAAAGGAATGGTCTAAGGAAGGCCCTGATTGGGGAGATTGAAGATATAAACTAGGGATATATGGGGATATCAGAAATATATATATATATACATATTGTATATACATATTGTATATACATATATATATATATATATATGTATGTATGTATGTATGTATGTACATATTGTATACATATATATATCCCCATGTATATATATATATGTATGTATTAACTTGAGCTGTATTTCTTGGAATGACAAACCAACTTTCCTATCTTAGGTGACTCGCACTGTAGGATCCTCATGGATAGGATTCGAGGACTTCATGTGACCTGTAAGATGTTCTAGGAGGTTTGCCCCATATAGACCTGTTTGAGGGAATTTCCAGATTCCTCACATGAAAACAAAGGATAACAAAGGTAAACAAAATGGGATGGAGCTTGACAAAAATGAAGGTGTATAGAATCATCCTTCTGTAGATAGAATATGGCACTTTCACGAACTTTCATTATTATTATTCCGATTTCAATGGGGGTTTATTGACATTTCTATGTTTTATCTACTCCAGGATGACTATAGAATTATAGACGTATCAACTGAATAGAATAAAACAATGTTTGCTTCTTTGACCCACAGCCAGGTACCAGGACCAATTGTCAATCTTAGTTTACCCCGCAACAAAAAAAACATAAAGTTTTTAGCTGGTTGTATATATATATATTATATTATATATATATATTATATTATATATATATTATATATATATATTTATATATATATATAATATCCATCAAAAATCGGCAAACAACAAATTATCACCTTTTTTTCACTGATTCGGTTGCTATAAGGAGGTTTCCGAACATACCGGTACCCAAAAAAACCAGTGGCTTTCAAATTGAATCAACATTTGGATGATAAAATTTTTCGGTGATCTCCCATTTTGTTTGAAACCCCCATGTGACTCACAACATCTCAGCCTCCACTCTCCCTCTTCCCCCCCAGGTCGATGACTCGTACCTGCGCGATCCAATGCACCCACGTGTTGTAGCTCCTTGAAGGCGTTCCAAACCTGGGTTTTTCATCGCAGGGGATTTGTTTTTTCGTTGCGAAAAACCGCAACGTTAACCATGAACACATTCATGAAAACTATAGGTCTATGATGTGAAATATGTATATAGTTATAGTTACAATTACACAGAATTACCATAAGCCCTAGTTTCACTAGTTACGAAGCAAGTTATATATGTATATATGTATATATATATTATGTATATTCACAACCTAGTTAAAATAGAGACAGGGAGATGATCAGCGAGGAACTACAACAAATTAGGGATCTCTTTTGTTGTCAGCGAAGCACGTGCATCCAAGTTGTTCACCATTCTCGATGGTTAAGATGTCTACTTTTGGATGGTAAAACCAAACACTATAGTCACTATGTTTGATGATTAAATCCCTACTTTAGATGGTTAAATCCCTATGTTTGATGGTTACATCTCATGTTAAGATTTCGATGTTTGATGGTAAAATCCTTATTTCATTGATGGTAAAATCCCTCGCCGGAGTGTTTTCGCCCAGTGGCATCCTTCGGGAGAGGCGGATCCGGCGCTTGCTTCAAGAAGTTCATGACGTAGCAGCAGGGGCCGTAGGCCTCCGTGATTTTATGGGATTTCACAGGATTTATAGCTGATTTATGATAGCTAAGTTGACTTATATCCTTATAGCCAGTTACAACTGGCAGGGAAAAAAACATCATTTAAGTAATATGTCTATATATAACCTTAGCAGCAGGAGTTATAATGGTTCTAGTCCCATAAGTCTTAAGGATTCTTAAGGGCCATAACTGTGTGTCAAATTCTATGGATGAACATTGCTGATTTATGACCAATACATACAGTGATATAAATGGGTTTGATATGAGATATGGCAGTGTGTCAAAACCTTGTACCCCTGGTGAACCCCAAAATAGCTGGTAAATGGATGTTCATCCCACTAAAAATGGTATTAATAGGTATTGATCCATACCCATATATTGAACTATATCGAAATGATGACAACACTGTTCGTTCATCGATGCCTAGTGACTTGACCCAGAACAAAAACCTACCTATAGGGCTGCTTTCAGAGGTTGAAACCTTGAATCATGGTTTTCAGGCAGATTCTTTGCTGCAAAACAGTGGATTGTGGGGACATCACGTCTTGTTCGAACATGTTCTTCATGCCAATGCCCCTGACCAACCAATGAAGTGAATTTTTCAATGAGATCTTGGCAAAAAAACTTGGTAATCCCATGTCATTCCCATCTAAAAATCGCGTTTAGACTCACTATATACAGATGCTGCGCATGGTTCATGGTGGTTCTCATGGGATCCTCATGGGAGTCTGCTGCCTCAACATCTTCTTCCGGGATGTCTGTGCAGTCGTCCTGGAACGGATACCGCATCATAGGGATCCCCATATTGAAAGCTGTTGATTGTTAAACACATTAGAAAAAAACAAAACAACTTGGAGGCGGTGTCAAATATATATATTATATTATATATATATATATTTAAATAGCACAACTTGCTTCTGCTCATGCTTTGTGAAAGGACATACATAACATCTGGCACTAAAGTTCTGCGATCTGCTTACCTTCAATGTCAACATTTGACTGGTTCTGATTGACTGGCAACTGTCTTGGTGTTTCTCCTGCATACATCCCATGTTTGCTGCTAAACTCCCTGTATTGCATCCACAAAAACACAAAGACTCCAGGTATTGTATAATTACTTACCAACACTTATATGGAACATTCCCTTACTATATACAGTAATACTATATATATAATTATATATATATAATAAGTAATTTGAGTTCGATACATTGTATATGAAGTATCCACAAGACATCATTTTGTTTTGCCTGGTACAACAATCAATTTAACACCAACACACGTGAATACTTGTCTCCGATAGTCACCAAACAAAAACATACCAAGGTATGACCCATTCCCCCAATTCATATCAAAACCAACAACCTGTTCTACCCTTCAGTAATCTAAGCATATCTGAGCTGTGAATGAGAAATCCAATCTTTAACCCTTCTATATATATATATATATATATTGATCAACATGGCAGAATCATCTAGATTCCAGATTCTCCATGGATCACCTTTTTTGTGTTTTTGATGGTGCGATATAATTTCTTATGACTACCCTCTGGTAATTTAACATAGCTATTGAAAATTGCCATAGAAATAGTGAGTTTTCCCAGTTTTCCCATTAAAAATGGTGATTTTCCATAGTTTTTTGTATGTTTACCAGAGGGTACATCAAGTCACATGTTTGAACCGTTAACGTTTACGCTTTACGGACCGCGGAATCTCCTGGTTAACTTCGCGAAATCCCTGGCCCTAACATTTTCCCGGTCATTGGAGACCTAACTGACTGGTGGCAAATCATACCCCCCAAGCAATTTATGCAACTTATGCAATTCCAAAAGAGCGGCAAATTGAAGTTTTTCTGCATCTTTCAGTCAATACCAATCCATTTCATATGTTTTAATATGGTTTAATCACTATGTTCATCCCTGTTCCATAGATTTTCCCATCAAACATAGAATATATTCATATTGAATATACGCGTTCCACATATTTTCCCATATATGTTCCCATAGGAAATCCCATGCTTCATTGTTGAACGCCGAGGCGCAAGACCCAAGTCGCAAACGCTCAGCAGAGCTTCGTCCAGTGGCACGCGTTGCATCTCCTAGGGCCCAGCATGAGAACAAATTCATAATCAAACACGGATAATTACGTACTCATTTATAATATTGGAGTGGATGTGCAACACGGCTCGCGAAATCGAAGCAGCCACTCAGCCACTCAGCCACTCAGCCACTCTGGCAGAGCGGCTGACGCAGCCACTCACCCACTCAGCCACTCTGAGTGACTGAGTGGCTGAGTGGCTGGTCCAGCCTCTCTGGCTGAGTGGCTGAGTGGCTGAGTGGCTGGTCTAGCCACTCTGGCAGAGTGGCAGATTGGCTGGAGCAGCCACTCAGCCACTCAGTCATTCAGAGTGGCTGAGTGGCTGAGTGGCTGCTCCAGCCACTCTGCCGCAGCCACTCAGCCATTCTGGCAGAGCGGCTGACGCAGCCACTCAGCCACTCAGCCACTCAGCCACTCTGAGTGACTGAGTGGCTGAGTGGCTGGAGAGCCATTGGAGTGTAAGCAATATTACCCAGACCTAATTTTCTTAGGTCTGGGTAGTATCTCAAGTGAGGTTTTATGCTAATTTAGGGCTCCTTCCTTTATTCATCCAGGCACTGGGGAATATATGGAATCTTAGGCAAACAGGCAAACATCTGTGTTAAAGGGTTGTGAGAAAGAAGTCATTAGTCATTTGTGTTAAAGGGGTTCGCTCTGTGGGTCTCTGCGGATCATCATGGCGAAAGGAATGAGACATTTGGTTATAGTTCCAATGTTTTCATATATGTATGTTATTAAAGAAATTATATACATATATAGCTAGACACAAACACACCTAAGGTCATATCATCCACCTCCATCATTTCGTCATTTACCACAGTTCATTTTCACAACAGTTCATATCATTTCATCACAGTATCAACACAAAATAAAACCACATAATTTAATACATCATCATCCCACATCATTTCATCATCATCCATCATCACATAAATTCATATCAAAAAATGTCATCATCATATTTTATCATAATATATTATTATTAAATAATATCATAAATATAAATCATCCACGTCTAACATTCCTATGTTCGTATATGACAAAATATGGGGTTAAAGTCTTTTAAAGTTTTTTGGTGTAATGGTTTTCCAGAGTTGTTTCAATTTTGCAATTCTGGTTTCATCATCTTTTAAGTATTCCTCCATATATGTTTGTTTTTTCTCTTCTTCCTTTTTGAGTTTTTCCTTGTTGGAATGTCTGTCGGTTTTAAGATGTTTGGACAACCTGCATTGTTTCACATTCCGTTGGCAAATGTCGCAGAATACTTCCTTTTGATTATATACTTTGTTACTCTCCTTTTGTTTGTCCAAGCATTCAATACACATTCTATTCATTCCATTGAACTCGTCACCATTTTTGTTTTTCTTACACTTTGTACACTTTCTACTCTCCATACTATTATAAGGTATTATCTTTCAATTTTAAGTGTATTTCCTTATATCATAAAATTTCATATTATCTGATATGAAAATTTATGGGGTTCAAATATAAATTCCTTGTTGTATTCTTTCATACACTTTGTCAAACTTATTCTCGTCAATAATTGTATTTCCAATAAACGGTTCATTGTCTTTGATATACAACAATATTTTCTTAAACAATCTATAAAGGTTTCATGATTAAAGTTATCATCCATACAGTCAGCATCATTAATATTCATTTCTAACATGCAGAATGCAACAGTAGAATATGAATTGTTACAACATGTTTCAATCCTTGTCCATAATCTTGATAATGTCTCATGTCTTTTTCATTTAATATCAAATTCATGTTATCATCTGGAAATTCATTCGCTAAAGTATTATCAACGTATATTTGAATTTGTTCATCAATATCCTCATCGTCACAAGGGTAAATATCAATTTCAATTGAATCAAAATGACTCATTATATTTGAGCAACTTTTGCAGGCTACATATTCACAAATTTTATTACCAATACCATCGGTAAAAATATTTTGGGTAATTCATTTTATTGTTGCATACTCACTACATTTAGAGCTTAAGATTTTTTGTTTGGTGTATTCTTCTTGATTGATTTCACGCTCACTACTTGTATCACTGAATGACATTTCGCTAATATATATATATATATAGATAATATTCCTTTAAGTAGATTTCCTATAAATGGTAATTTATATGTTCAGCAATTCATGCCTCAATAGTGGTCTATTGTATCCTTCTAATGTATAATATGTTTGATTCCAATTTTCATCAATGGACTCTACTGTATACTCACCTTTCAAAAAGTGTGAGGTTCTTTCCTTCTCCGTTGTTGCTTTCTTCCTTTTGATTTTTACTTTGTCTCCCACAGATAGTTCAGGATAGAACCTCTGTGTATTTTACAAGGTCAGCCAACAATGTTACAATAACAATGGGGCTAAACCACAATGGGCCGCTAAGCACTTGATCCTTTTGAACCAACGCTACAGAGTAGTACGATGACATATATGATACATGGTTTTACTGCAGGAGTTTTTACACCCCCCTCGGGCGAGCAGGGACGACTGCGGAGAACGAATAACCCAGAAGAGCATACCCTCGCGGGTAGCCAAATCTGTTTGTTTGGTTTTAATCATTTTTATGCAGTCTTTCAAAGGTCCCTCTAAAAAGCTCAAGCCCGTAAAACCTAGCGCAGCTATGCAAGGAAGGCACATTACCATGCCGCATCTTGCGCTATGCTACAAAAGAAAATCATCGTCTACCTACGGTTCCAATAGATCCACCGGCCGCCGGCCTAGTCACGGTAATACCAAGCCCCACGCCAGAAACTCCATTCTCGGCGTGCACCATAGTGATCACGATTCCAACTCCAAGAGGCATCCGGGCGACCGGAGCTTGCAGCCTTCGATGTGACTGTGCTTGCTGCTTTTGCAGTGGGCGGCGTCTCAGGCTCCAAGAATGGTCGTGCTCCTGCTTTGGATGTTGGTGGTTCGGGTGCAAGAAATGGTGCATTGTTGGGATCAACTGGGGCATCAGCGTGCGAGGCGTCTGCGCGAGCAGAGCTTGAGGCGGCTGTGTCATCATGTGCGGTGGCGGATGCATCAGCTTCGGCTTTGCGCTTTCGCTCAGTGGTGGGCGCGACCGTGGGGTCGGCCTTTTGACCTCCAGGACCTCCAGCCTTTGCAGCGGCGCTCTGCTTCTCTTTGCGTTCAAGGTTGCCCCGAACCAATGGAAGGTTTTCTTCATACACCTTTTCGAGGAATTCAAGAGTGCCATCAAAAGGAACTTGGACGGTGCCCTTCCAGGTCAGCAGGCCACGGAATGCGCCACGACGGCCGATGTAGCTGACATATTCATCCTCTGTAAAAATGTGGCGGCCGAACATGAAACCCCAGACCTTTTTCCATGTTTTGCGGAACTCAACTGGGAACCCTTCCACACCTCGAGGCTGGGACATGAAAATCAACTTAGATAAGCAGTTTTCATTTTGGGCATTGGCGGCGACGCCAGCCGAGATCTGAGCTTTGGTCCTTGGGGGATCGGGGAGGTTGCCGTATGCGAACATGTCATCAAAGATGCATTCCTGCAGGCCCTTCCCCTCACCGTGGATGCGGTCGCAAAAAGTGACGTCGCTGGCGAATCTGTCTTCCACGTCCTCGTAGCCCAGCGCTTTTGCACGTCGATGCCTGTCGCGGCAGTCTTTGAGGACTCCTGATTCCACGGATGTGATTCCCCTGGGGCCCAGTTCCCGGCGAAGAAGATCGGCTTGCTCATTTGTCAAAGCCGTCAACAAGCTGCCGCTCATTTTCCCAAACATTCCGAACCCGGCGAGACTCTGCATTCGCCGTTCAAGGATTCGGGTCCTCCTGTTGGGTTTGTCGGCCTCTTTTGTTTCGCCACTTTCGTCCACTGGGAGTGGCTCATATCCACATGTGGTGCATGTCACTTGGCCACTGACGTACTCGACCTGGCAGAGGGGGCAGGAGCCCATGAAAGGTTCGCAGTACTTTGGTGCAATGTAAACACGGCGCGTCCTTGCGGGCGGCTGGTCAACTTGCATTGGGGCAGTGGCTGCATCATCATCAGTGGACTTGGCATCGGGTCGCCCCGTGCTGGTGTCATCCATTGGGTCGTCATTTGCATCATCTCGGGCAGTCAGGGTGACCGCTTTGGATTTCGGTGCTGAGGCTGATTCCGCGCCTGTCCATGAGCTGGGCTCGAGATTGCTCTCGGCGCGGGACCAAAGCACCTGTCCTTCTTCTGAGATGCTGACCAGAAACTGCGGTGGGATGCGTTCTGAACACAAAATACCATCCATTTCTGTGCGACTAAAGATGACACCAGCTTCAACTGCTTGCCGCATTGCGATTTTGACTTCGACTGGACATTTTGCTCTTAATCCAGATCGATATCCCTGTGTGCCGATACAGTGTTCTGCCATGTAGATATGAGCACGGCCACTGTTGACTGTGTCACCGCCGCCTGGGATCAGGCCGTTCTGTGCGATGCTCTTCCAGCTGCTTCTCATCGTGCGATGAAAAACAACTTCAGGGACCTCAGTCATGGCACACAAGGGCACGCCAGTGAAGGCGGCTTTTCGCTCGGGGGATACTTGGTTTGAGCAATACACCATGGTTGAATTGGCATAAAGACCCCCGGCGGTTTTCAAGGCAGCTTCGGAGTGACCCTGAATTGCACGGATTTTCACAGGATAATACGGCATGCCTAGGCCATTGTCGACAGGAAAATGGGAGATCTTTGCACACAAGAATTGGAACCTACTCTTGCCATGCTTGTCGATCTTCATTGCGGTGCCAAACAGGTTTGCGACAGTGATGAAAACATCTGGGGGCACTTCCTTGCGGAAGGCTTTGGCAAAATCCTCCAAGTCAATCCAAAGGTCTTTGTCCATTGGCACCTTGGCACAGGATCCATGCCCCCTGCAAACTTTGTTGACACGAGTTGCAAAATCGGAAAATTTCTTGTCGACACGAGTCTGGCCAGCAATGGTCTCAACGTCGGATGCCGATATCAGCTCCAGCTCATAAGCCGTACCTTCA